TCTGTTACATAGAACTCTTCAATTTATATCCAGATTTAAAGACTTCTATGAAGTTTGGCCAGAGAAATTTCAAACAAAACAAACGGTGTGACACCTAGAAGATGGCTGTTAGTTTGTAATCCTATTTTGTCCGACCTTATCTGTGACGTGAGTATATTGGTCGTGTCCTAAGACGTACTTTCCCCTTTTTAATGGTTTTAAGCTCCCAGGACTCCATTGTCCATCTGGCAAGTTATAATTCCTCGCTGCAATGTATTTTGTTAATTCCAGAGATTTTGATTTGAACGTTTGAAATTGCTGCGATTTTTCCTGTAATTTTCTCCTTTAGAATCTATCGATACAAGAAGCGCTACCTTTAGGAATTCCAACTAAAACTATGTAGACCGATCTTTTATACTTTTGCATCCGCATTTGTTGCAGAAAATCGGTGAAGATTGGATAGTCGACTTGTCACGGTTGAGAGATTTGAAACGTTTTGCAAGCGATGTTCGTTTCACGAACGACTTCATGAAAGCGAAGCAAGTAAGTGACAACAGCGCCAGACTTTTGATAGATTCAGCTGCTTTGGGGGAGGGGAGATATTTCCTTTGCAAAGACTGACGTAAATGTTGATTTTTTCAGGGAGAGGGTGCACCTCGGCACATACTCCCATAGATAACGGCGTAAAATTGTTTTTCAACAGGAAAACAAAGATAAACTTGCGCGGTACATCAAAGACACTTACGGTATCGATGTGAACTCAACGTCTATGTTCGATTGTCAGTTCAAGCGTATTCACGAGTACAAACGACAGCTTCTCAACATCCTATACGTGATCGTCCTTTATAACCGTAAGTCACCATTTCTCTTTGCTCCATAGAGTTACAAAACAAAATTTCAAGCGATATTCTGAACCTGGTTTGACAATAACAAAGACTTATTAAGGCCCGTTTACACTTACGATTGTTGCTGCGATTTTATGTGCGATTTTCTTCTTTTGATAGATGTGTACGAGTGAATTAGTTACGAATGCTCTGATGTGTACGAGCTCTTATTTAAACATCAGTAACCAAAACACTCGTTCATATCTATCAAAAGAAGAAAATCGCACGTAAAATCGTAGCAAAAATTGCAAGTGTAAACGGGTCTTTAGTGATCTATTTGAACAAACCATAGTTGGATACCCACACTTCTAGTTTAAAAGATGTTATAGTCAGTTGATTATTTTTCCCTTGTAAAAAGACATTATAGTGTATCCACAAATACTGCATGTTTGGTTTTGCAGGTATTAAGGCCGATCCGAATGCTGATTTTGTTCCAAGAACTGTTTTGATTGGAGGAAAGGTGTGTTTAAACCTGTTACTACCCTACTTACTATTCGCCATACAAGTTCTAAATAATTGATTTACTTAATTCACAGGCTGCCCCGGGCTACACAACTGCAAAAGAAATTATAAAACTCATCAATTGCGTGGCAAAAGGTATAATTCTACTTAACTCGATATCAAACTCGATATCAACTCAATACATTCTTTTTCGTCTGTAGTTGTAAACAGTGATCCCATCGTTGGGGATCGTTTGAAAATCGTGTTCGTAGAAAACTACATCGTTTCTTTGGCTGAAAAGAGTATCCTTTTAACCATACAAATATCAAACAAAATATTACCAAAAATCCCATGTCGTGGAGTGCGCGATATTTTTGAATATATAATATAACTCTAAACCTGACTCCACCCGAATATTTACACCCTAATATTATGAGGGTAAATCAATTATGATTTTTCGCACCTCACTCGATGCAGGTGAAAACTACCGGACAACCGATAGTTGACTCATTTTTCCTTCAACTGTTCCTGGCTTAAATTTGAAGTGTGTATATAATTCCACTCGAAATTAAGACCCTTTGAACCCCTAATATTATGACTATTAGATATCGGGTGGCATTTGGGTCCATCGATTAAAAGATTCTTGTAGATAAAGTATTGTTTGAAATATTTTTGTCACAATATAACACCAGTCATTCAATGGTTTCTACCTTGACTTTGTTCAGTAATCCCTGCCGCAGACCTTTCTCAGCAGGTTTGTTTGTAGAAAAAACGTTTTTGAATAATCGTATCCTATTTTCCCTATGTTGTTTGAATGCTAACCTCTTTTGTGTCTTTATAGATCTCGCTTGCAGGAACGGAGGCGTCTGGAACAGGAAACATGAAATTTATGGTAAGCAAAGTTCTCGTGAGATCATATTAAGATCTTTTTATTAAAGTTCAGAAGGCTTTCTCACAAAAGTTTCTCGTATCTCTCGTAGCTAAACGGCGCCTTGACCATTGGAACACTGGACGGTGCCAATGTCGAAATGTGCGAGGAAGTTGGGGAGGATAACATGTTTATCTTTGGAATGAAAGTTGAAGATGTCGACGTACTGGCAAAAGAGGGGTAACTGTTTGACGAAATGATTTACCTAATGTATTTACCCAATGGGTCAGAGCGCTTTTTACTCCGCACTGTAAAATCAGATGCTTGAAATGACCAAGCATATTCCAATAAATTCTTTTCATGCACTATCCTTTTCAATTTAGCTACAATCCAAGGGAATACTATGAGAAGATCCCCGAGGTTAAAAAAGCAATTGACCAGATTTTAGAAGGATATTTTTCACCAAATGAAGAAAATGTCTTCAACCATCTGATCATCAAGCATTTGTTAGACCACGACAGGTAGCTCCCAACCTTGATTTTATGCTTTTCTAATCTCTTAGGCCAAGGTATACGTCGCAATTTCGTCGCGTAGAATGTAATTCGAACAATAAGTAATAAGATGATGATTTCCCGGCTAAAACGTTTTCCCGCCAACAGGTTTTATGTGTTAGCTGATTTTGAGGCATACGTTAAAGCCCAGGAGAAAGCTAGCGAATTATTTAAGGTATGTATCTCTAGTAAAGATTTGACTTGTATTTGAGTAGGATTTTTATCAATGGCTATATTACATTGGTTGTCATTTTCCAGAATCCTGCTAGCTGGCACAAAAAAGCAATTCTTAACGTGGCAGCCGCTGGCAAGTTTTCAAGCGATCGCACCATCAGACAGTATGCAGAAGAAATCTGGGACGTGAAGCCGACCAGAGAAATTTGGTCGCCCGAGAAATCCAAACAGAAATCTACAGACAAATAGTTTTCTGTGCCAAGGTTTTAGGAACCATTTTAAAATTTTCACGAGCAAAGAATAGGAATTTATCGTGCTAAAATCCACGCTCCTAATCACAAATTTGCGATGACGGACAATCTTTTGGAAAAGAAACAAAATTTCAGCCAGTTTGTAAAATAGCCAATTTACAATTTAGGGTCACAGCTTTAAATATGCTCTGATGCTCACAAGACAAAATCTTATTCTTTGGTCAAAAAACTCTAATCGTGATGTAAAATAATCGTATGTTTGTTATTACTCTATATCAATTTATAAAAGTCTTGTGTAATAGTTACCGTTAAATTAAAGAAAGAACGATTTTTTAATTGATATCTGTAATGCAGTGCTTCCACTTTCAAATTTGAAATTTCCATCAAGTAAGGCTGGAATTTCCATAAATTGAACAAAAATTCCACAAACAACATGTTTGAATTTCCATAAAATTCCACGAAAGAAATCAAGAAAAGGCAGTATTTTTTTAAGGCATTAAAGTTGTTTTCTTTCAGTTTCTAATATCAATTTATCATTAGTGTTTCATAATAATGCCAACAATTAAGTTGTTAACCAAACAGTTAACAGTTAACCAAAGCGTGTTTATATTGTTTAATGTTTTTGTATATGAGCGCGAAACATGCTTGCAACTTTACTAGGACAAGCATTTGACCATTAAAACAGCGTGGTTATTCATGTCAAAGTATTTGACATCATAACCGAAACATGGTTAAATTTTTTAATGTTGGTATATGAGCACGAAACATGCTTGCAACTTTACATAGGACAAGCATTTGGCCATTGAAACAGCGTGGTTATCCATTTCAAAAAATTTGACATCATAACCAAAGCAAGGTTATATATTGTTTAATGTTTGTTATGAACGCCAAACATGCTGGAAACTTTACATAGGACAAGCATTTGACCATTAAAACAGCGTGGTTATCCATGTCAAAATATTTGACATCATAACCAAAGCATGGTTATATTGTTTAATGTTTGTATATGAGCGCCAAACATGCTGGAAACTTTACATAGGACAAGCATTTGACCATTAAAACAGCGTGGTTATCCATTTCAAAATATTTGACATCATAACCAAAGCGTGGTTATATTGTTTAATGGTTGTATATGAGCACGAAACATGCTGGAAACTTTACATAGGACAAGCATTTGACCATTGAAACAGCGTGGTTACTCTACTTATTCATCCGAAAATGGCGTATTCGACCATGGTCGAGTTCGCCGGAAAATGGCGAATACGACCATGGTCGAATGTGTCAGAAAACGGCGTATTCGACCAAGGTCGAGTGTATTGGAAAACGGCGGTTTTTTATCGTTTTCCAATACACTTAGCGTTTAAGTGTGTTTAATAATCGTGTCCTTTTTCACTCACTACATTTACTATAAGCTAAAGCAGGTTGATTTAGTTAAGAAATGAAGTAAATAAACAAATTGAAAATTGATTTGAAAAAACAAAAGATGTACCTTTGACATCCCATCAACGTTGCGTGCAGCCACTAAAACACACTGACATGATAACCACACAATTTTGAAAGGTATTTCAATTCAGTTACATTGCAATTTAATAATCTACAATTCCACATTGTTTTTAAAGCTAAGATAATTATCAATTATATCATTATATTCCTTATAATACTTTGGAATACGATCAGCCAACTTCTGGTCCAGATCAACTATGGCAATTGAGTATTTATAAACTCTACCAGTGAGAAGATCTCGAAAGCAATTTGAGTTTGCCAAAGGACCAATAACTTCTTGAAATGAGATCATTATGGAGCAATCATTAGCGCTGGCTGCAATTAGGAACTTTGTAAGACTATCTAATTTACTTGTTACTGAGTGCTTGTTTACATGTGCCAATGAGTTACCATTGGTGATGCAACAATCAGTAATCTTGCCTTTATAATTAATATTTGCATGCACTTGGTCATAATTAGCGTTTATTTGTACATTTCTAGGATTAGCATTTGTGTTTTCGTTTGCATTAACACTACTTGACTCTCATTCCAAGCAAATATATGCAAATCAATCATGTCTTTTACACCAATTGCATATAAATTATTAAAAATACAAAATGCTTCGTCAGTCCCAACATCATCTAGCCTCTGAACATCTAGGATTTTCTTCAGAACACCACCTTGAGCAAAGGTCAATCCCTTTGACATCATATATGCTGGAATGGTACCAGTCATACAGTCAGCTTCATGGTATTGACTTGCCAGACAAACAGGGTGCTTTGATGGATGGTGATTACTGCCATTGCCACAACCAACTGTATTTTCATTGGAGTCATATATAAGTAACTGAAGCAATGTTGCCAAAAACACAGTGGTTGACTGCATGTTGGAACCATTTTTTTCACCACACACATTGTGGTTGGTTAACATGTCTTGAGTACTGTCAAGAAATGAATGACTTAGGAACTCTTCAAGTTTTGACAGGTGTAGGTGGTGTTCGTTTGAACCCATAGTTGATGGTGCCTGCTCGGTTGTTTCACTTTCAACCATTGAACCACATGATGGTGCCATTGTCTCACCAGAGTACATCATATTACCATCTTGAAAAATTCTGAAATTATTTTGTGGATTATTCAGAAGACATGTCAAAGCATACCAGACTCTCCTTATGTCAGATGAGAAGAGGTCTAAAGGGCAGTAGCCACTCCGCTGTAAGTATTTCTCATCTTTGTAAACCTTTGTCCACTGAAAAAGACAATATTTACAAACAGATGCTTCACATCTTTATATTCACCACTTTCAAGCCCTTTACAAGCTGGCATCGTACCACACTTTGGTTTGATTTCCACACAGAATGTAGGCCGGCTAGCCTCATTAGCATTAATCCCGTCGCCTGAGGGTACAAAGCAAAAATCCGGCATCAAAATACCATATTTGTTCTGTCCATTCACCTCTTTGTTCAGTCTATGTTTTGGCCTATTTGTATTAGCAGATGTAACCAGATCTTTAATATTTGCCATAAACTCTCCCGGTAGCTCAACGATTGCTCCATGTTCGACGTATTGCGCGCCCAACAGTGGAGTGAAAACTTCTTGATAAAGCTTGATACTTTTTTCAAGTTCTAACCGCAACTTTTCCGCAGCTTTTCCGCTCGAATCTTGAGCTGAATTTGTCTGATCTGTTGATGCTACGTTTGACTTTTGCAAGCGAAGGACTTTTTGAGTCTGTGGATTTGAAATGACAAGAGTTCTGTTCCCTTCGCCGCGGTAAAACCACTTCGAAGAGGCTGAAATGTAGGCCATTTTTTGAAACCTTCTTCTGTGCTTCCTCTTCATTTCGTTCATTCCTTCAATCAGTTCAATGTTGTTCAAATTTCAAACTTTAGAATTAAATAATAACTTGTAGGTACACCACGTAAGTATTAAATACTGCAAAGCTTTCGGTCCGTTAACCCGGACCTTCATCAGTGCAATTACTTTTAGTTATTATAATTACTAAAGTCGCCATGCAATCATACAAGAAAATTATTTTAGAATTAAAGATATGCCTTGATGGCAGCCCTAAAACTGCTTTAAAACGACAAATATAAACAATTTTTGGGATGTAGTCACCATTCAGATTTTTTTAATTCTTTTTTAGGTCATAAATAGAAATGTAAATATCCAAAAAAATAGGGCAAAACAAAAAGTATTTTTCACTATTCTCTGTGCTTCCATATATATAAATTTTATATCCTAGTTAAATATTGCAACGTGAAGTATTTCATCCAAACTGCTGATATCCAGGAGCTTGGGCTCGGAAAAAAGAATATGGCTTCCAAAGAGAAGTCTAAAATTCAGAAAAAGCGCAAGAAAAAGTCTGATATCTCTCAATCAACAGAAATTGACGAGGAATTAAGCTTACAGGACGTCGTGGAGTTAGGAGGAGATGAGGTATGCTTAAGTTACAATATTTTCTTTATGATTAACAATTGGAAAACCGAGGTCGTATTAAGTCGTTGTTGCCTGTTGGAATTTGGAATATTATACCGCATGTCTCACTCATTGAACTGTCAACAAACTGGAACGATAACTCGGAAGGAAGCCAGTGCTGAAATACATACGCCAAATGTTGAGCCATATATGAAATTAAAGCTATTAAAAAAGTTATATTTCGTGTAGAAATTTCGAGAGTTTAGCTTATTAAAAGGGAAATATCTAGAAAATATTTATAAATTTCCTGGTCCACAGTATGTGATTTGGGCCTGGCATAACTTGATGGTGGTATTTTTAGGCAGATTATCAGCTTCTTAAAGAGGTTGATGATGAGGATGACATTTTGATTCTTGGAGGCATTGCTTCGGAGCAAGATGAGGTTAAGGAGAATGAGGTTTGCCCATAAATATTGATATTATGAATTGAAGAAAAGTCAGTAATCACATATTTTATTTAATCATGTTCTTGAACTTATTATTTAGTTGAAAAATTTCATAAAAGAACTTGGTCTTCAATCCTTTAAAAAGTAAGCTTATTTACTTATATAAAGAAATGATAACATTAGCATTAGTATTCATATTCTATGTACTAATAATGGTATAATTGATTTGTATTTAACTATCAAATATGTATTAGGATATGATAGAATTGTCATTATATATACAGTATAGCTAGTATACATGGCAAAGAATATGAACCAGAATATGAACTAGAATATGATCCCACCCTATTGAAAATCCGGCCTCGTTTATTTAAATTGGTTTTAGTCAATATAAATCAAAGACGGTCGTTGACAATAATAACACAATTGTTTCGGAGAAGAATAAAACCAGTACAAATGAGGAACCAAAATCTAAAAAGTCCCAGAAAAAGAAAAATAAGAATGAAGATGGCATACAGTCACATGAAAATGTCATTAATGCCGTCAATGAGGTGAAAATGAAAGATAAGCTGTTGTTTCATCCACTTGGAAGATGGTTTGAACAGGTACTTTGAAACTGTTTTTATAAGAGGTGACATTATTAGAAAGGTGACCTGGCATATTAGAAAGAAGTAAAGAGGTTACAATAATTTGTGAGGTGACCATAGTGAAAATTGTTGTCTATTAAGAATGAACTTAAAACTAATTGATTTCAAATTTCTCAGTCATCGTTAGAATCACCTGTGGTAAAAAATAGCAAAGATCTGGAGGGAAGTTTCGTTGACAATACAAAGCAAATGGCAGAAAAACTTTTGGAAAACGAATCAACTGTTTACAGAAAAGGTCTTTAAATTTCTTATAAATAAAGTGTTATTTAGACGTTACACATTTTTTATTTCTGTAAGTTTTATAGAGTTTTTATGTCTTACAATTTTTAAAAGTAATTGTGCACAACACTCGCTTATTGATCACTTATTAGAAGTTTTCTTAATGTTCTTTTCCATATCCCAGAAAAGGAACGAACAAAACCCTCAGACGTGGAATGGCTGAAGAATGTGACAAACTCTGGAACACTTGGTGATAAAGTCGCGGCGTTGGCGATACAAATTCAGGTTTGAAATTTGCACTTTTATGGAGACAAATAAAACCTTGCTGGTTTCTTTGAGAGTAAACAACAACTAGGCAGGTTGACAACAACTAGGTTTTTTGCAATTGAAGATATGATGTAGACCGGCCATCTAAATCGTAATGACCACCCGTATTTTAAATGAATTTCGTCTTAGGCCTTTTTCAGATGTCGACCTTTTCATGGTCTTCGAGTGCGAGCACATTTTATGGACTTTGTTTTTTATTCGTATAACTACTGTATTTTCCGCGCATTTCACATACAGGATTCACCATTACATCATCTTAAGACGCTGGATGTGTTGCTGAATATGGCCAACAAAAAAGGACGAAGGGAATGCTTGATCGCAATTGGTAAATTCGTAGTTTTTTTTATATTTTCTTCAGCATGCACCTGCGTGTCATGAAAAAGAAAATATGAAATTGGGATTACTATGAATTATCAGCAAAGCTAAATGCAGCCTAAACAGTGAATAAATCACAAAATTTTGTTCTGGTTTACCAAAATACATGCATTTCAACTAAAGTAGAACAATTACGTTAACATGTTACGTAAGAATTATATTTATTGACTGCCTCGGGTGAACCCCAGGTTGACAATCTTGGCAAGATCTTAACAAGATCTTAGCAAGATCTTACACAAGATCGTGCCAAAATCTTTCCAAGATCTTACAAAAATCCTGCAAGATCATGTCAAGATTTTCCCAAGATCTTACAGGATCTTGCCATGATCTTGCAGGATCCTGCAAGATTTTTGCCATGATCTTGTCATGATCTTCCATGATCTTGGAACATCTTGGCAAGATCTTGCAAAACCTTTCCATGATCTTAGAACGTCTTGGCAAGATCTTTCTAAACCTTTCTATGATCTTAAAACATCTTGGCAAGATCTTGCATAACCTTTCCATGATCCTGAAACATCTTGGCAAGATCCGTAATTACGTAATTACGGCATTCGAATAAACACATCTGCATTACACAGCATTTGTGCCATTTTTTATGATCGCCGTATCTTAGACACTATTTTAAAAGCCCTTATCCGGTTCGGTACAATGTTTGCTGTGTTTGTTAATATTCCCGTTGTCCAATAGATACTTTGAAAGATTTGTGGCTTGTGAACTTGTTACCAAACGACCGAAAATTAAAACGATTTTCAGAGGTAAGGGTAGTACAGTAGCTACTAATGACTGTGCAATTCCATTTGATAAAGTATGCCGCTGTGAGAGTATATTAAGTACCAGTCATCACAGTATATCGCGCTCACTGTTGTCTCTGGTAACATCCATTTGGGAACAGCTCGGATTGACTAATAGACTAAAGCTTATGGGTAAAGGGAAAACGTTTAAAAAAGTGCTATTCACTTAAATTGTTCGAACTTTCTGATTCCACGCGTTTAAAAAATTGTGCCGTTATTAGCCTGTGGTTATAGTGTTTATTCAAGCAGCTGTCTGCTACCAGAGCCTAATATGAAAAGGCAGGCTGTTGGCACGAGAATGGTTTTTGGTACACGGATCTTTTATGTATAACTTTGTATTGCAGTTTCCACTGAAATCTGCTCCCCAGAAAACGAACCAGGGCGGTCGTGATGCCTGGAACAGAAAATTGATTGTCTGGTATTTTGAAGATCAACTCAAAAAACGATACGAAAATTTTGTTCTTGGTTTGAAGGTAAAAATGATTTGGCATTATTAGCGTTGGCGCCTCAGATGAACTATTCCGAACTAAATTAATATGTGTGTTATTTTAGAGATTGCTTCATGATAATCTTGAAAATGTGCGCAACAAAGTTTTAGGTAAAAGAAAAGTTCTCTAATTTTGATGTTTACTTCTTTGAGAAGCAAATATATGATGTATTTCCCATATCCACTGTGAGTCTTTGTAAGGCAATGCTTAGGCTTAGCTGTCCCGACATAGCTTATAACATGCTCCTAGTTATATGAAGTGTTGCTTGTTTCTAGGTGTTGTTTATGAACTACTTGTTGAAAAGCCCGAACAAGAAAAGGTGACGCACAATATCGATATTTTAGGACTGCCTCTACCTATATTATTCTCGAAATTCTTTTCCATGTTGCTTCTGATTGATCTTAAAGTAAAGCTACAACCGTGTGTTTATTTTTACAGGCATTGTTGTTGTATTTGGTGAATAAAGTTGGGGATCCGAACAGGAAAATCGCGTCAAAAGCTGGTCACCTCTTGGGCTGTTTAGGTTGGCTTTATTTACATAACATATTCTATATATAAATGCAACCAATAGAAATAGAATATGCAAATATGCATATATCTTATGCTAATAACGATGCCTCCCAGATTATATTTAAACACCCCCCCCCCTAGCTCAACGATCTTATTTTTTATTATGTTTACGATTTTCCTGTCTGGTTTTCCCCCTTTTTCACATGTAAAAATATCTTGTTATTCGCTAGTCCAAAAGCATCCAAACATGAAGATGATTATTACACAAGAGGTGGAGCGGTTGCTGTATAGACCTAATATTGGTTTGAAAGCTCAGTAAGTCGAACATCAAGGGAAACATATATACCGTGTTTTATTAAAAATATATTCCATATTTTTTTTCGATTTATCCCATCTCTAGATACTATGCTGTTTGCTTTTTGAACCAGCTTATATTGTCAAAGAAAGATAGTTCGCTGGCAAGCAACTTGATTACGATATATTTCAGTCTTTTTAAGGTGAATTTAGCTATATTTTTATTAATTGATCACTTGAAAATGTAACAGGTATACGAAAAACGTTAACAGAATAGTACTATAATAGCAGACAAACATGTAACTTCCACCTGCAGTCTATGTGAACAAATCTATTGAGTACTTAGTGTAAGCTTGTAAAAGTGATATGTAGAGGTAGCTTCCTTTATTTTTTAACTTCAACGTAATTAACAAAGCGCGTTCTTCACTTAAAAGGCTTTTGTAGATAAGGGACAAGTTGAGACGAAGATGCTAAGTGCTTTACTCTCTGGAGTTTCCAGGGCATTTTATTATGTTAAAGGTATGTATAGAGTTACTGTCCTTCATTTCTCCTATTGCCCCTGTATTCTTAGTACAATTCCGTGGCGGGAGAATGCCAATTCGCATGATTGGTGTTGCTTAATTTCGACCTTAGTGATGACGATTTTGAATTTTGGTTTTAGATGACGAAGATCAGTTTAGTGAGCAAGTAAACATGCTTTTCAGGGTCGTGCACATCACCTCATTTAATACAAGTGTCCAGGTTTCTCTTCATTTTTAACTTAAATAATTTTCTATAATTCCTCTATCCGAATTCAATTTACATTCATTTTGTTTAATGCACTTCTTTAGGCATTGATGTTGCTGTTTCAAGTTATGGATTCTAGGTACGTGTCATCTTCAAAATTCTTGTCCTATCTCTGAGTCTTTTGTTTTGATGTTAAGGTGAACTGTTCAGTCCGTATAAACACTTCATATCGTTGGAGATGCATGTCATATGGAATTTATTCTTTCAGGCAGTCGATGTCTGATCGCTTTTACCAAGCTTTATATGCAAAACTTCTTGATCCACATTTGAGAATGTCGTCCAAACAGGTAAGAAACTTTTAAGAATAGGTATTTGGAACATTATGGGGAAATATAATACATTTTGACATTAAATATGATAATCATCAAATTGTACTGAAACATATTTTATAACCAAGAATATTTCATTTTTAGGCAATGTTCCTGAATGTTATCTATAAGTCTCTAAAAATCGATACTTCTTTGAAGAGAGTTAAAGTAAGCCTTTTGTAGAAGAAATTTTCAAGCGTTCAGATATATTCTGATATTCAAACGAAGGATTTTTAAATTCTTCTCCAGGCTTTTGTAAAACGTCTCCTGCAAGTGTGTTCAACTCAAACGCCAGCATTTGTGTGCGGAGTCTTATATTTATTATCAGAGGTAGGGCAAATAATTACAGTCTATTGTCTGTAGCTACCACGTCTTTATTCGACATTGTGTGTGACTCCATAGAAAAAGAAATGAAAATGAACATTAAGTACATGGTAGCACCAAATGTTTGCATGTATATACATGTTGTATATGTCTTAGGTTGGAAAAGTCAAACCTGGGATTAAAAGTCTTGTCACTCAGCCTGAGGTAATGCGTTTGTTTCTCTGTCTAGAAATGACAATTCGGCGTGTGCAACAGAACGTAGGCTAAAGCTCAGTAATTTTCCCCTCACTGAAGTGAAAAATGATCAATTTTAAGGAAAAAATATAATGTAAACAACGATCTAGGCGAGGTTTAAAATATAAGTGTTGTTATGCTTGGATTGTGGTTAATATTTCTCGAAGAGTTGTTATAAACTGACGCCATCTATTTAAACTATGAGGCTGAACTGAATAACGACATATTTCAGGAACTCGACGAGGAAGAACATTTTACAGATGTCATTGACCCAGAAGATGCTGAAAGTGCCTCTTCTCTCCCTTCAAATGACGTCAGCAAACAACCAAACGCTGTCCACGAGACATCTTCCCAAGGTCACGTGTTTGTTGATTCGCCGCACACGTCAGGTTACCAAGCCAATGCACGAAATCCGCTGTACAGCGGTGCAGATAATTCATGTTTATGGGAAGTTATGAAGTTGTCGAGGCATTATCATCCTTCCGTGTCTCGCTTTGCTCAAAATCTTTTGCAGGTAAATTATTACCTTTACCTGCCTGCGGCCAGTTGTTCAAATTAATCTTGGTTGGCTCTAATCCTGGTTTAAATTTTAACGCAGTGTTCTTGTTTTTGTGCTTCTGAACCACTGTTCGTTTTAAAACTTTTTAAGATATGACTTCTATCGGTATTCAAAGATTTGCTTTAACCCATTCAGGGTTCAGCTCAAACACGGAAATTGGCCCTGAGAACGAGGTTCGGTTCAGCGAACCGGCTTTTTAACAACTTGCCTTCTCGTTCCATGGCAGGAGCGGTGGATAAAATACGGGTAGTGTCGCAGCTCTTCGCAAGAATGATTTTCATTGGCTGAACTTTAAGATACATTTCTGTTTCAACCAATAGCATAGCTTCGTTCTTTAGAAACCATAGACATAGAAAAGCATTATCCAATTGGACGAAAGCTTCCGAGCACTGCAAAAAGGCCCTAAAATACCATCATTACCATCGGCATCTCAGTAGAATGTAGCAATATTAACAGAATGCATGGTGATCCTATTTTAGGGTGAAAGTATCTCATACGATGGCGATCCATTATCTGATTTTACTCTCATGAGGTAAAATTGTTGACTGAGAATTTTGGAATATTTAATATTACTTTACAAGTAGTGTTGTTCGATGATTAAAATATTTGAATGGCATTGATTACAGTCTTGTGTTATTTTTTCTTTTACGTTAGATTTCTGGATAGATTTGTCTATAAGAATCCAAAGAAGAAGGTTCAAGGTAACAATATAATGCATTTTTCTTTATATTTTTGTCAATCTCGGTTCCTTTAGAATTGACCTTTTATGTTTTATTTTGTTTGGCATTATACTGGTGGTTTTCATTTCATCCGCGTATACTTTTTTGTATGCTTATGTATGCTTGTAACATACAATAAAAGCATGAGATTGTTTTAAAACGATTAAAAATATTCATCATATTAATTTTCTTGTTTAGACCATGGTGGTTCCCTTATGCAGGTATTTTAAACGTTTTGTTTTTTATGTCTTGCGAAATTTTGATATTTCCTGTTTCCACTTCACGTTACTATGCAATATTTTTTGTCATTTTGACCAGCCTAAGACAATTTCTCAAAGACAGTTTGAACAACCAGGTAATTGCTGACAAATATATCATTGATATTGTACAACTCGTGTACGTCTCAAATGACGTGTCTCAAATGAGATTTTTATTCCAGTCAACACCACCGCATTCTTGAACAAGAAGGAAGAAAGCGTACGTGAGGATGAGATTTTCTTTTATAGGTGGGATAAACTATCATACGGACACTGCGTGTAGACAACGTGATATCTACTGTATATACTTCTTTCAGTACCTCAATTACTCCTGTGACATACCATTTACCTTTATATATCGTTAGCCTACTAACTTTTCTGCTGAAGTCAGATTTTGTCAGAAATGAGACTTTGCTTCACTCTTACATCCAGCGTTAGCAATTTAAACTAAATTCTCACTACTTGCAAAAGTTTTTTCGGGCAGAAAAGTTAGTAGGCTATCGATATAATAAACTCTCGTGCCTATTTTCTCGTGACTTAAATTCTCGCATGCACAAAACGAAGATACAAGCACTGAAACGAGATAATTGTACGAAAAAATTTTCTACTTTTAAGATATTTCAAACAGAAAGCAGTAGAAGATGAAAAAGAAAAGAAGAATGTTGAAAAAGATGATGCAAGTGAAGAAGACGACGAGACATTGGGTCAGAGTCAAGTCATAGAATTACTATTTTCGGGCAATTGTATAATTTTCTAGTAATTTGTTATCAGTATTTTTTCGAAATTGTTCAATTATACACTAATTTATTTTTATTTATTTTTAACAGGCGGCTTTGGTGATGAGATTACGATGGATTTCGCTGGGTAGGTTGTGAGCTGTTTGGCAATAGGTTGTATTGACCAGCTATTTCTGCTTGACTGCTTGTCAATCGCTTCGAAGCTAGGTTACTTGAACAGGTTCTGCTCATGCAATTTTTCGCCTTATGATGCTAATTGTACAAATTCGCCATTCGTATATAGAGAATTCCAAAAATCCAAGACCAGCAAACAGGGAAAAAATAAAGAATATGGCGACTCTGACGAAGAAGATATGCTGGACGATGAAGGTACTATGATATGTAATATACAGTTTGTTTCTATCAACAGGAATAATTTTAAGGGGACTCGTAATGAATTAAACTATCTTGTACAATTGGGTTTGCAGAGTTCGACTACAATGATATGCAATTCTCAGAAGATGAAATGGAGGATTCAAATGGTAGGTTACAATATTCATTCATGTTCTTAATATGAGGTATCAGGTCGATACAGATATGATAAATTATTTAGCGGATAAACATATCATATAATACATACAATAGTACGAGGAAATGCATTCGAAAGATGTTCAGAAAAAAGTTGTTTTTCCACACTTACGTCAAGTCAGATATACGTTCGTATCTTAGTTTGAGGCGTTTTTTCAGCGCACAGATATCTCCTAAATACCAATCTCTCGTGCAATCATTAAATTCATTAACGCACATCTCTTCTTAATTACAGACGAGAAGAAAAAATATAGTGAGAAAGATTATGAAAAGGTGAGTGCATCGACAATATAATGAGGTAAAGACACCAAATAATACGTGCATGGTCTATTCTTGGAGCGGATTTAAAACCGGATGGGTTTTCACAAAATTTTTGACTCTGCTTCCTGCACAGACTCGCTGCAAGGGCTTTAGAAATCTTGTGTCCAAATTCCTTATCACGGACGGGCCGCCAAGTATACCATAGAGCACATTATGCTAATGTTATATCATTTAGGCGTTGTTAGAGAACCTGAGCTCAGATGAATTCAGCGATGATGGTGATGACAATTCTTCACCGAAGAAGAAAAAGAAGTTCGAGTACGTTTAAGCACAATTTGAGATTACTTCGATATAAGTTGTGTTTATTTCTTTTTGATATAATTAAACAGCATGGGCCGGTTGAATAAAACTATTTAACTACATTTTGCATAGTTAAATCCTAGTAATCCTAACTAAGAAATACACGACTCTGATTGCCCAATTCTGCCCTTAACTACCGTTAAAAATAAACTAGTCTTTTATACAACTGGCCCCTGAAACGTAAAGAGTTTCCTTGGCAAGGCGTGAGTATTTTTCTTTTTTGCAGGTCTTCTGAGGATACGTCAATGTTTGCTGATGCAGAAGAGGTAATCCTTTCATTCATTTCCATGATTGCAATTCCAACTCTGATACAAAAATCCTTTCCCTAAACATCACGGCCTAATCTTAGGAAAAATACAACTGGGGCCGACTGTACAAATGCTGGATAACGCTATCCATAAAATATAGTGATTTTCAAAAACTTTGTTAAGTGCCTAAGTCATATATACCGAACAACCAGCAATTCTGGAGCGACTGAAAACAGCGCTATCCAGCTTTGCCCAACCGGCCCTTAAATGGTTAAACTTGGTACAATTAGGTACAACTAAATTTCGCAATAGTTTCGTTAAGAAAATATAAGGAGTCGTATATTTTCTTAGTTTGCTCATTTATTGGAGGACTCTGGTGGTTTTACACAAGGAGGAAGTGAAGATGTGGACATGAGAGGTGTAAGCTGGAAACAGCAGCAGTGGGAAATGAACAGAATGCATCAAAACAGTTCTAGGAGGAATAAATTTCGAGGTGGTAAGAATCGCGGGAAGGGCTCTCGGAATTTAGGACAGGGTTCGCTCGGCCTCGGAAAATCCTCGAGAAATTTTGGGGAAGGTCGAAAAGAATTCGGTAATGGGAGGAGAAAGCCGCGTGATATAGGAAGTAAACGGAAAACCCCGAGAAGAAAAGGAAAATAGTTTACCCACATGTAATATATGCGATTATTGTAAACATGCATTAAATACTTAGTTACTTAAGTTAATGACACCCCACGAGAAACTCGGAGTCTCAGACCTGATTCGGCTATTTTGCACAGTACGGTGTGAGTGCGTAGATCAGCGTTCGGTTAAAGATTTCCATTTAGTGAAAAATTGTCGAGCGATCAATCGACTTTTTGCGATCGCTTTCCTTTGAAATATAGACAATGAAGCGGAAGACAATGAAAAAACGATCGACTGCCCTTCAGCCTGTTTTCCACTAGACGGTGTTTTGCGTGCAAGCGGAATTTTTCTTTGTTTTTTTGCGTGAGAGCGCGCAGACAATGAAAAATTCCGTTCCGCGCGCAAAATTCCGCCTAGTGGAAAACAGCCGTTAGATAAGCATGCGCAAGTCAGGCAGTTACTTTATTCATGAGGTTGTGGGAAAGTGTTGTTGTTTTTTTCAAAAATTCCATTGTGAAATCCTTTTCATCCAGACGCTTTCGCTGGACTGAAAGCCTAACAAGAGGAAAATTTCTACTGCTACAGACAAGGTTAATAATATTTCCATTTTTTTTAAAAAAATGTATTTGTTTGGTGTATTTACTCTCAAACGTTGTTGTCAAGTTCGGCAACGAGAAATAATTGCTGTTCTCAGCACTTTACACGTCTGACTTTAGACTATGGCATCGCTCAAATAATGCTTGAATACCTAAGCTTAAATTAATACGTCTTACAAGGTTACGAGAGCTAAAGGCGAAGGGTTTTCCTTAAATAATTTTAAATGCCAAAATAGAGAGAAATTCAAATTAGCTAGACAACCTGTAGAAAGTATTCTTTACTTTTGAAGTATTTATAGACAATGCCTTACCGTTTTTTTTGTCTTGTGAAAGAGTTTTAAGCTATTATTTTGAGAAACTTGCCTGTCTATGGGAAAAAAATTAAAAATTTTAATTTTAAATCAAAATTTTAATTTTTAATTAAAGTGTTAGAACTTAATTGCCTTAAAAAATTAGGGCTTGTACTTAAATTCTGCCTAGACAGTATACTTTCGGAATAGAAGAAAGGATTGTTTGGTTTTTTAGGTCAACTAGGAATGTGTGTCATTTTGAAGTTTAAGGGTGTCAATTGGGTTAAAAAATGGCGAGCAGTGTTTGTAAATGTTCAATAAATCCCCTTCCTCAATGCCACAAGAATTTTATGACTGTCTTTGAACCCTCATATCACTGAAATTTCACCTTTGTACTGAAACAGCCTTGTCTTAGTATAATATTCAATTTCACAATATCTGAAAATGAATGATGTGGGAATTATTTGAATCAGTATACTTCACATAAGATGAAGTATTTTTGGTGAGTGAAAACAAGATGGCAGCATGGTCCTGGGTGTTTTGGATGAAAAAATTAAGCAGTGGACAGAGGTCGTTTTTGAAATTTGGAATGCCTATGGTGGTATGTCTTTTTTTATTAAAAGCAGTATTAACTACTGCATTATTAGTTGTTTTTACTGTAGTAGCAGATTTCTTGTCATATATTTCAAAATTTAAATTGTGTATTACAACAAATATAACAAACACAACATTACAATCACCATTTGCAATTGTTGACAGCTTTTGGTTGTTCTCGGTTCTGTCGGTTTGTCTGAGTTCACAGAGATTAAGATGAAGAAGCGGGATGAAAAAGTCAGAAAGGTCTTGTTCTTTAACTAGTATTGGTTGACAGCCAAATAATTGTAGATTTAATTTGTTATAATACTTATAGTAAGCATTTTTGATAAGCTGAAACATGATGGCAGCAGTGAATGTTAGGGTAAATTATAAATCTCTCATTCTACCTGAACTTTGACATATTAAATATGAAGAACTCAAGAAGTGTTCATTTTAACAAGTGTACATTTACAAACAAGTTTAGTATCTAGTTTGTCCAGTTTCAATTTTTTAAAAAGTTATCAAGTACATGAAATTCATAACAGAATCTGAAATACTCCCATTGAGAAACTCTAACTACATTTTGCATGGAGAAATCCTAGTTAACTCAGAAACTCTGATTGGTCAATTCTGTCTTTAACTACAGTTAAAAGTTAACTAGTCTTTTTTATACAACTGACCCCTGATTAGTGATTTTTATTTAAATGAGTCATCATATGTAAAACTTTAAATTGTATTTACCAGGGCCTGCGGAGCATATTAGAAAGCTGGGGGGGGGGCTAAGTTCTAATTGTTAGCCAGTTACTGTCTGACTTTTATTTCAATACTTTTGGCTACCCCTTCCCCATTTCTGTGGTCCATAGTAAATTATATACATTGTATAAAAAATCACCATGTCTAGTAGAGTTACATTGTTTAAAAGCAAAACAACAATAATCGAGAAAAGAAAAGAAAAGGAGTTGAAATAGCAAAATTTCTAATTCTTAGGTAATTACCAAAGCATAGTGTGGTGAAGAACAGATTATTTTGTTGCTAAAAGTACATGTCTTCAGTCTTCCTATCAGAGATCCATCATTGCTTAAATATAAATTCCTCCTTTCAAGTTCACCCTCCCTTCTAAAGTTTTCTGTGATGCATTGTTCTTTCTTAAACGATAAAAAATGTAGCAGGTAAATAATTTTTTAGCTAAATTATGAAGAAACCCAAAAGTTTCATGTGAGGAGAAAAGAAAAACCATTGACATTGGAGGATGCTTACAAAGTATATTATCATTTGATATTATTATTACAAAGTATATTATCATTTGGTCACCATTTAGTCACATGATTATAGCTACTTGAAAGTATTTTGTGTTGACACGAGGGAAGGGTATACGCACTGACTCTTGGCCTAAATATAAAGTAGCTAGATCAGTTACTGATCGTTGTTTATATTTAGGAGGTTCAAGGTATGGACATTGGTGATTGGGAAAATAAAAGGGTACCAAGGCCTTGGTCTGAAGATAAGTAATATAGGAATTCGGGCAAACCATAGTTGATAGGTCATGGCGTTTTTTAACAAGTAAACCCCACAATCCAATGTTTACAGCAACACATGTGTAAACGTGGCTAAAAACATCTGTGAATTTACACAAACATTGGCAAATTACTTAAATTACTAAATTTACACAAACAAAGCATCTACAGCTACTCCGCTTTAGTAAATATAGACTTGTAAGCTGTGGGAATGCAACATTTAATATATGCACCAAAAAATTTACAGTACTATAATGTATGACTATATTATGCGCGTAGCATAAGCAGGATGGTAAGAAAGTATATATAAACTTATCCTTTGGTTTTTGAATTTCATTGCATGCTAATATTAAGTGATCAAAAAACTACAAATATTGTTATATAAATATTGTTATAGCTATATGTATTGTTATATTCACATACGTGATTAATATTAGATTCTATGATTTTCATACTTACATTCTTACGCCTTTTGCAATAAACATTTTTGTCTCTTCGAAGAAGCGATTCAATTTTATTTTTGTAAACTCTATGCTCCATGGCCTTAATTTAATTCTGGTAATATAGAACCATTCGCCTTCCATTAGCACGGCCCCACTTAGATTGGTGAAGGCTATAGCTTGTTTTGACTCAGTACTCAAAAATATAACTTCGAAAACTGTTTGAATTCTAACGTGACAAGTTAAAGAAAACTTCGATATGATTCATTTGAAGAATGACTGACAGCTCACTCCGCGAGATACGAAAAATCATAATAGTGCTGTTGCTTCTTTTTAAATTTTAAAGCTACTTTGAAAGAGACAAAAATCGTATCGCTATAGTTCTTTACCTACGTTTAAAACTAAACTAAACTAAAGCTAATTGCCACAATCCTTTTTATTATGTTGTCTCGTATATCTTATGGTAGTATATGTTTTATTAACTAGCGTACAGTGGTGATAATGCTTTTGATTATATAATTATAATGATTAAAATATTCTTAATAGATTGTCCTCGGACACAGCTACAATACAATCCCTTATATATTCGACTGAATGTAAATCGACACTCGCTAATTATGTGCGGTAGATTTTTTTACGTCGACCAGGTTGTCCATGCGAAAAATTATTTCGAAGGCCTGGTATTTTGCTGCTGCCTTTCCCGCTCTACGAAAAATTTTATTTATCAATAAAACTACAAATAAACTGAGTTTATTTTATTAATATAAATTGGAGAAATTGTGGACTTCGTTTTTGTGTCACGCAACCGTAATACACGTATCACGCGACCGAAAGTTAAACGGCTACTAAACAATTCATCAACAACATAACAAAGAGAGATGTCAGCGATTAGTTCACTACATGCAAAGCGATTGAAATAGTGTTGTTAATTATTTCCAAGCCATTTTAAATGTAAAATAAATCGTTAAGTAAAAATATATTGCTTAATTCACGTTATAATTTCACACACCGTATGTTTTTTGTTGCCTACTTTTTCGCACTAATATTAGAATTTAATACTAGAATTTTCGGATTTTTTTCGGAAAGCAATAATAGTTACTGCCGGGAGCTGTCTGGGTCGTAACTATTGCCTCATAGTTACTGGTGAGAGCCAATCAAAATGCTCAAAGGCCATTTTTTTTTCAAACTAAAGTTATATTAAAAATAGATTATAAATATTCCAAGGAGGTAGTAAAACTATACAAATGTCACATGAATCGTGATCTCTTGGCAAGCATATCAACACATATAAGCAAAAATATAGGAGTGTTTATTTTTTATGGATCGAGCAAATGTTGGACAGACCTTTGCGTACTTCCTCTGGTACGCTTGGACTCATTATCGGCCGAATCTCTGTCAATAAAGGGCCACTGGAATGAAACATCATTATATCATTTTAAACGACCCTTTGTGCTTTAGATATTTAAATCGAAGATCCTCAGCGATTTTGTTCAAAAGAAACAAAAAAGGTAGATAGGTGTGTGTCCCAGTTAGCGTTAGAATGATCTTCGAGAAATCGACGCACGAACGTAGGTAATCGAATGCTGGTGAATTTTCACAAAATCTTGGACGCTAGTGAAAGAAGCAAGCTTGCATTTCGCAACCATGGCCCAAGGCCGCCATTTTTTTCCACATTGTCCTTCGAGGGAAGCATTTCTTCACAGTATACTGTCACCATGCTGTCTCCAAAATATTTCAAATATTTAGGATAATACTCTAATGCTTTATCGTCAGCTTCTTCATCTTTAATTGTCTCATCTATATTAAACTTGGAGTGAAATTTTATCGCATTTATTTCATTCGTTCCGGTTTCTTTCCCCAGAGAGTCGTCATTACAACTTCCTCCTGTCTCGTGGTTTCTAACGTATGTCACCTGCAAGTGGTGGGAGATGTTATCTGTGACATTTTTCGATATTCATCTACCCTAAAAGTTTGAAAATGCAACATTTCTCCCAGATGTGATCATTAGGTGACAAAAAATGATTACCTTAGGAGAGGGTAATGCCGAAGGGCTTGTGTCGTACGTACGCTGTCCCTCTAATGCACACAATAGCCTTAGTAATACAACAGATAAATGGGTAGCACGCCAAAAGATGCCCAGGACGTCCAAAACGTCGTTCAGGAAATAGAAACCTACGCCTGCCTATAGTAGTAATCGAGTTTACATGCACCCCTGCTATTCCGAAACAACGCCCTCTCCACCAAAGGTTATCTGGATAATTTTATTTCAGGAATCAGGGCCGAACAACGAAGTTCTTACCTTAAAGGATTACCATGTTCAACCCAACAGCAGAATATATTTATTGGTACTGTTGTATGCAATTCCAGATAGATTTAACCAGGTTATCTTCAATCTTTTATGGGAATATCCGGAGAGTGGCCGTGACTACCTGGATGCTTCGGTATTGCTATACAGTGGAACAAATTTTGTAGACGTGATTGATTTTAGCAATAGAGAAAGTAAGTCATGTCCAGGAGTCCAGCATTCTGGCGATGTGGTGGATGATGACGAGCAATCGGGTCATCACACCATACATGTGTCAATCAAATCGATTCCGTCTCATATCAACAAGCTGATTTTCACCTTGAGCTCGTGGCATTCTTCAAATATCTCGAAATATCCCAGTCTAAGCCTACGATTCTTCGATGCAAAGTTTCCTGACAAACAACTGTGCGACGATAAAATGAGTCATGTCGCCTATTCTCAAGCAATCATCATGTGTTGTTTGATTAACAGAGGAGGTGGGTGGAAGGTGTTCAGTTTGAAGAGACCCTCCGCTGGTAACGTTTTGAATTATCGTCAAATAAAAAGCACTAGTATGGCTCTTATAGAAAAGGGTTACATATAAAGGGTTGTTTTGCTTAAACTAAACGACTATTTGGTTATTTTGACACTTTCTTGGGTTTTTGACGTGTACGACCTAAATAAAATATACTATGTTATATTTTGGTGGAAAGAAAAGCGTTTGGCGTTCAGTCTGCCCTTAACACTTTTACCAAATCTTGCATGCGCGCGGCGTATTTAGAATTAAAATTACTTTTATTCAACAATTTTCTGCAAAATTAATTTTTCTGCAACTTCATTATCGACGAATTAATTAGGTATTGATTTCACTAAATGCAACGAAAGGTAAACCATGTAAAATCAATTACATTCAATCGTAAGTTCAGATACATCTGTGCCTATAAACATAAGAATTGATGTCGTGTATGAATAGTATGATTGATAGGAAGAAATCCTTTCAGTATTAATGACTCGTGCTATCTAATATTTGGCTGTTTGACTTGTTTAAGTAGGGTTAGAGTATGATCATGACGTTTGCTATATGGGATATATAGAGTCCCGAGAATTAGATAATGTATATACTATCCCTCTCAGAGAGTAGCTACCTTCACATAGTCCTCTTCACAGAGGGATTGAATTCACTGATGAGTCTAAATATAGTTGTTATTGAATCTAATAAAATTACTCGTAATAGAATTTGACGAATTTTGGAAGCTACGAGGTATTGAATAAGAATTCTGAGAGCTGATTAGCCTGAGTGAAGATAACTATTCTCAAACTAATTCAGATGCCAGTGCCTGAATCTATAATTAATGTTTCATAGATGTTAATTTACTGCACTGTTTGTAATAGCGTTAAAGAATAAAACCCAATTTAAATCAAAATCTAGTCTGAACTATTTGTCTTAAATCTAAGCTATTGCCCATGTTTTCATTACGTCATGTCTTCAATTGTCACCGCATAGTTGTAATCGGATAAGGAAACACTAGCTTCATTTCACTTCATGACAAAGAGAACTTCGTAAGTCGACGTTTTCCCGATTGTTTAATAGTCTGTTGTTTACTGGAGAAACTTCGAAGACTAGTATTTCTTCGTTCGCTTTTTTTCTCCTGGAAAAAGAAATATTTAATTTTATGTTATTAGTTAGTATATTTCGTACCCACATATCTTTTACCTTGTATATCGGGTACAACTACAGGTGGTCCTGCATTGAAAACACCGTCATAAAAACACTATCTGTTTCTTAATGATCTGCTGCGGAAATGCAGCTTCAATTATCAAGTCATAATACCCATAAAGATTCTTTCTTTTTAATTGTTCATACTGTGCGGATTCATGTAGACCGTTAAATATGAATAATTGTCGCATTAATTTTAACAGTTGCGTGATGATTTTCTAGGCAGACATCGACAAGTTTCTAGGGCGTGGACTCAATCTTTATGTTCAAAATTCAAACATTGCAGACAAAGTGAGTAAGATAGAATGCCGAAAATGTCAGAAAGTTAAAGCCACACCCTAACGCAACAGCTGTTCACATGCAACCGGTCTACCGGACACCGCATTAATTTCCACACATCCAGTGACAACTCTTTGCACGTTACTTTACAAAATCAACTGAATGAAGCCAAATATTCAATGTTAAATCGTAGGTTTACCTTTTCTTCTGCTTCAAGATATTTCACAATCGAGTGCACGTATTCGAGAGTGATTTCTTGGGGAATGTCATTTGGGTTTGGAGGTTCGAGTGGGAACCACAGAGAAGATTCTTTCAAACAGGACTGTAACAACGTTCTCTTTTCGGGCCAATATTTTTCAGTTTCAGATGATAGGTAGCGGAATACGAACCGCCGCAATGCTTTCAAGAAGTGTGACGGTTTGAGCTGATTAATATTCTTCATGGCGTTAACAGATTCTTTCATGTCACCTGGCAGAGCATCTCGGAATTTGTCAGCGAGCCCTTCGATAGCTCCATCAGCAAGCAAATCTTCAAGTGCTTCGTAAAGTGCAAGAAGGTGTCTAATCTTGATCAGGCTCCGTGGTTCGGGTAGCAGGTTTACTGGGAAGGGACTGGGTAACAGCGGTGACATTTTCTCGGCGAACTCCTCTAAGGTCATATCGACGTTGATGCCCCTCAGTTTTTGTTTAAGCAGGAAGATCAGTACTTCGCAATGTTGAAGAAGATCTTGGGCTTCCTTGATTCTGCGTTCTTTTAGGTTAGACAATCCTTTGCGTACTTCCTCGGGCAAGTTTTGATCCTGTACTAACTGCGACCGAATCTCCGTCAACAGCGGTCCACACGAGTGGAACAATTCTTTTGCAAATATGAACTTGTCCAGCGTTCCTGTCAAGAAACGCTTTCCGAATACAATTTTATTTGCGAGCCCCATTTCTATTCTCTCAAAGTCGTATGTGATCTCTTGGCCTTTACCATACTCGAGATTGTTTTGTGCATCTTGAAAGAATATCCGACCATTGAAAATTGATTATTTCTTTTTCTTAACATGCTGTATTGAGGCAGACATGACACCACTGCAGTTTTCTTTTTCAAGAAAGCTTAGAGCTGGATGTTGATGTGAAGACAGAGATATAACTACATCTAAAATCCGATTTTGATAGCAAACAAGGATTTCGATAGCTGTTTTGAGGAAGTCGCAATAATCACCTTCCATGAGACAGTAAGCTATGCGATCAGTCTTTCTCAGTCGTGGCATCTTCTTTTTATCGATATGACGATTATTAACATGATCACGCATGAAGTTCCATGCCTCTTTAAAATTATCGAACAGCACTTGCAGACTCTCCGTTTCTTGTAGTTCGCTTTATTTCTAGAAGGTGACCGCTGATGAAATCGTCTGGACTGGGCGTGTGCATCCTGTCTACTAATGCGATGGGTTAGTGCAGATGATACTAGGCGAGACCATTTCAACAGATGATAAAGATTGCCTATCATCGCGAGCTGATCAAACTGTGCGAAGAACAAGGCCAAGAAACTGTGCTTTGATTGGACTTCTTTTGGAGAGTGCAAAAATACCGAACGGAAGTCTTCAAGAGATGGTTTTGTCACACAAAATAATCTCTTTAAATGTTTGTTCTGCTCTTCTGCTTGTTCAGGATAATCGTCGAGTTCCAAGATGAGACATTCCAATGTAACCTTTGCTTGGCTGTCATCCTTTGTAATTTCATCATCTCCTTTATTTCCACTGATGTCTCGCGCGCTTTCAAAAACACTTCTTCTGTACGCTTGGAAAATTCGTCTTCCCATTCTCGATACATGATCGGCGTTGAACATTCATTCTCTCCTTTTACTTTGATTTGTGATATAAGATCCGACGTTTTCTCGACCACAAGATGCATCGTTTTGACTGCAGTAGTTTTCGTGCAACTAAGAATTTCTGTAAGATGGATTAGATCACTTTTTATAGTCTCAAAACAAATGCTAGCTGGGCTTCTAAGATTCACAGGACTAGTTCCGAGTTGTATATTTAAGACACTGGACAAGTCGCCCTCCGTCGAAGTGTCGAGAGCTACACCAGCGTAGCAAGATGAATAGATGATGAGGTGTAAGGCACGATAGACGGTTGGACGCAAATGTTTTGTGCAAAGAGCCCATCCTGGAATTGTTTCACCATGAGCGGAGAGTGGTAGTTTGGCGTAAGTCTCGGCAGATGTGATACTCTCTGTCTCGTCACTTGGGATTCCATGACAATGTGGACATACTTTATCCATAACATTACTCTTAAAGGCGAATCTTAAACCACACGAGCATGTAAACCGGTGGATTCTTTGACATATGGTGGGTATTCAAACACGGAACGCATCTCGTCCTCGTGCATCTTTTTAAATTCAGCGGGATTGATGAAGTAGTTGTAGAATAGTGAGTTTTCAGCTTCTTGATTTGTAGCGACGACGGTTGCGATGTGAAGAACTAGCAGCGCCATTTCAACGTCTTCTACCGAGGACTCGGGTGATAATTGGAGTTCTGGACAGTAGAAATCACGACGGCCTAAAACTCTCAGCGAAAGCTCCTGCAGCAGTTTGGAGAACGAGACTACGTTGCTTGCAAACCAGTTGACTAGTACCTCGTCTTTATCGGTGAGCTTTCGTACAGTGCGCTGCAAGTAAATCATGTTTACGAGGATTCCGACAAAGGCAAAAGCATGATTAGGTGAGCTTTGGCATCTTTCTATAAATTCCTTCATACATGATTCATCGTTTGACATCAGTTTCCAATATGCTGCCTTCGCTTCTTTATACTCAGGATACTTCAAAACAGTTGTAAACACTATCTTGTATTGACTTCTTTCGTTTTGCCATTGTTCTTGTAACGTTGGAAGAGTGCTACTTTCACTTATCCACTTTTCTATATCAAATAGACTTGCCTTCCTGTGGAGTTGCTTTAAGAAAAACATCTGCAACGATGTTTTTGAACCTCTGAGTATCGAATTGACTTCTTTCATCATATGAGCATACAGACTGTGTTCCTTCAGAATACTGGGTCTTTCAGCTACGAAATGTGCTAACATTGTAAAGAATCCTCGGAGAAATGCGACCGCTGAAAGTATGACTAGACCACTAGTTTCACAGGTATTTGATATCAGTCCCATTGCTAACTTAGCGATCTTAAGTTCTTCAGAATCAGAGCTGTCGATGTCTTCGATTCTAAAATTATCCTCAAAATTCATTAGAGATTGGATTAGATCACAAATCATTACTGCTGCATACGAATCATGATGCATCAAATCATTCGTGTATAGATCTTTGAAAACGTCGTCAATAATCTGAAGACAGGGACAGTTCACTATAGCGCTTGGGTCGGCGATTAAATTAATAAATATTCCCGGTGACTCCATTTCTTCCACCTTGAGTAGCCGCAAGATCACAGGACTCATCATCATTACCAACTTCGGTCTCTCCAAAGACAGAACATGTTCGATTATCGGACGAACAGCACAAGTATCAACGTTTGTGTCAATACAACGACCATAAAACAGAGCTGAAAATTTCTGTAAAGCTTCCTGTTTATCCTTGTGATTCTCCATTTCTTCTTCCAACGGTCGAATTAATTCCTCTGTTATCATTTGAAATGAATCCTCGTGATCCAGGTACTCTGGTTCAAGACGCAGGCCGATTTCGTTTAAAGTATATAACGAAGATAAACTCGTCGGTAGAGCAATTGAAGTAAAGATGATCCTTGCAAAGTCAGTACACAATCGTAGGTAATGGAATGCTGGAGATTGTTCGCTAATCTTGAATGCTGATGAAAGTAGCAAGTTTGCATTGCGTATCCACGATTCGAGGCCACCATTTGTTTCGATGATTTGGTGCGATGGAAACATTTCTTTACAATATACCGTAACTAAAATGTCTCCAAATCTTTCTGAGTTAACCTGACATTCTAAATTTTCTGGCACTTCTTGCTGTTTGTCTTCAGGAAAATATTCGTGATTCTTCATTTCTTTGAAATGCTTTTTCTCGTCCTGAAAATCTTGTGAAAGATATTTTTCATCATCATCGCTCATTTGACTTGGCTCCGTTTCATGTGCCTGGAGTTCAGTTTGAAAATTCAACTCACCGCCATCTGATCTTTCTGTTTCGCTTGTAGCGAACACTACTTCATTAAATTCTTTGTAAGACGTTTTCTCTGTATAAGCACTTGTCGCATGCACGACTTCCTTTGAGCTGCGGAACATGTCATCAATTGCATTGTTGGGTTCCATCAAAGGCCAATGTGTTATTTTGCTTTCATGAGCTTCATTGCACGCATCATTTCTATTCGTGTTATCTTGTATACTTGATTCCTCCGAATCAAACGTTTCATCAATGTTCACAGTCGTGGCTCCTTCTGAACCGTACAGCATCTCATCTGTCAGATTTGACAGAAAATCTTGCCCTATAAATGGCCAATTGGCGCTTTCCGCTTCGTTCCCAGTAATCTTTACTGCTTCCGAAAGATCATTCGACGAATCATTTTTACTTCCACTATCTGACCGTCTGTTGATCTCTACTTCTGAGTGAGGAGTTTCAGTTGCTTCTATCATCATTACTTCTTCAGACTTGCAAAACACATCGATTAAACTTGACTGAACGTTCAAGTCTATAAATGGTCGACAGAAATCGACCATTCTCAGTGAATCAAGCATTTGTTCTTGATAATCCCATACAAACGTGTGAAGTAATGCACAAAACTGAGGCATATCTTTTACCGGCAAATACCGTTCAACTTCGGATATAAAAGTTGCCTGTGCTATGGAAACTCGCTGAGAACGGCTCAACGTTTCACTGAAGTCGGCAGTCACTATAGCAAGAACATCTTTCAGATATAAATGTTGAAAATCTGAAGTGATAAGGCAGAATTCTGGTACCAGGTTAATGATTGTTTTCGAGAATCTTTCAATTCGCTGTTTTCGAACTGTCAGCTTTAGTTGACCATTTTCATCCAAATTATCACAATTCTCCAGGAGTGTTGCATGATCTTCGAAGAACAGCTCTTTGGCGCCGTCAGCTTTTCTCACCACTACTTGGCTGAAAGGCAGGTAGAGATCTAAGCTTGTTGTGTCAAGAATGTAACATTCTGTCCCAAGTGGCTCTGAAATCTGTGATACTTCAAAAATAGCGTTTTGATTGATAAAATTGCACCAAATGGATTCTAACTCTTGCATCTGAGTTTCACTGTAGTCATGAACCAAATGAGGGGGCCACGCGTTCTCTTTTTCCAAGAAGTAAATGATTTTTGCCAATGGATTTCGAACTAAACGCGAGACATACTGCTCCATTGCGCCGTATAATGTGGACGAATTCACTAGAGACTGGCGGTCACAAGCGACCTGAACTTGCCAACTTTCTTTTAGGTGAGATCCCTGATCTTTATGGAGAGAATTTAAGTTTATCGACTGCAAGATTAGTCTCTCGATGGCTTGTGCAATCTGGCTGGAACTGAAAAGATTTTTTGCAATGTGCAAAACACTATCTAGAGGTCGTTGGCTTTGTGTATATTTAATGCAGGTGAAGCACCATAAGAGATCGTTTTGTGTAAAATTACGTATTGGCCATATCGAAGATGTGAGAAGCTTCTGGACACTTTCACCAAGTATTTCATTTAGGGGAACTATAGGTCGTTCAAGGACGTCAAGGAACACTTGTCTCCAACCACACAGGAAACTAAACTGCCATGGTACATCTTCATTTTCTACGCGTTGCACATGCAATACGATACAAACATGCTTGTGTGCGTAGGAGTCCATCTCAGATGAGCACTGTTTGTAGGAATCCCTTTTTTCTTCGATGATGGAACGTGCGAGAAGTAGGTGTGGAGCATCCATGTCAGGTTTACACTGCAATACCAACAGCTCTTTTTCGGATGAATTCCAGAAGGCATTTATTCTTTCTGCCAACTGCTTCTCTGACTTATATGCACTTAGTCTTTCCACTTGACATTTAGGATTATTGCTTAAACACTGACCAATGTCTGTGTAAATGTTGGAGAAGGTCATAACCACAGTTTTCGAGCCAACCTCATCACTGCCAAAGAAAGGTGATTTCTGAAAGTTGTTCACAACGTGATCCAGAAAAGCAGCAAGTCCTTCATGTAGTGGTTTCTTGAAATACTCATCATTTAATTCGTGGATATCTTGGTCATTCTCTTTCAAAACATTGCACTTCTTCGCGCGAAGCACACCATCAGGGGAAGCTACCCACATCAAGTCATCTTTACATTTCTTTGAAACCTCCTCCATGTCAGTTTCATTGCGATGCGACAAAACCAGAGATGGAAGAGTGTCTTCGTGAAAACCAATGAACAGATCAGTTTCGCAGAAATGAGACTCTAAACCTTCGACTGTTGACATTGCTTGGACCCAGCGATGGAGCTCAGTGATAACCTTTTGTTGCTCCTCGGTTAGTACATCAGAGAAACGCAGGACTTGTTTCTCAAACCTGTTAAGAAATGGCGGATCAGAGTCCTTAACATTCTGTTCATCCATAAGAACAATGCATCGAAACCCGTCGTGAACTTGACACATCGGGTTGCTATATGCTCCAAGAGCTACACGACAATTTTTTCTTTTACCGACCACGGCGTAATTCTGGTTTAGAAGATCATACAGACTGCCATAAATATTTTCCAGATCTTTCAATATCAACACACAATCTCTCTCCATGCAAAGAATAATACGACTTAGAATTCTGTAGTTGTAGTCCTCGGACAGGTCTTCTTCAAATCGACTGCCAAAAATCGTAATACTTTCCTTATCCAGGCTGGACAAAATTTGTTTCAAGATACCATGGGCTGAATCTCCTCTTGTTATAAGCATCAGGTGTCTGGCGTGGGCGTCTGCAAGATTCGCTTGAATTAACTGAGTGACTGGAATGATATCTTCATCACTGGATATTAGAGTTTTGCTCAACTTGTCCAGGAAAATCTTCTGAATGTTGGCTACTTCATCGTAGAGGCCACCAAAATTACGCTGTAATGACATGTTAACGTCTTGAGAGGTGCTACAACCTGTCAAGCTTTTAATCAAGGAGTAGTAATCACGAAGACCATGGAAATTATCATGTTGTTGTTCCTCATACTCGAAGTAACCATCCGCCAAGGACTTTAATACCTTTTCTCCCAAGCGTTGGCTTCCATCTGTACTATCAGCGTAATGGAGTGAGTACCCTGTGTCATATAGATCTTCCCTGGTTGGTTCCGGTCTGGACAGATGAATTGCCCGGTTCATCTTCGCAGCGTCTAACGACCAGTTTGAAATACCCACAACAGCAACATCTGGAAATTCTCCTTTACCGGGCTCCAACAAGCTATGAAGGACTTTGAGAGGGTTGTACTTAGAATTTTCAGCCAATCCTACTTCATCCAGTAAAACGACTGGCAGAACATTTCCATCTTTGTTGTGGGTTTTATATTTTCGTGCCTTTTCAAACACTTTGATGATTCCTTCTGATGTGGACGACTCTGAGCCTTGATATGAGACGACATAAAGTTGTGGTAACTTTCGGAATAAAACATTTTGCGAATCACGTCCTCGTAGGTTGCTTCGGATTAACTGTATGGATAATGACTTACTACATCCAGGCTTGCCAACGACGAAAATCGGAATGCGATTTAAGATGCAAACAAGCATTACAAAGACATTTTCTCGTAGGGCGGCGTTTCTTGCAGTGCCATTTGGGAGTTCCATCCGATCCAAATAGTCTTCTTCTTCTATACGTACAATAGCTGCAAAATTATCCGAATAATCAGTTGCTTTCATTTCAAAGTCATGACGGCTAAATACATCCATCATGCATCTTCGGTAATCTTTCCGCAACTCTCCAGTAGGTAATCTGGACAAATAACAATGGGCCAGTGCGAGCACAATGCTCTTGATCATTGGATTCTTTTTGTACTGTTGTGACATCGAATGGTATTTTCTTAAGTGCCTGGAGTATTCTTTCTTGGTTTCCTTGAGTTTTTGGCGCTTCCTTCGCATATCCTCAAACCATCCAATCAGGTGAATGCAGCGGTAGACGTCTCGTAAACTAACACAAAAGTGGTTCTTTTCAGCATTACGAATGAACTCCTGAGAAGAAGCGAGCAACTCAATGAGCATATCTTCATACTGGCTTGGCAGATTTCTTACCATTCTCTGAATATAATTTCGTTCATCTTCTGGTGCTAGTGAACCATAATCCCAAACATAGTCAATCATAGCTTCAGGTAGTGGATGGACACGGTACACCAGCTTGGAATACTCATCAGTTATATTCTTGCCTTCGAGACCAGCTGTTTTAATGTGTTCCTCAGGACGTAACTTGTACGGGTTACAAGCTGCTAGGAAGACAAGATTTTTAGCTAATGGTCGCCCGAGCAAAGAGTGATGACATATCACATCGCTGATCAATCCTAGGTGATCACACGTGTTTATTTCATCCAAGAAAATCCAGATTTTCTCTTTGGTATTCTTAGCGTCATATTCCTTTTTCTTTATAAATATGATTGTATCTTCTTCCGACCTCCCAGCATGCAAATTAAATGTTTCGAGTTTTATACCACACGTATCAGCCAAATAACGAATAAGACTGGTCTTTCCACAGCCTGTCTCTCCCATGATGATAACTGGAACATTGGCACGAACACGTAATATGATCAATATCATCTTTAGGATGTTATCTGGAGTCAAGGCGTAGCTTGTAAATAGATCTTTCTTTCCAACCAGTTTCATGCATGCTATCTTCTCTAACTTCTCCTGTAGTTCGTCTTCAGTTAAAAACTCCATATCGTCAAGTTCTGTGCTCCCTCGTACCACTTGACTCTTCAATAATTCTATAACATTTAAGGGAACGGATGATCTTTTCCTGTACACAGCAGTAATCGCTTGCGAGTTCAGACCATGAAACACGATCAACAAATGGTTGCTGTTTTCCCACTGTATCATCCCCGTTACTCGTTCAACCATATCGTCGGCAGACGTCCCGGTGGATGCGACTGCTCTGTCCAATGCCCTCGCGGATTCCTCTTGAGACAGATTCTTTTTATCGCCTGAGGGAGAAGTTGTAATAGAACGAGATGCGAACTCTTTTGACACTTCTAAAAGTGCGGAAAAAAGATTGCTACGGACACCAGTGGACTCTTCACCAACCATGGATTCCAGATTCTCAATTTTGAAAAAAGTGCTTTTTGAATATTTTAAAAGCTGGTCAGCTAGAACTCCCAGAAATGTGTGTAGTATTGTAAAGGTAACATCTGCAGCTGATGAAAAATACCTCGCTAAAAGCTGTTTGCAGCGAACTGGCGGCAAAGGTTTAAATGTATTCTCTCCACAGAAAGAAATTTCATTTGAATCAAGGCCTTGTCGGTCAAAGAGATCTAAGTATTGGCAAACGACTTGAACATTACTCGTTATTTTGGAGCTGACCAGGAAGTCCTTGTAATTCTGCCACTCCAAGTGAATGTGTTTAAAGTATTTTAAAACAATCAATGATTCTCGGAGCGTATCTTTCAGTGTATTTGCTATTTCAATGTAGATGTGTGTTGTAGGGAGATGATAAAATTGATTCCCGGCTGAGACCATTCCGGTGACAATAAGTTGGAATAGGAATGTGTCCAACAACAATGGATCGCTAACTTCACCAATATCCAGATGCAAGCAATGATACTTTTTTATCTTGATCTCTTTTAGTCGCTGAATGACTTTACTTGGCTCGAATGGGCCACTAATTGGAAAGGTAACAACACCCATACTCTTCTCCAGTGATTGCTGCTTCACTTGCTCTGTTTTTCCAAGTCCAGGAAGTTTAGATGTGATAATTTTAACGTCAGGCCAACCAGATTGGAGGTGATTTCCGAGGGAATGATCACTCATACCAGCAATGCGATGTGTATATTGGGAAAACTGTTCCACAATGTGATGATGGTCACCACCGCAGCAAATCAAAGCAAGTTGATAATCGATATATTCTTTTATTGCCTCGGAGCTTTCGTAGTATTTCTGCTTCTCTTTGATCGCCTTAACTAATTTGAACTGCAATTCATTTGGAAGTAATTCAACATTTGCGATGCAATATAAACTTTTTCGATGTACGAACTTTGAATGCATGAAACATCTTTGCAGTAGCAAGTGTAAATCCTCCCAATTTGTTTGTGAATTACAGAAAATAATTTGATACGGTTCCGGATATGCATTTGACGTGTTTTCGTACAGCGTGAGGAGAACGTTGATCATTATTGAGCTATCTGGCTCGAGACTGGCGACGAAGATTTTTCCAGGTGTGACTTCTGCCTCCGACGAAAATCGTTCCTGATGCGACTTCTTTCTGTATGAGTCCGTTTCTCCCTCGTCTGGAATTCGTCTGATAACATCTTGTACTTCGTTAAAAATGCATTTCAACGCCTCTCCAACACTCGAGAGCAAAATTTCTGGACTGTCATTGGGATTAAACACAGCAAACTTTTCCTTGTGATCTTCTAACTGCTGTTTAGTGATCGTTCTATCGACAAAATGGATCAGAGAGAGAACTTCGTCGCAATCAACAGCAGGCTCGCCAATCAAGAAATCATACAGCTTGCACAGTTGATCGGAGCGGTAGTAATTGAGACGGTAGAATTTCTCCTGGACATTCTTCAAAACACTCTCCCAGTTTTCTTGATCATTCAAAAGGCTATCCCTAACAGATTTGAGTTCATCGGTAGTTTTTATTCGTTTCCAATATCTTCGATATTTTACATAGCCTGAGGAACGTAATTTTAATAGATGATTGGAAATTTCCGACAGTAGGTTTACTTGATTAATGAAGTCATCAAAATCAATATCCTCGCTACTTTCGTTGTAACGACTGGAAGTAACCTTGATACGGGAAGAAATTATGAGATGCGCCCGACTTCTTAAATCATGTAGATCTGACAGAGAGTAGCTACAGAATTTATCTTCACCATCCCCAGGAAGCACGTAACTCATCTTAGTTTCGCATTTTCCGTCTTCCTGCGACACCGAGTATTTTCCTCTGCTCAGGCAATTACTAATGATTTCTTTAGTCATCTCTCCACGGTTTGCAATGCTCATGTACAACCCACGAAGACTGTTCACGTTCATACTACACTGCTTGATCTTTCCTTCTATATCTTTATGACCATTGCACGATTCTTTTAACATTTTTAAAAATCCTTGGAGTTCTAACGTTTTGTCATTTTTTTTCCTAATCAAAGGTGCTAGGAATCCATGAACGTCGATAAGGTCGGAAACTGATGACTCGAATACAAATTGATCCGAATGTTCCTCAACGGCATCGATTAGGAAACGAATGTCTTCGTCAACGATCTCTTCCATAAAACTAAGCAATTCTCTGCATGTCGACAGTTCCTTAATCACACCAGTTAATTCTTCTCCAGAAAAAACTGAGACTATTTGTTTGATGTTTTCCATTGATTGATGCAACGATGTAGGTGTTGGTTCATTTCTATTTTCCATCACTGTTTGGAATTGTAAAAGTACCGTCATTGTATCATTTGGGATGTCTTCCAGTCCAAATATATCACGAATAGCAATGAAGTGTTGCACTTGTTCCAAGAGGTGAGGATACTTTATGTAGTCGTGGATGTAAAGTTGAATTTCGGGGGAAAACCTTTCTCCGAAGTATGTTTCTAGCATTTCGAGCTCTTTAACAAGTAGATCTTCGCCTTTCATAATACCAAGTAAGGTCTTCATGGTCTCCGCATTCAGTGACTTGGGATCTTTGAACACACGATCCCATTGCTCTTGAAATTGTTCTATCGCTGTTGTGGTAAGGAACGCTATCAGTGAATGGAAGTCATGCACTGGTGTTGCCGCATTCTCCTGTTCGTCTTCACTTGCACCGCTTAATTCCCTCAAGCATCTTTTAGCGACGGTCCTAAAGGACAGAGAATTTCCTACTGTATGCAAATCTTCGGCTGCGCTTAGGAACAGCAATAAATCCCCCCAAGACGTTTCATCTTCCAAATCTTTTACACTACCTGTGCGCAAGATCTTTCTAAGATCATTTAACGACTCCGTGACACTCTCAATTCCTGGAACTGCACAAACGTCTTCGATTATTTTACTACTGCATTCGATCGCTGACGTTAGCATGTCAATTTTCTTGGAAGAATCTTCGGCAACATTCATCAAACGTGAGATATGATCTAAAATCAACTTTTGGATATCGGCCTGGTTACACTTTGGTGGTCCGGAAGCATTTCGTAAGATGGCACAAAGCATCGAAACGTCTTCCTTCTTTTTGTCGACGTCTTTTAATAAGCCTAAAGATATGTCACCATCTTTTATGCGCTTATCTAGTTCTCGACAAATCTTCTCTCCAATTCGATATTTTCTATTATCAATTTCTGAAAGTTAAGAAAATCCAAATCAGGATACAATGTTATTAAATGTAGGTACTTACCTAAACTGCACACATGGGACTGCTCTTTGACAGATCTAAAATGCATTGCTTCTTGTTTTGTTTGAAACACAAAAATAACAGACCTGTTTTTTTCTCAAATTCTGGTCATGGCAAAAATAATACATTTTTTAAAAAGAGGGTACAGTGAGATTAAGAGAAAAGGAAGACTATGACTTCAAGTTATTTATATAACGCAGAAAGACACTTACCAGGTATTTTCAGGAAGATAATCCAAATATCACACGAACCCAAGATGTTCTTGAAATTATTTTCTTTAATTTGACCAACTTTACCAATTTCTTGTACATCAATGATGTCCAGGATAAACGACAATAGTTCTTGGGCAAGCCTGAAAACATACAACATTAGAAGTTTAGTGTTAAGTCGAAACGTTTTTTTGTATAGTATAGTTACGAAACAACTTTAAACGCCATTTCCAAGGTAAATGTAATCGGCTACTCGACTCAAATTTCACGCCTTAACGAAGTGTAACACGAAATCTCGACCCTTCTCGTAATTGACGTATTCGATCAACAAAATTTTGAGGCGTCCGTTCCCTTAACGGTGCGTCAACGAGTATACCTGTTGCTACAATGTTCCATAAGAATTGTGCATGACTCTTTCAACACTTTTTTGGGCTTCTTCTTCAATATGTTCTCTACATGGGATTTATAGCTCTCCTGGACGATATACAGATATCTTTTTATTTCCGCCAAAGCTTTCAGAAGGGAAGAAGCGTCTTCATTTTTCAAAAATCGTCTTTCGACTTCGGTAGAGAGATCCGTTACAAGAGTTGAATTAGCGATATTCATAGGACTTGATCGAATTATGTCGTCAATTGCACCATAAACTGCTATCACCTTATCCACACCATCGACACTTCTACCAACGCCACCGTTCACACAATTAGTTATCACCCACGATTCACAGAGCTTTAACTTCTTCTCGTAGGTCATGCCACGCCAACTTTTTGTAAAACACGTGTTGCCTAGAATTTTAGGAACCATCATTAGACGACGAATGCACTTTGATTTGGAGAGCTCCATCAGCACGTCAAACACTTGATCCAGAGCCAAATCTCTTTCAGAAATGATCGCTTGAAGAAATTTTTCTTCATCGTCGTCATTAAATTCCTCATCTGACTTGGCGTATTCAAGTAATGTTTGAAATAGATAATCGTGCATCTTGTGACGAATTTTCTCCGGAATTTTGTAAAACTTGCTTAATTTCGCCGCAACGTTTTCGTTTTCAGTGCTAGCAGTTTGCTTTTCATAGAATTTGACAAAGAAGTTCAGCTTTTCGACATCGTCAGCAAAGAAGCAGCTAACTTTGGAAACTTCGAATAACTTCAAAGCCTCGTTCAAACTTGGGGCTTTCTTCATCACCAAATCTAGCAAATCTTGGTAGGCGCTCTGCTCTTTGCTTTCTATTTTCTCGATATGTGAAAGGAGCATATCGACCATTTTCTTGTATTCTTCGGTCTCATAAGTATAGTGGTATTTTTCAAATTTCTTGCCAAGAATGAAACCAATCCCAAGATAGGGATAAAAATATGCTGCTAAGGTAAGCCAACTTGGACTGCTGCTGTTTTCTACCAAAATAGTGGCTAAATTTTCCAAAGTCTTCAAATTTGAAGGTGGAAGAAGGCGGGGTTTATAACTGTCGTTCAAAACCTGAAGAAGGCGATCGCACATGGCTGTCGTTTTGTCATCTCGAGGTAACAAATCCGAATTCTTGCAAAGATGACCTAAGACGATACATAAATACAGTCGCTGCAGGTCTGTCACCGAGTTTTCGGAAACTTGTTCTACGATCCATTTCACAAACTCTTCCACGTTGCTTTTGCCAGACGTCACTAACGAAGTGAAGTCTAAATTTTCTATTTGCTTAAGAATGCTGGAAATTGCAATGGGATTAGGAATAAAATTTAACAGCAACTTTAGGTAAAATACCACCGATCTAGGAACAGTCTCGCTCATATACTGTGAGTCTTCTTGAAAATTGAAAACATCGAAGTGAATGAACGAGCGCACTCGTTTCGGTGAAGTATTGGCTTCAACGTATGGTACGGGCTCCTTACTTAGCGCATTAATCTTGTAATCGAAAAACGGTAGTTTAAAATCATGTCCTTTTACACGGAAACCATATTTATAAGTCATATTATCCTTTGTCTTGCGGCAAGGTAACGGTACAACACACATAAACAGATTGTTGCCGCGAACATGACCTTCGACAGGTTTCATAATTGTAGGTCTAGAGTCGAGATTTAAAATCGCTTGATCAACATTGTAGTCTCCAAAGATCAAGAGGTAGAACCAAATCTAAAAAATGTTATTTTAAAACGTGGTAATTATACTGTGTATTATAATGTGATGATAATAATGGGTTTTTATTTACATGGCACTCATGCAGGCGTATAGACCTATTCGAAAAAGAGCAAGAGGCCTGTTATGCTGGACCTGTTACAAGCTACACAAAATCGAAGTTTTCCCAGTCAAAATTTAGAAGTGTACAGATGATTTTGAAATTTTGAAGAAGTAACTTAACACTGCGTTCGCGTTCCAATCGCGTTCCGAACACATTCCAAAAAGGCGTTTCTTTGCGTTCCAAACGCGTGAAATATTTGGAACGCGTTCCTCGGTTGATTTGAAACCGCGTTCCTACTTCGGAAATTTCCAAGTTGACTGGTGTTGATCCTGATCGGAATACACTATAGCGATCACGGTCAATATGCCATAGCTTCCGGTGACAATTTTGAATTTAGACCACTACGCGGAGCATCGCCAATGATGCCTGTCTTCGAATAACGCGAAAGGAAACGACATATGGAAATTTTTTAAGTTTTTATTCTCTCTTTCTCAAGCAATTCTTTTATTTTTGTTTGGTTCACACCGCTTGACTGCAAAGAAATTATTCTTTTTCTGGCGTATTCAGAAATCTTTCCCATGTTCACAGACGTGTAAAGTTGTAAACACAAATTAATGAAATAAATCCGTTTACGTTGCCGGAATCGACGCTAATTAATTCTCACGATAACTCCCGAAGATTTCCGACTGATTCAGTAGGAATGCGTCTGGAACGCGTTCCACTAAAAGCCGAACGCAAATCGAACGCGATTTGGGACGAAATGGAACGCATTTGGAACGTGATTTGGATTAACTTACTTCTGGGCAGTGTATTTGGAACCGTATACAAACAATATGGGGAATTCATGTCAAAGAACTTTTTGTGTAACAAAATGTTTTCAAACTTCTTCAGACAAATTCTTATCAAGAAAGAAGTACTCTTCCGTGATAAATGTTCATCCAGTCATTCTCTTTACTTCCTAATACAATAGAGAATGAACACAAGGATTGTCCTTACCGGCGTTAGTTGCGGTGACGGTGGTTGCGGTTCAGGTATATTCTTCTTTAAGATGGCTGAGTATGAACTTGTTTGTTCACTGGAACCGCTTCCTATTCCGGGTACCATAGGATTATCAACACTTTGACTTCGATTATTAGATCGAACAAGGGCAGTTTTATATGGCTGGACGCTTTCTCCTTTCCCGGTCTCAGAATTACTGAACTCCTCTGAATCTGTTGGATCGCAACACTCCTGTCCTCCCCTCGTCTGTTCATTTCGACCTTGTTCAGCGGTAAAGGTATTGTTAATATCCCTACTCTGTGTCTCGGCTTGGTCGCTTTTAGTTTCACATCCACTCTGTGAATCACTCTTATTTTCGCTATTTTTTTCCAGTTTTTCCATTTATTGTATGCTTAGGGGAACATCTATAAACAAATGTAAAAGTAACGATTGAATTTTGTTTACATCAAAATTAAAAAGGCTAAAAAACAGAACGAGTGTTGAATGTTGCTTGTTCTTTTTGTGCATGGCTTTCATCCTATTCCTAAGAGCTACGGTTCATCAGGGAACTTTTAGGTTTCTACAAAGAATCTAGAGGCCTTTCAAAGGTCGTTTCTGTTCTTTTGATGATCATAATGGTCACCCTTTTCCAGTTCTGATCATAATGGTCAACTCTTTTCCAGTTCTGTTGAACATAATGACCTTGGCACACCATTTGGTAGTTAACTAACAATTAGTGTTTGTTGGACAGAGATCTACAAAAGTACGACGGACTTTTTGGAATTGTTAATGAGTTAAAAGGTCGAGAATTTCGAGTGGAAATCATACACATCTCAAATCAAAGTCGGAAGCAGGTAGGAATTCAACTTACGCCTTTGCGATAAAACTGAGCCATTATGTGCCTGGAGTCCGTGTTCGACCCACTAATAGTAGCATAAAAGGCGCGAAATTAAATTAATTCTGCATAAAAATGAAAGAATTACACACTTTTCTAGTGCCGAAGTCATATGAAATGAAAGAAATGATAATCGAGGATCTGGATTCTGGAATGTTTTTGCCACTGAGGTTGTTGACAAGAGCGATTCCGGTACATGCGCCGGAGCATGTATTAAGCTCGTGATTGGTTAGTCTGATAGACCTATCGCATTTGATTGGTTTATATTCCCTCAAAGGTTGTGGTAGTCGTAGTGGTAGTCAAATCCTCCTCGCTATTATCTTTTACACGACGAATATGCCGCTATTTTGGGGTTGTTTTTTTCAAAACCAAGTGTGTAAGACCTCGTAACGGCGTCTATCTTTATTTTTAGGCTGAATCTATTCTTCAAATGGTCTGTTGATTCTAAAAAAATGCTCTTCATGTTGTTATAATTTTTTAAACGCATTTGAGAAAATTTGAAAGTACCCCAAAAACGTTATCGTGAGAAAGGCTAATGGGAATTGGATGCAAATGAACTTTAACAGAGACTTTGGCTTATTAGCATTAGGTTCGGCACATGAAAGTTCGACGTCTAAAACAGGTCTAAAGCAGGTTTTCCACTAGCGATATTTTTCGCGCGAAGCGACATTTTACTTTTGTTCCAGAGCTCTCAACTGCAACCATCTGGAACAAGTTGCTTAAATACAAAGGAATAAAGTCGCTTCGCACGAAAAATATCGCTAGTGGAAAACCGGCTTAAGTCGCGTTTTCTTATATATCTCTCGCGTTATTACTTTGCAAACAAGTCTAATTAAGGCATGGAAACATTTTCGACAAATCCAACTAAATATATTTTTAGTATATTTTAATATATTCAACCTAAAAACTGCAGTGGCGTAGCCAGCCTGACGATTTAGTCATGGTATGCAAATTTTATGTTATTATCATTATTCATTTCTTTAGAAATTCATTGTTTTGACAGTCAATGAACACCAAAATATTAGCATAGCATGACTAAATTGTCAGGCTGGCTACGCCATTTTAAAAGCTAGCAGAAGATAAAGGCAAAATGCAATTTTTCTGAAAATCACGTACAACTCGTCGTCTATCTCCCGAGCTATAATTTAACGACGAGAACATTTGTGTGGGAGAAACCTTGGTTGCGAAATATTTGAAATCCTGTTCGCATGAACGTGTGTGTACACAAATAGGATTCTATTGAATTTCCCTACATTTCTCTCAGTGGGACAGTGAGTAGAACTTAACAACACGCTGACGAAGGGAGATATTTTGTTGCAAAGCCTGAATTTACTGCCGTGCATGCTTACTATATTCTTGGCCCGAAATATTTCGATGAGAATAATCACCCCGATTCGATCACATAAAAATCTGATATAAAACGCTTATATCCGTGCACTTGCATTTATAAATTATAATATGACACCAGACGTAAACATCACCTTGCATACGGAACAGGTAAATGTTTTCTGCTGTAATGCTTTTAAATATTTAGGACATTAAGACAATTTTTCGCACTTCCGCTTCATCATCTCATCACATTTCAGTGTCTAGCTCTGGATACACTCAGCGAACTTTGACAATTCGAATTCGGTAAAGATACAAAACGCATGCAAACTTTATAATCACAAACTCTATTAAATGCGCCCTTATTATTTATACCGCAGGCGATAAACAGCAACAGTTGACAACGTTTGCTAAAACAAAGAAATAGCTACAATATACACAAAACAAAGAAATAGAATATACACAATAACAATATATCCAAGCATAAAAAAGTTAACGCAATTTAGGAGCTACCTTGAATACGGTAATCAGTCTTCCGATTAAGTTCCCAACGGCCAACTCCGACGAGACGACGGTGTTTATTAAGCGCTCAGAGCATCTTTATTTTCGTGAATCCTATATTCCACGAGTTTAATGTAACATTCTCATTCTTGCAAATCTTGTTTGAGTTTAGTTTAAAGTCGAATCGGCTCAACGGGTGGCTTTGTGATAGCTGGCTTTCGATTTTAATTCCTGGTAGCTCGGTCTGAATTCGTGGAAGTCACGTGACCTTCATTGTATACATAGACAGCAGACACTTCTGCAGCCGGCGAGGTGAATAATTTAATTATGTTCACCACTCTCGTGCTCATTGTGACATTTCAGCATGTTTCAGAACTAAAACTTTCAACTGATTTTTACACGCCCGTGATAAATCTACATTCGTGCAAGCTGGTTATAGACCTCATCACTATATATTGCACTTCAACGTGATTCCCATCGATCTGCCATCCAGACTGCCATCGAGTTTTATTACAACTGCAAAATTCTAGGTAGTGTGCTAAAGGCAAAGAGATTTTGTCGACAATTTTGCTGCTTGTCGTCAAATCACCAGCAAAATAGGATGTACTTAAAATACGTTTGGTACAATTAGTTCACAAAACGGCTTGTACGTGTTTTGCAACAACAAAGTACAGAGTTCCCACGGAATAGAGGTCGCACCGAGTTGCGCTATAGCGATTCTTGAAAACACAATGAAACAGCTGTCAGCGATATAAAATTACACAATTGGGGGCTGGGAATTTCTAAAGGGTTTTACCTCGAAACATTACAAACAGTTTTCCAACATCCAAGCATTATTAATAACATAACGATTGCCGTTTTCGCACCTATGTTTATGTAATTCATATCTCATAAAATTACTCTAAGATATATTTTTTCAGTAAAGTTTAGACTGAAATGTGCACACAGCTGTCGTTGATCAGCAGTACCTGCAGCATACGCTTGTCAATCATTCTATTTAGTTTTATTTAATTCCGATATAAATACGTATAACGTGAACCTATTGATCACTTCCAATTTTCGTTTCTTTGTCGGACTGTTCAAGGTTTAATAAAGTTTTTAAAATCTGCTATGGTATAAAAGTTGTTACAATTTGACAAACACTGTCAGAAGGGCTATTATTCAGCGCTAAGCTGATTTACAAGAAACCGTTTCATTCTAGTTATAATCCAGTCCAAAATGAAAATTGAATATACAAATATCTGTAATATATTAGCAGGTTCACGACAACCAGGTATATAATCTTTCGCAATTATCGCTACTCTAAATCTGGTTTAATTAATGAAAGTAATCCCCACACAAAGATTATATTCATGACCCAATGTTTCGACACTCGGTCTAGTGTCTTCATCAGGGCTGATCTCATGTTGAAACTTTGAGGACACTAGCCCGGAATGAAAATATTTGAGCTCCAGAAAAACCATTCATGCAAATTATGTAATGTATACGAGTATGATTTGTATATGCAATGAAAAATCTACATACTCACACTTCACTCAGATTAAACGAATGTCATAGATAAATCGTTTATAAAGATATTGGTTGTTGTCATTTTTAGTTTTTTTCTAAACTTTCGAATCGTTATTAACTATTGTCGCCAAGCCGACGCACATGAAATTAAAGCTATTAAAAAGTTATATTTCGTGTAGAAATTTGAATCTGACTGATTCAGTGGCTCTCCTCATATGTCACCGACGATGGCTATTGTCGGTGATCACTGATGAATTAAGTGCTTTGTTATTTTGAATTAAATTTCTTCGTCAAGAGCCACAAACGAGTGTTTTTACTGCCATTTATTTTAATAACCTAGGTGCCTTAAAAAAGGCCATATGGTTTCTAGTAGGCTCCTAGCCCATTTCTTGTGAATATTTATTCTTTTAAAATGTGAATTTTATTTCTCTTTTCTGAATTTTATTGCCATTTGCATTGCCTGTATTTTCAATTGAATCACGACGTACAGTTACAGCTATAATCGATATATTTTTTAACAAAGGTAAATTAATATTGTGTTTCATGCGTATACATTTTTTGTAATTTTGTGCATAAAATTGTAACACTATAGTTTGCTACTAATTACATGTTAGGCAATTATGGTAGCTACTATTTATATTCTTCTGTGACTGCTAAGAGTCAGCCATCTAATCTAATTTGAACAATAAAGATATAAAATTAAAGAGATAGTCCATTGGCTGACTTCAGACTGAGTGCCCGGCGCCGGTGCCCAAAGTCAAAGCATGCTCATAATTCATAAAACCTGCCGAGTACAGTGCCCTAAGGTTTAAGTACTACCTCTGGAGGTAGTGTCCGTTCTTCAATTTGATTTGGAAGCGTCAGAAAAAGTGCCGAGCACTCAGTCTGAATGCAGCAGCCTAATAACTTTGAATGAGCTCAAAATTTGAAATTGACGCAAAGATCGCGTATAATGATCCATATGTAATTCTAAAAAGGTTATTCCATGTATATGCTTCTTTAATAATAAATTTTAACTGTCACTGCATTTAAATTTATTGCGAGCCGTTAATTTATGCATACACGGATATATATTAACGGATTAAGTTCACTTATCATGCGCGGGAGAAATTTTTAAGTCGACGTCGCCCACCAGACTGTTTGGTCGTCTTTTGTTGAACGGAGGAAACTCGAAGACTTTCCTTCTTCGACTCGCCAACTTTCTCCTGAAGAGAAATATTTGTTATTGAACGAATGCGTGCCTGTCTGAATGAGAACTAATACTGTACTCGAGAGCCGTTTTCAAGACAGATTGACATTTCTCAGCAGACTGGAGGAAAAATACTGGAAATAGCGAAACGCTCCTCTTGTTCGCGTTATTTACGCAGTTAAAACAATAGAAATGCTAATTTTAAACATCATTATTTTATGCTCATTTGAACAACGCAATTATGGAATTGCACAGTATATTACTACATGCACAATATACCATGTTTTTCTATAAAATTATAACCATCCATTTCTCATGACAATGACAAAGACCTTTTGTCAATCTGTCAATGTCAAAGCCGGGGATAACAAGCATTTAAACTTTTTACTATTGACTAAATCCTATGCTATCTACTCGCAACAGGTCCCTATATAAGTTCATGATATACTACACCTCACGATTCACTGTCCTATTCACCCTAAACAACTTGTCTTCTATTTACCTTTTCGTCGAGATACTTCACAATTGAGTGGATGTACTTGAGAGTGATTTCGCGTGGAATGTCATTCAGGTGGGGTGGCTGTAGTGGGAACCACAGTGAAGGTTCTTCCAAACAGGACTGCAATGACTTTCTTTCTTCCGGCCAATATTTTTCAGTTTCTGATGAAAGATAGCGGAAAATGAAACGACGCAGTGCTTTGAGAAAGTTTGGCGGTTTCAACTGTTCAATATCTTTGCCAACCATGGTGCTGACGGATTCTTCTATCTCATCTGGCAGTTTTTTTCGGAATTTGTCAGCGAGTCCTTCGATAGCTCCATCTGCAAGCACATCTTCGAGTGCTTCGTAAAGAGCTGCAAGGTGTCTGATCTTGATCAATCGTCTCGGCTCGGGTAACAACTTTGCAGGGAAGGGACTTGGTAACATCGGCGACCAATTTTCGGCAAACTCTTCTAAAGTCATATCTACGTTAATCTTCTTTAATTCTCGTTTAAGCAAGAAAATAAGCACTTCGATATGCTGAAGAAGGTCTTGAGCTTCCTTTATTCTCCGTTCTTTTAAGTTCGACAACCCTTTACGTACATCATCCGGCAAACTTTGTTCCTGTGCAACTTGTGATCTGATCTCACTCAATAACGGACCACAGGAGTGAAACAACTCCTTTGCGAATACAAACTTATTAAGCGTTCCTGTCAAGAAACATTTTCCAAATACGATTTCTTTTGCAATGACCATTTCCATTCTCTCGAAATCGTAGGTGATTTCTCGACCTTTCCCATACTCGAGATTGTTTTGTGCATCCTGAAAGAAATCATCTGACCATTGAAAATTGATTATTTCTTTTTCTTTAACATCTTGAATTGAGGCGGACATGACACCACTGCAGTTTTCTCTTTCAAGGAAGCTTAAACCTGGATGTTGATGTAAAGAGAAAGAAATAACTGTGTCCATAATCGAGTTTTGGTAAGAAACAAGGATTTCAATAGCGGTTTTAAGATAGATTCCATAATCACCATCCATTAGACAGTAAGCAACACATTGCGTCTCTGACAGTCGCGGCATTTCCGTTTTGCCAACAAGCGCTTGGTTAACCCGATAACGCATTTTGTTCCACGCTTTCTTAAAATTGTTGAACAACTCCTGCAAACTTTCTGTTTGTTGTTGTGTTTGGGCGGTTTCTAGAAGATGGCCACCGATGAAGTCGTCGATCGACTTAGACTGTGCATCCTTCCTACTAATGCGATGGGTTAATGCTTTCGATACTAGTCGAGACCATTTTAGCAGATGATTCAGGTCACCAATGATTAGGAATTGCTCAAACTTTGCAAAGAACAGGGTAAAAAAACTGTGCTTTGTTTGAACCTCTTGAGGAGAATGCAGAAATGCTGAACGGAAATCCTCGAAACATGGTTGCTTTGTCACACGAAATAGTCTCTTTAATTGCCGGTTCTGCTCTTTCGCTAGTTCAGGATATTTGTCGCGTTCCAAGATACGGCATTCCATTGCTTTACTGTCCTCCGTTTGTTGTATTTCTATCATCTTTTCTGTTCCCTTGGATGCCCTATACGATTTCAAGACTACTTTTTCTACACGTTGGAAAAATTTGTCTTCCCATTCTTGACACATGGTTGGTGTTAAACAATCATTTGCTCCATGTGACGTTTCACTAGTCATGAGATCGGAACTTTTTTCGACCATTACATGTATAGCTTCGATTGCGATATCTTTTTTGCAACTGAGAATCTTCATGAAAACGCAGAGATCAGTCTTGATAGTTTCAAAACAAATGTTCGCCGGATTTCTGCCTGGATCCGTTCCATGTAATGTATTTAAAACTCTGGACAAGTCCTTCTTTGTCGAAGTTCCGAGAGCAATTCCAGCGTAGAAAGCTGAGTAAACGATGAGGTGTAAGGCACGATAAACTGCTGGACTCATGTGTTTTGTACAGAGAGCCCATTCCGGAATTGTATCCCCATGACACGATAGTGGGCGTTTGGCATTCGTTTTTGGAGACGCGGCGCTTTCTGTATCGTCACCCAGGGTTTCATGACAGTCTGGACACACATTCTTATCAATATTACTTTTAAAGGCCAACCTTAAACCACAGGAGCAGGTAACACGGGCGGATTCGTGCACACAAGGTTGGTATTTGAACACGGAACGAATCTCATCCTTGCAATGGGCAAGAGCACACACATTTTCAAGTATAGCAGAATTGGTGAGGTACTGGTAGAATATCACATTTTCAGTTTGTGGACCTGTGGCGATGACACTGGTTATGTGAAGGACTAAGAGCGCCATTTCAACATCTTCTACTGATGACTCTGGTGACAGTTGAAGTTCTGGACAATCGAAATCACGACGGCCAACAATTCCAAGCAGAAGTTGTTGAAACAATTTTGGAAACGCATCTATTTTGCTAGCAACCCAATCAACCAATTCTTCATCCTTGATATTGAGTTTTCGTACTGCACGCTGCAAATAGACCATATTGATGAGCATCCCAATAAGGGAAAATGCATATTTCGGAGAATTTTCGCATTTCTTCAAAAATTCTTCCATATACGATGTTTCGTTTGATATCATTTTCCAATACGCCTCCGTCGCTTCTGCATACTCGGGATATTTCAATACAGTTGTAAACATCGCCTTATCTTGACTTCTTTCGTTGTGCCATTGTTCTTCTATCGACAAAAGTGTGCAACTGTTGCTGAACCACTTTCCTATATCAAATAGACTTGCCTTCTTGTTGAGTTGTTTCATGAAGAACGTTTGTAAAGATTTTTGGGAATCATTGAGTATTGAATTGACTTCTCTCATCATATGAGCATACGGACTCTGATCCTGGAGTACACCCGGGTCTCCACAAACGAAGTGTGCCAACATTGTGAAGAATCCACGAAGAAATGCTACAGCTGAAAGTACACTTAGACCGCAATTCTCACCAGGTTTTGATATCAATGCCGCTGCAGATTTAGCAAGCATAAGAACTTTAGAGTCGGAGCTAACAATATCATCAATTTTAAATTTCTCTTTGAAATTTAACAGAGATTGAATTAGATCACAAATCATCACTGCTGGGTACGAGTCGTGATTAATTAAGCCGTCCGAAAAACGAACTTCGAAGACGTCATTTATGTTCTGTAGACACGGACAGTTCTCTATAGCGCTTGGATTAGTGATTAAATCTATGAATATTCCAGGTGACTGCATTTCTTCCACCATGAGTAACCGTAAGACGACAGGACTCATCATCATTACTAACTTTGGCCTCTCCAAAGACAAAACTTGTTCTATTATCGGGCGTGCACAACAGGTATCAACATTTGTGTCAATACAACGACCATAGAACAGAGATGAAAACTTCTGTAAAGCTTCTCGTTTATCCTTATTTTCTCCTATTTCTTCTTCTAATGGTTGAATTAGTTTCTCTGTTATTGTTTGAAATGAATCTTCGTGATCCAGGTATTCTGGTTCAAGACCTAAGCCAATTTCGTTTAAAGTATACAATGAACATAAACTCGTAGGTAAGGCAATTGAAGTAAAAATGATCCTTGCGAAGTCGACGCACAAACGTAGGTAATGGAATGCTGGAGATTGTTCGCTGATTTTGAATGCTGACGAGAGCAATAAGTTTGCATTTCGCATCCACATTTCAAAGCCACCATTTTGTTCGACAACTTGTTGTGAAGGAAACATTTCCTTACAGTATACTGTTACCAAAATGTCTCCAAATCTTTCTGAGTTATTACCGTCCTCTATCTCCTCTTCGGACACATCTTTCTCGTCAGATTCATAATTCTTTATCTTTTCAAAATCGTTTTCCTCGTATTCTGAAAAATCTCGCAATTTATCTTTCATATCAAGTTCCACAGTGATCGTTTGATTCTGCTCCGTTTCATCTTTCTTAGGTTCAGCTTGAAAATTAAACACATTGTCATGGATACTCTCCGTTTCGTTTGTGGCGGATCTTATTTTCTGGAATTCATCTTCTTCACTTTTAGTATACTCGACTTCCCTTGAGCTTTGGAAAGTGCTATCTGTTACCTCTGGACTGTACAGCATGTCATCTGTTAATCGTGGCAGAAAGTCGAGTCCTATAAACGCTTGATGTCCTTCTTGGGTTTCTGTTTTAGCGGTTTCTACTGTTCCTTGTGGTTCCTCGGTCATATTGCCGCCATTCAGTTCTTGGCTTGGTTGTTCTTGTGGGGGTAGAGTCTTGTTTATTTTAACCATAGTAACTTCTGAACTGAGCAATACGTCGTCTGTTATATTTGACAAAGCGTTTAGTCCTATAAATGGGCGACAGCAATCAATCATTCTCAGCGAATCGAGTATTTCTTCCCGATGGTCCCATACAAAGATGTGAAGAAGTGCACAGAATTGAGGCATATCTTCCGCTGGCAAATGCTGCTCAACTTCTGAACTAAAGGTTGCCTGTGCTATGGAAACTCTCTGAGAACGACTTAATGTTTCGTTGAAATCCGCTGTCACTATATCCAGAACGTCTTTCAGATATAAATCGTGACAGTTTGAAGAAATACTAGTGAGTTCGGGTATAAGGTTTATGATGGTCTTTGAAATTCTTTCCAGTTGTTGTTGCCGGGCAATCGGCGTTAGTTCATCATTTTCATCCAAATTTTCTTCATTTTCTGCGACTGTTGCACAATCTTTGAAAAACAGCTCCTTGATGCTGTCAATTTTTCTTAGTATCACTTGGATGAAAGGCAGGCTAAGATCTAAGCGTTTCGTGTCAAGAACATATGATTCTGCCCCACGCGGTTCTGAAAGGTTTGATATTCCGAGAATGGCGTTCTTTATGAAAAAATTGCACCAAAGATTTTCCAGCGCTGATATCCGGGTATGTTGAAAGTCGCCAGCCAGATGAGGGGGCCAGGCATTCTCCTTTTCTAAGAAGTATACAATTTTTGCCAGTGGTTTCCGAACTAACCGAGAGACACACTGCTCCATTGCGCAGTAGAGGGTTGACGAATTTACCAATGACTGGCGGTCGCAAGCAACTTGTACTTGCCAATTTTCTTTTAATTGTGCATCTTCGTCTGGTGGTTTGTGATCGTTTGTGCTTATCGACTGCAAGATAAGATCTTCGACGGCTCGCGAAACTTTTTCTGAGTTGAAAAGGTTTTGAGCGATGTGCAAAACACTATCCAACGGTCTTTGGCTTTGGGTATATTTGATGCAGGTGAAGCACCATAAGAGATCATTTTGCGTAAACCTGCGAATAGGCCATATGGAAGATGTGAGAAGTTGTTGCACACTTTCGCCCAGTATTTTATTCAGCGGAACAAGAGGAGCTTCAAGGACGTCAAGAAACACTTGTCTCCAACCACACAAAAAACTGAACTGCCACGGAATGTCTTCAATTTCTCTACGTTGTACGTGCATTACAATACAAACGTGTTTGTTTCCTTCTGTATCCGTCTCGTACGAAGACTGTTTGTACGAATTTCTCTTTTCCTCTATGATGGTACGGGCAAGAAGTAAATGTGGAGCGTCTGAATCTGGTTTACACTGCAATACTAGCAACTTTTTATCTTTGGCATTCCAGAATGCATTGATTCTTTCGGCCAACTGCTTCTCTGACTTATACGCACTCAGTCGTTCCACTTGACTCTTGAAACGGTTTCCCAGGCACTGACGAATGTCTGTGTAAATGTTGGAGAACGTCATAATCACAGTTTTAGAGCCAACCTCATCACTGCCAAAGAAAGATGACTTCTGATAGTTGTTCATAACATGTTCCATGAAGGTAGCAAATCCTTGATGTAGTGGTTTCTTGAAATATTTTTCGCTTAACTCCTGAATTTCTTGTCGTGCTTCTTTCAAACGATCGCACTTCTGTGCTCGAAGAACACCATCAGGGGAAGCTATCCACATCAAATCTTCTTTGCATTTCTTCGACATCTCTTCCATGTCAGTCTCGCTGGAATGTGATAAAACCAATGAAGGAAGCGTGTCCTCGTGGAAACCAATGAACATATCTCTTTCGCAAAAATGTGACTCGAAACCTTCCACTGTTGACATTTTTTTGACCCAGAGGTGGAGCTCGGTGATAACATTCTTTTGTTCCTCGGTCAGCACATCGGAAAATCGCAAGACTTGTTTCTCGAACCTGTTAAGAAATGGCGGGTCAGAATTATACACGTTTTGTTCATCCATGAGAACAATGCATCGAAATCCGTCGTTCACTTGACACATCGGGTTGCTATATGCTCCAAGTGCTACACGACAGTTCTTCCTGTTACCGACTACGGCGTAATTCTGGTTGAGCAGGTCGTACAAACTTCCATAGATACTCTCTAAGTCTTTTAGTATCAGCACACAATCGCGCTCCATGCAAAGGATAATGCGACTTAGAATCCTGTAGTTATAGTCCTCAGAGAGATCCTCTTCGAGTTGACTGCCAAAAATCGTGATACGCTCCTTCTCCAGGTTGACCAAACTTTGTTTCAAAATTCCAAGGGCTGAATCTCCACTTGTTATAAGCATCAGATGACGAGCATAGGGATCTTCAAGATTCGCTTGAATTAACTTGATTACTGGGATAACATCTTGATCGCTGGATACCATGATCGTCTCTAATTTGTCAAGGAAAATCTTCTGAATGTTGGATACTTCATCAGGGAGGCCACCAAAATTTCGCTGCAATGACATGTTAACTTGCTGAAACTTACTGCTACCCGTTAAACTCTTAATCAAGGAGTAGTAGTCGCGAAGACCATGGAAATTTGCATGGCTTTGTTGGGCTTGATATTCAAAATAGGCTTCAGCTAAACATTGTAGTACTCGTTTCGCTAAATGATTCGTGCTGTCCTTTCCATCAGCATAATGTAACGAATATCCCGTTTCATATAAATCGTCTTTGGTTGGCTCTGGTCTGGACAGGTGAATTGCTCTGTTCATTTTGGCGGCGTCTAACGACCAATTTGAAATACCCACAACTGCAACATCGGGCAATTTTCCTTCACCAGGTTCCAGCAAACTATGAAGAACTTTAAGAGGATTATACTTTGAATTTTCGGCAATCCAACTTCATCCAGTAAAACGACAGGCAGTATATTACCATCTTTGGTGTGGGATTCATATTTTTGCGCCTTTTCAAACACTTTCATGATTCCTTCTGATGTGGACGACTCTGAGCCTTGATATGAGACGACGTAAAGTTGTGGCAACTGTCTGAATAGAGGATCTCGTGAATCGCGTCCGCGTAGGTTGCTTCGAATCAATTGAATAGATAATGATTTGCTGCAACCAGGCTTTCCAACTACGAAAATTGGAATGCGGTTAAGGATGCAAACCAGCATTACAAAAACATTCTCACGTAGGGCGGCATTTTCTGCTGTGCCATGTGGAAGTTCCATGCGATTCAAGTAATCTTCTTCTTCCGCGCGTACAATGTCTGCAAAAGCATCAGAATTTTCATTGCAGTTCATTGAAGTCCCATTCTGGCTAAATACGTCCATCATGCTTTCTCGGTAATCTTTTCGCAGCTCTGTGGTTGGCAATCTGGACAAATAACAATGTGCAAGAGCGAGGACAATGCTCCTAATCGTCGGATTCTTTTTGTATTGTTGTGAAATCAAACGATATTTTTCAAGTTTGCTAAAACATTCATCTTTTGTTTCCTTGAGATTTCGCATCTTCTCAAACCAGTTGATCAGATGAATGCATCGTTGTACATCACGTAGACTGACACAAAAGGGATTATTTGCAGCATCGCGAACAAACTTTTGCGATCCAGCGAGCAGATCAACAAGCAATCCTCTGTATTTGCTTGGAAATTCTTTCACCATCACCATTCTCTGAATGTAATTTCGTTCATCTTTTTGGCTTAATGAACCATAATCCCAAACATAGTCAATCATGGCTTCGGGTAGTGGATGGACGCGATAGACCAGTTTGGAATACTCATCTGTAGTATTTTTCCCTTCAAGACCAGATGTCTTGATGTGCTCTTCAGTTCGTAACTTGTAGGGATTACAAGCTGCTAGGAACACAAGTTTTTTGGATATTGGTCGCCCGAGCATGGAATGATGACATATCATATTGTTGATCAAACCTAGGTGGTCACACGTGTTGATTTCGTCCAGAAAAATCCAAATTTTCTCTTTGGAATCGTTAGCGTGTCCTTCTTTCTTTTCGATGAATTCAGTGATTTCTCCTTCCGATATTCCAGCATGAAGATTGAATGTACAAAACTCTGTGCCGCAAGTATTAGCCAAATAACGAATGAGGCTGGTCTTACCACAGCCTGTTTCCCCCATGATGATGATGGGAACATTTGCACGCACACGTAATATGATTAATATCATTTTGAGGATATTATCTGGAGTCAGTGCGTAGCCTGGAAATAGATTGTCCTTTTTAACCACTTTCATGCAAGCAATCTTTTCCAATTTCTCCTGCAGTTTTTCTTGACTCAAGGCCTCCATGTCTTCAAGTTCGGTATTTCCTCTTACTCCTTGACTCTTTAACAATTCTTCGACATTTTGAGGGACGAGCGATCTATCTCGATATACAGCAGTGATTGCTTGTGAGTTAAGGCCATGGAACACGACCAACAGATGATTGCTGTGTTCCCACTGTATCATACCTGTTACTCTTTTGACCATGTCTTCAGCAGAAGCCCCAGTCGAGGCTATACCTCTGTCTAAAGCTCTTGCCGATTCCTCTTCAAAAAGATTCCTTTTGTCGGGTGAAGGAGACGTTTTGATGGCACGGGATGCAAAATCCATTGATACTTCCAAAAGGGCAAGGAAAAGATTGTCTCGAACGTCCATAGATTCATTACCCACCATAGATTCAAGATTTTCAAGTTTGAAAAAAGCACTTTTGGAGAATTTTAAAAGCTGATCTGCTAGAACCTTCAGAAATGTGTGGAGGGTTGTGAAGGTGACATCGACGTCTGATGAAAAATACTTCGCCAGAAGCTGCCGACAGCGGTCCGCTGGCAAAGGCTTCGACGTCTTTGGCCCGCTAAAATTAACCTCCTTTGAATTAATGCATGCTCGATCGAAGATGTCCAAATACTGGCAAACGACTTGAACGCTGCTTGTGATTTTAGAGCTGACCAGAAAATTCTTGTAATTTTGCCACTCTAAGCGATTCTGGGTGAAATACTTTAACACAGTCAAGGATTCACGGAGCTTATCTTTTAGAGTATTTGCTATTTCAATGAATATGTGCGTTGTAGGAAGATGATAAAATTGATTCCCGGCTGAAACCATTCCAGTGACGATAAGTTGAAATAGGAATGTGTTCAATAACGATAAATCGCTTACTTCACCAATATCCAGATGCAGGCAATGATACCTTTTTAACTTGAGCTTTTTCAAACGTTGGATCAGTTTGTTTGGTTCAAATGGACCACTTATCGAAAATGTAACAACGCCCATACCTTTATCCAATGCCTGACGTTTAATTTGTTCTGTTTTCCCAAGACCAGGAAGTGTGGATGTGATAATTTTAACATCAGGCCAACCAGATTTGAGTCGATGTCCGAGGGAATGATCACTCATACCAGCAATGCGATGGGTATATTGGGAAAACTGTTCCACAATATGATGATGGTCACCACCGCAGCAAATCAAAGCAAGTTGATAATCGATTTTTTCTTTTGTTGTCTCGGAGCTTTCGTAGTATTTCTGCTTCTCTTTAATCGCCTTAACTAATTTAAACTGTAACTCATTTGGTAATAATTCAACATTCGCGATACAAAATAGACTTTTATGATGTTCGAACTTGGAACGCACGAAGCATCTTTGCAGTAGAAGGTATAATTCGTCCCAGTTTGTTTTAGAACTGCAGAAAACAATTTGATATGGTTCTGGAAATGCGTTTGATGTGTCTTCGTACAAGGTAAGAAGGACGTTGATCATCAATGAACTATCCTGTTCCAGACTAGCGACGAGAATCTTTCCAGGGGTAACTCTTGCCTCCAGCGTAGAACGCGATTGATTTTCCTCTTCGCTTGTAATTGATCTAATGATATTCTGTGCTTCGCCAAATATGCTTTCCAAAGCTTCGCCAACACTGGAAAGTATGAATTCTGGGCTGTCATTTGAATATGCTTCATTCAACTTCTGATGCCTTTGTAGTTGTTGCTTAGTGATCCTGCGATCCGCAAAATGAATTAATGAAAGGACTTCGTCATGATCATTACTGGATTTGTTGATCAAGATATCACGAAGCTTGCATATTTGATCGGAACTGTAATAGTTGAGGAAGTAGAAAGTTTCACGTGCAGTTTTCAGAATATTTTCCCAGTTTTCTTGATCGTGCAGCAACATGTTTCTGACTGCTTGGAGATCATCAGTGGTTTTCATCTTCGTCCAAAAGTGGCGATATTTCACATAGCCCGACGAGCGCAATTGCACCAACAGATTTGAAATCTCCGTCAGTAGGTTAACTTGATCTATGAAGTTATCAAAATCAATCACCTCGCTATTTTCCTGTGATTGTTTGGTTTGTATTTTAACGGCGTTTTTACGGGAGGTGACAATCAAATGCGCACGACTTCGTAAATCATGTAGATCTGGCAGACAGTACGTACGTCTGTTTTCTTCGCCGCCTCCTTGAGGTACGTAGCTCATGTTTGTCTCGCAGTTTCCATCTTTTTGCGACACCCAATATTCTCCCCTGTTCAGGCAATTACGAATTACCTCTTTAGTCATCTCACCCCGGTTTGCAATGCTTGTGTACAATCCACGAATACTGTTCACATTAGTACTACACTGTTTAATCTTCGCTGCTATATTTTCATGACCAACGCACGATTCTTTTAACATGCAAAGAAAGCCTTGAAGATCTAAGTCCTCGTCATTTTTCCTCTTAATCAAATGTGCTAGAAAGCCATGTACATCAATAAGGTCCGAAACCGACGACTCGGATACAATCTGATCAAAATGTTCTTCAACGGCATCAATAAGGAAACGAATATCATCGTCGACAATTTCTTCCATGAAATTAACCAATTTGCTAGATGTCGACAGCTCCTTAATCACACCATCTAATTCTTCTCCAGAAAAAGATGAAAATACTCGCTTAACTTCTTCCATTGACTGATGCAACGATGTTGGTGTAAGCTCGTCTCCAGTGTTCATAATGGTTTGGAATTGTAAAAGCGCTGTTTCGTTTGAAAGGCCTGCCAATCCAAAGATATCTCGTATAGCAATGACGTGTTGAACTTGCTCCGAGACATCAGGATATTTTAGAAAATCTTTAGTGTAGATTTTAAATTCAGGTGAAAAATTTTGATTGAAGAATTTTTCTAGTATTTCCAATTCTCCATCAAGTCGATCTGCATCTTTCAAAGTACCAAATAAGGACTTCATAGTTTCGACATTGAGTGCTCCTGGATCTTTTAACACAGGAGTCCATTGGGACCTAAATTCTTCAATTGCTTTGTCTTTAAGGAACGCTATCAACGAAATCAGATCGCAAACTGGTTCATCATTTTCTTTTCTTTCTTCAGTTTGATTGCTTAAATCTCTTAAGCATTTTTTCGCTACGGTCGTGAAAGATAAGGAATTTATCAAAGGTTGCAGAGCTTCGGCTGGACTTATAAGAGGTTGTAGTGCTCCCCAAAACTGATCTTTGTCAAATTCATTTACTTTACTTTCGCGCCAGTTTGCTTTAAAACCTTTTAAAACCTTTAAGAACGTTTCGATTCCAAAACTTTCACCTGAATTAATTTCTTCAGAAATTTTCATTGCATATGTGATCGTTGACTCAAGCAACTTGAGTATTTCAGAACAAACATTTACAGCTTGCATCAAGCTAATGATTTTATCTGAAATCTGCTTTTGAAGATCGAATATTGGACAATTTGATTTCACAGACTCGTGCAGCACAACTGCGCATAAGATAGAAACGTCCTCGATCTTTCTGCCAACCATCTCCACGAATTTTGCAGATATGTCACCCGCTTCAATGCAAGTCCCCAGCTTTTGGCAAATTTTTTTGCAAACTTGTTTTTTCTTAGATTTTCCACCCATCCCTAAAAAACGGGAAAATGATTACAGTAGGTAAATAAAAATTAGCACTTCAAAGCCAGAAACAAACTTTTTGAATCGAAGTTTTAAATATAGTGGATCAATGATTTGAAGTAATCTCCCACTTGATGCTAAAAAGGCTATATGTCGAAAAATCACTTTCAGCGCCGTATTACGAACCGCCGTTTCTAGAACCATTGCGATATTGTGTATATTATATTGAATGTCTTCTTGTACTTTTTTACTATTTCTAGGATGGGTGGGTTTTCGTGGGTTTTTCTTTTTACTATTATAAACTGTATTATTTATATAATTCTGCATGCTTTCATAGCCCTTCTGTAAACCAGCACTATATGTTGTGTGAGGCTACCGTGTATTTTTATTAAAATAAAATTGGTTGATGATGATGATAATGATGATGATGATGATGATGTTGATGATGATGATGATGATTATTTTAAACTTTTAAGGCTGCTTTCCAGTTACGCGTTTTTCATACGCACGTACGCGCACATAAAGTCTAAATCCTTTTAGTATACACCCGACTATTGTCTATTACAAATCTAACATTCTGATTGGCTACTCAACCATTGTCCATTCGTGATGGTGAACGTTTGGGAAAAATTCGCTCGCGCGACCGTATAAAATTGAATTGATTAAATTATTTTTCGGTGTAATTGCGGTGTATCGATTATTTTTTCGAAATTAATATAATTATCTAGGTACAGGGTGTATACTAAAACAATTAGACAACTCGTCTTCGTTGTCTAATTGTTAAATAGTAAATCCTAATCCTTATCTTTGAAGAAACTAAGTGAATAAATCGAAAGAACTTTGTTTTCCGCATATTTTAGTATGCACTTGTAGACCTGGTGTTAGATAATAAAAATTTAGAAGCATTTCAAATTTTCCGTACGTATAAAAAACGCGTGACTGGAAAGCAGCCCTTACGTGCGTATACGTGCGTATAAGCAGCCCTAAAGCCCGTTTTCCACCAGGCGAATTTATTCAAGCGACGCGAATCGATATATGAAAACCAGTGATGTGATTGGCTTGTGAAAAAATTCGTTGCGAAAAAGTAGGATCGCTTCCTACTTTTTATCTGTTCTGGCGAACAAATTCGCCAAATTCGCCACGGGCTTAAGGCCGACACAGACCGGACGCGAAGCGGCAACGCGACGCGAATTTTGAGTTTTCAGTAGCATTATAAATTACATTCTGGGATCAAAATTTGGAATCTATAGACGCTAGAGTGGTCAAAATGTATTATCGTTAAATAATCAAAAAGGATATATATGATTAAACTTTATTTGATAAATAGCATTTCATAGAGTAGGCATTCAAATTTTCCCCGACATTTTCTCAACACTTTGAAATTAGTAAATTAATTATATTATTAATTTTTAATATACCACCGGTTTGTTGATGACTCAATCACATGCATCGCAAAGCAGCACTGCCTCCGCAGAAGCATTCCTTTGCACCCTCAACAGTCTGCATCCATCCCTTCAATTCACCATGGAACTAGAGGGCGATGGTATATTACCTTACTTGGGCACGACACTTATAAATAAGAACGGTCGGTTTGAAACGAAAGTCTATATCAAGCCAACGAACACCGGCCTTATGCTCCAATATGATAGTCATGTAGACGTGAAGTATAAGAAATCGCTCGTCCTGACCATGCTCAATCGTGTCTTCCGTTTATCATCGTCATGGAAGTTCTTCACCGAAGAATGCGAACGCCTAAAGAAAACCTTCACTCGTCTGCGGTATCCTATATCCTTGCTTGAAAACATCATAACGAAGTTCATTGCCCAGCAATGCGAAAGCGACGATCGTCTCGCCGACGAAAGAATCACCAAACCAGATGTTGTGCGTATTATACTGCCGTTTAAAGACCAGAAATCGGCAGACTCGGTGAGACGGCAACTTCGTAATCTCGGCCAGACCATCGGAAAACAAATACAGCCAGTCTACACAAGCAGGAAGATCGCCGCAGATTTTCCAGCTGCAGAAACGAAGCCGCCTCTTGTGAATCAGCAATGCGTTGTTTATCACTTTAAATGTGATCTGTGCGACGCAGATTATGTCGGTTACACTTGCCGACACTTACACCAACGCATTGATGAACACAAGTCGTCAGTTATCGGAGAACATGTGACAGAACAGCACGGCAAGGACACAAAGAACATCGAGAAAAGCTTCAAAGTGTTAAGAAAATGTCGGGGAAATTTGAATGCCTACTCTATGAAATGCTATTTATCAAAGAGCTTAAGCCTAGTCTGAACAAACTTTATTTGCTTTTGAAAAATAAAAAGCTTTGAAAAATCGCGCCGCGTTTCCAAATCGCGCCGCGTTTCCAAATCGCGCCCCGTCTGTGTGCGCCCCAAAGGCATATAAGCACTTACCCGGTGATGTGATGAAAACCTCCCAAACATCGCACCAATCAATGATTTTATGGAAATCGTCCTCGTTAATTTCTCTGTCCTTAATTTCTGGCACTTCAATAATGTCGAGAATATATGACAGAAGCTCTTCAGCGAGACTGAAAACACATGCAGAAAACGCCATGTTTAGAGTGACATTTCAATAACAATAGTTACTATAACATGCATGCATCCACTTTCAGAGCCGTAATAAATCTCTTGAAATAAACAACTAAGTTGTCTTATTTTTTTCAATTGCGCTGCGTTTAAGTTAAAACGCAAACGTTCGAAATGTATCAAATGCGAAATAATTTACACGCTTCATGCTTAGACGTAAAGGCGGTAATTGGGCTCTATGAAAATTATTAGGTTTATTTCAATATAGCAATGCGTCTAAAACTCCAATGCACGAGTACATGCTTTTGCGCAAACGAAGCCGGGTATAGAAATGTAGATTAATACCTGCTTCCGGAATATTCTTTCAGAAGTATGCTTGACCTTTTCATTACAACATGGGTCTTTTTTAGTATCTTCTTTACAAAGGATTTGTAGCACTCCTGGACAACCAAAGAAAGATTTTCTATGCTAGGCAAAGCTTTAAGAAAGGGGATAGCATCTTCACTTTTTATCAGTTTTCCCACAACTCGGGAAGTAATTTGAGCAAGTAATTTATTTGATATGTTGAGACGACATCGTATTATGACATCACATGCTCTATAAATCTCCCCAATCCTCTCTATCTCACCGGCACGGCTTCCGCTACCTTTATAGTTGCTTTCAGGCAATTTGGTTTTAACTCTGTTGATTACCCACATTTTACAGAGCTCCACTTTTTCGTCAAGGTAAATATCACGCCAATCCACTTCAAAACGCTCGTTGTTGAGGATATCAAGTACCAACAATTGACGACGAGTTGACTTCGATTTAGATAGCTCCCTAAGCACGTCAAAAACCTGATTCAAATCCAAATGTTGTTCTGAAATGATTGAGCGAATTTTTCCATCTTTGTCATGAAACTCGTCATCTGATTTAGCGAATTCAAGTAATGTTTGAAACAGAACGTTCTTCATCCTGGGACGGATCTTCTTCGGAATGTTAAAAAATTCATCTAATATTTCATCTATCTTCTGCGTGCCAGCACCCCGCATTTTTTCCAGACAGAATTTGGCAAAGAAATCGATTTTTTCATCGACGTTTGTAAAGAAGCGCACTAATTCTGAACGTTCAAATAGCATCATAGCATCACCAAAACTTGGAGCTTTCTTCAGTACCAATTCTAGCAAATGTTGATATGGGCTCTGCTCTTTTTCTCCTATCTCCTTAATTTGCCAAAAAAGCATGTCTACCATTTTCTTGTATTCTGTCGTCCCATATGTGTGTTTTTGACAATTATACTTCGCACCAAGAATAAACCCTATTCCAAGATACGGAAGAAAATATGCTGCAAGGGTAAGCCATCCTGGACTGCTGCTGTTTTCGACCAAAATAGTGGCAACGTTTCGCAACGTCTTCAAATTTGAAGGTGGAAGGAGGTGAGAATTGAGGCAGGTATTTAAAATCTGAAGAAATCGATCGCACATTGCGGTCGTTTTTTCATCTCTTGGATAAGGTAGCACATTTGATTTCATGCAAAGATGACCTAAGGCGATACATAAATACAGTCGTTGTATGTCCGTAACCAATGTGCTCAAAGTCTGCTCTATTATCCAGTAGACACAGTCTTCCAGATGGTTTTTACTTAACGTCGAAAGTAACGAATTGAAATTCAAATATTGCATTTGCGTAAGAATATTTGATAAGGTTTCTACAGTGATATGATTCAGCATCCATTTCAGGTAGAAGACTACAGAACTGGGAACAGTATCTCTCATATATAATGTGTCTTCCTCAAAATTGAACACATCGAGCTGAACTGTTGACCTTACGTGCTTTGGAAAGTTATCCGCTTCGAAATGGTATGGGTAGTTTTTGTCTGGCACTTCGATATTCTTAAATATTGGTCTGTTGAAAATATTTTCTTCTGTATTGCAACTGTACTTATATCTAAACTGTTGTCTCATGGGGTGATCCGGTAACCTTAAAGTACCCCTAAATAGATTGGGCACATATGAATCGCGTTCCAGAGGAAGTGGTCCAGAGCCAAAAGGATGGATATACGCTTGATTAACACAATTTTTTCCAATTATCAAGAGAAAGAATTGAACCTACAAAATGTGACGATAAAATAAATCAGACTAAATTAATCTGATTAGATCCGATATATCGGATAATGAGGTCACTGAAATGTATAATAAACTAGAAATACGTGTATAGAGAGTTTGAAAAAGTACCTTAATTAAAGATAATAATTAGTAATTTCTTTTATTTCTTATAATTTCATAAATTTATATAATTGTGTGTGTTAATTTCTGTAAATAATGTATAGATTGATTTTTACTAGCGTGTGAACGGCCTCTTGAAAATCAGTTTTTAGTACTGAAGGGTTACCGTTTTGTAAATAAGGTTAAATAATAATAATAATAAAATAATGAGGTAAAGTCCGTTCTGCGCATATATTCCGCGCAGCAACACATTCCATCAGTGGGGGAGCGACTTTTGGAATGTTAATGATATGCGATATTAGCGCGTTGTATTACAAACGGACAGTTCAAGAGCACAATTATTTTATTTTATGTCGCAAGGCGAAGAGGCTCGAATTGCGAGTGACGAAGATAAGGCTGCTAGAAAAAAGCAATATTATGCTGAAAGGAATGCTCCAAGAATTTATTTGTTGAATGAGGACACGAGATGGCGAGGCTATTTGTCGTCGCTACAAACGCTACCTTCTCGCTTGTTTTACAATTACAAATATATAAAGTTTTAAATAACGGCCGGTTTATTTACAAGCTTCGCTTTATAAAGCTTCGCTTTATATTTTCTTCAAGATATAATAAAATTTTCTTCAAAATACACTGGCGGTCAAAAAGAACTGCTCAAACGTTGCTATTGTCGTATGTAACAGGAATCGTGACAATCAATCTTTTATTGTACACTAGCGGTCAAAAAGAACTGTTTAGATACAAATTCATAAAAAAGAAGCGAATATAGGAGAGAGCTTCATAGGCATTTTGGATAATTCTCTCATTCCAAGCAATATTTCAATAATATTATATGCAACCTGCCACACTTGTCAAATAATGGTTTCAGGAAGAGGGAGTGACAAAAATGGATTGGCGTGCACACTAAAAAGACCTTAACCCTATTGGAAATCTACGGAACAATGTCAAGGGGATAGTGCAAGAAAGGAATTAATTCATAAAGCGTCCATGGTTTATGGGTTGCTGTAAAGACTGTCCATAGGGTGAATTTCTTTTGACCACTAAGATTACCACCTTAACAGAAAGTATGCCACGCCGGTGTAAGGCCGTTATCAATTATAAGGCCAAAGGAGGGTCAACAAAATATTAATATTCCATATAGCTTAGCATGTAATCTAGTCTATATTTACTCGTATATATTGTTAGAGGGACAGTTATACGTTCATTCGAGAGCATGTAACTTGTTTTGAGCAGTTCTTTTTGACCGCCAGTGTATAATATAAAATAAGCATATTCATCACAGATAACAGCCGGTCAAGCGAGAAGAAAATAAGAAAATTAAAACGACACAATCGGACGCATACGTCATCTAAAGACTATATAACTAACGTAAACAAACATTGTTATGCGCAGAATATATGCGCAGAACGGACTTTACATCATCTTTAAAGAAAGATGCGCGCGTGACGTGATTAACAAAAACTAACAAATTTTCACTATACTTTTGGAAAACGAAACATCATTTACCATTTTACATGAAGTATTAAAAATTTAGGTATTCTGATTGGCTTAGCTTAAAGATTGTGAAAAGAATTTGCTTTTTTGTTGATGTATGAAGTGTGGTATTGCCATGCTGCTGAACGGGCTACTTATTGTAAGCGATCATTACACAAAGCTTCAAGGGATGTGAATAAATTCTTGGAAATTCATAAAAACATCGGAGCATGGATAAAATTAATTTTAAATTCTGGAAGGAAACCTTTTCCAGTTACAGAAATGGTGGGAAGCCCAGCTTTTAAATATCTCGCATTGGTCGACGTGTGCACCAGTATCTTTGTTTGACTTGGTGTAATTGAAATGTGTTTCAGATGGGTACTGTTTTTTGCAAAAGGCCGTTTATGGCCTATACGAATAAAACGCCCAGCGTCTTAAACATTTAAGTACTTAGGAACAGAAGACCTAAAATTAGATGACCTGGCTGATTGGAAAAATATTGTCTTCATCCTTACCGTTGTTGGTTGTGGCGGTATCGGTGGTTGATTTAGAGGTAAATATTTCTTTGCAGCGGATAAGTAGCTTTTGTCTGGTTGAATGTAGCTTGTGGTCTCTACAGGAATTTCTTTTTTTTCAGTACCAACCTGACCAAGAATTATTATTCCCGCTCTATTGTGAGTCCCATTTTCACCTTGCCTCGCGGAAGTGGCAGGTGGGCCATCTTTCATCAGTGGTCCTGCTTGATTGCTTTCATATTCATTTATCTTTAAGTTTTGATTTAAATCAGATTGAGAATCACGACCCTCCTTTTGCAGATCAACTTCCACCTGGTCAGTTTCTCCCGTCCGATTTGGTGTGTTTGGGTTATTGCTATCTCGCCCACTGGCTATGACATCGTGAAGTGTGTCTGCTATTGATCCCTTATCTTCTTTCCCCTTTGATTTATTTGGGTCACCAAGACACTCGGCCATTTAATCTAAAACACGTATGAACAAGTTTAAACGACATTATGTAGTCAGTAGCTGTATTCATATGTGATCAGAATAATAGGTGTATTTAGCTGATCTAGCATGTGACAATAATAACGAGAGGATTGATTGACAGTTATGGACTGAGATACAATATAGTTATGCAATAGAGCGTTATGCATAGATCGTTTGAACGACGTACTATAACATATCGTTTGAACGACGTACTATAACATATCGTTTGAACGACGTACTATAACATATCGTTTGAACGACGTACTATAACATATCGTTTGAACGACGTACTATAACATATCGTTTGAACGACGTACTATAACATATCGTTTGAACGACGTAATATAACATATCGTTTGAACGACGTACTATAACATATCGTTTGAACGACGTACTATAACATATCGTTTGAACGACGTACTATAACATATCGTTTGAACGACCTACTATAACATATCGTTTGAACGACGTACTATAACATATCGTTTGAACGACGTACTATAACATATCGTTTGAACGACGTAGCTACTATATAACATATCGTTTGAACGACGTACTATAACATATCGTTAGAACGACGATAACATATCGTTTGAACGACGTACTATAACATATCGTTTGAACGACGTACTATAACATATCGCTTGAACGACGTACTATAACATATCGTTTGAACGACGTACTATAACATATCGTTTGAACGACGTACGCTTCGTACGGACACGCTTTTAATTAATATATATACTGTGAATCATGGCGAGCGGTCACGTTCTTTCGAGCTCCGATATAAATGTTATTTTTGATGTAAATAATATCAGTAAGGACACTATTCAACCATTCACTGATGGTAACCAACTAGTTAACGGTGGAACCATAGATTGGAATCTATGCTGAATGAATTTGCTATTATTTTGGATGAAAAAATAAAGCAATACATGATCAAGATGTCACATTGAAGAGCTCCAACAAAAATTAAAAGTGTTGGAGAAGCAGGGGAATCCACCACAAATAAGCGAGGTCATACTTGAAAGTTGAAACCCCTGATAACAAGGAAGATTATTGCAGCGAACGTAGGACTATTGTGGGAATCAATGATTTCCCAAATAGCAATAAAAAATTAAACAATCTACATTCAGATTCAAATGACCAACATCACAATGCAGATTTGAATATAATTAATACAACCAAATCATCTATAAATCAAAAGAGCCCTAACAACGAAGCTCCGACACTGCAACAAAAGGCCATGCAATAATAATAGCGCTATTGTTGAGTTAATCCCTAATGAGGGGGAAAATTGCAATCAAACAAGCGATGTCGACGATCAGCATCACAATGCCGATTTATATATAATTAAAACAACCAAAACATCTATAAATCAAAAGAGCCGAACAACGAATCTCAAACACCGCAACAAAAGGTCACCGGCAACCACCATATTAATACTATCCCTGTTCGCATTACAAATCGAGCAGAACCCCTTCGAGTCTCAAGGAAAAATTCAAGACGTCATGTCCAGCACGATCAACGAGCTGATAGTAGATTCGATCACATAAAAATCTGATATAAAACGCTTATATCCGTGCACTTGCATATATATATATATATATATATATATATATATATATATATATATATATATATATATATATATACTGTTTAGGCAACCAGTTGAAAACATGTTTACTTGGAGTTGTTTACGTACGGCATATAAACCTATGCAAAATTTGGGTGATATACTTGGGAAACCTAAAGATAAACAATTAGATTCTGAAATAAAAGGCATTGTATATAAGTTTGAATGTCCAGATTGTCAATTCACTTATATCGGCGAGAGTAAAAGATCATGGAAATCGAGATGGGCTGAGCATAAACCTGGCGTACGACGAGAGATTAAGTCAGCGATTAAAGACCATGCAGAAAGTACCGGTCATGAAGTGTCAATGGAGAATGCTAGGATTTTGGAAAAGAAAGTGCATAACACAAACAAAAGACTCTTCCTTGAGTCATTGCACTCGGTTTTGGACAAAAGATCAGTGAATGAGCATAAACATTTTCCTCAAATTTACATACCAATTATTCAATCATGCAAGGATAGTGACACTATATAATAGTCTGTCTATACTGCTTGAACATTAGAACTCTGATGAAGGTAGCAGTTAGCTACCGAAAATTTAGTACTTTTTAATCTAGAATCTTTTTAATAAATTGTTTTAAACCAGATACAACTCCAAGTAAACATATATATATATATATATATATATATATATATATATATTGTTATAAAATTTTTTCTTCTCTTTTTTCTTCAAATCTTCGTCCTTTCTGAACTTCGTCGTTTTTGAATTGCGTTCTTGTCTTCGGTCGTTGGTTCTGTAAAGGTTGAGCTTCCTAACGTTTCATATGCTTTTTACTCCGCTAGTCCACTGACGGTTGGGGTGTTGTGCACGCTCTTTTATAGTAACGGTTGAGGGACATCTGTAAACGTCATCAACCAGAGTGGGCTGATCCTTATCCAACCAATCAGCGTTGTTAGTTAGAAATGTGGGTTGGTCTTAGAAGCTCGTTCCAGCTCTCATATCTTGTTTGTATAAGGCGTTGACGCACTAGTCGAGTTGGTCTTTAGCTCTATCGATCAATACTTTCAAATGTTCACAACTTAAAATATTTATCATCAACAAGCATTAAAATTATCAAACATTGTTTCTGTGAACCTTATTTTATAACTTAACTATATATATATATATATATATATATATAATATATATATATATATATTATATATATATATATATATATATATATATATATATATATATATATATATATATATATTTTTATTCATTTACATAATTCTTAAAAAATTGGCATCGCTACTCTGAGTTTCATGCCACAGAGGCAATCATCAGGCGACTAAATTTCAGTTCGTTACAAGTTTGATGACGTGCGACTTTCTTGTTTGCGCGTGCGTTGAAAATTTCCTGCCCAGAATTTTTCTCGGTGGCGGCACTTGGCGAAGATCCCTGATCTTTTGTTGAGGAGTTTGTTTGCGTCACCCTGCAATAGACACAGTTTCTCTGCGATACAGAGGTTGCATCGTTTAGCACCCGGCGAGTATGCTGGCGCGCGTTTTGTGATGGACCAGGAAAGTGTAAACTTCTTATCATTTCTTTTCAAATTCCAAATATACTTTGAAAGTTCAGTTTCCTTCTCGTACTTGGCGTGGTTAAAGGACTTTTTATGGTTGCTGAATCTTGATTTAAACGAATTCGCGGTCATTCCGAGGTATTGCTTGGTCTCATCTTCGCTATTTAATACTATTTCGGCTGAATAAATCACGTTCTTATATAGGCACTTTTGGTCAAGTGGACACTGTGAGGTATTTCTGCAGTTACAATAACGGGGTAGTTGCTCCTCAGCAGCTTGGTTCAAGATCTTGTTGTTGTGTCGTGATATGATGTTTTTCACGTTTGGCATGCAACTGTAGCTAACCTTGACTGTGTTTCGGTTGAACAGCTTGTGCAGAGGGCTAGAAATTGGGAAATGCTTGTCGATGAGTCGCAGGAAGTCTCTGGCAACATTTGTTTTCACGGATTTACTAAACGGAGGATTGAACCAGATTACGTTTCTCCGCCGTGTTCTTTTACATGAAGGGATTGAGGTGATTTGGGGATTACCGGAGGAATATTTTAATTCGGCATTAAAGTGGCTTTCTTTAAGTGCGCTTTCGTAGACATGTTTACAAGCGTCAAAGGATTGCTGATCGGAGGATAAGGAGGATACACGTTGGTTGATGGATTTAGGAATTTGCTTAATGATAGACGGTGGTGATTGATTGCTTTAATATACTGAGGGTCATTGTTTGGTTTTCTGTATGGCGTGAATTTGCCGTTGTTCAAATTAAGGGTAATGTCTAAGAAATTGACGATCTGGTGGTTAACCTGCGCTGTAATCTTTAGACCGATTTTGTCAAAAACATCGAATAAATTCTTTCTTGCAACATCAGCATCTCGTCCATTAGTGCCTGGAATTAGCGCCAAACCATCATCGCGGTATATATATTGTGTATATATATATATATATATATATTAATATATATTATTATTATATATACATATATATATATATATATATATTTATATATATAATTATTATATATATATATATATTATATATATATATATATATATAAGTATAGGTTATCACATGAGGGGCGAGGTGATATCAGTTTTATCGCTTGAGGGACGATATCATAAATGTCACGAGTGAGCGCAGCGAACGAGGATATTTCTTTTTCTTCTATAAAGCAATCGACATCGACTGAAACAAACGTCGAACTGCTCGAGTCAGCCATCTTTGTTTTGACAGCGGCAAATGCAGCGGGACAAAAAGCGATATCAGTGACAAAAAGCGATATCAGTGACGATATCGTTTTTATGTCACCCTGTTATCGCCCTGATAAAGGCACAAGTATGTGATAAATATATATATATATATATATTATATATTATATATTATATATATATATTATATATATATATATATATATGTAAAAAATACATTGCATGCATGTGTTGTTGGAAGTAGATGGTGATAGTAAATATTTTTGAGGACATATGCTTTTATATTTTATGGCCGAATACGGTGTTCTCGAAACGATTTGCCTGAGTATTCATAGTACACATATACTTTTTATTAGTTATAACTTTGGCGCGAAGAAGACGCGAGGCGCGAAAAAAAAGGCGCGAAAAAAAAAGGCGCGAGGCGCGAAAAATAGATTATCTCGAATTGAATGCAAATGAACTTTAACACAGACTTTGGCTCATATTAGCATTAGGTTCGGCACATGAAAGTTCGACGTCTAAAACAGGTCTAAAGCCGGTTTTCCACTAGCGATATTTTTCGCGCGAATCGACATTTTACTTTTGTTTCAGAGCTCTCAACTGCAACCATCTGGAACAAATTGCTCAAATACAAAGGAATAAAGTCGCTTCGCGCGAAAAATATCGCTAGTGGAAAACCTTAAGTCGCGTTTTCTTATATATCTCTCGCGTTATGACTTTGCAAACAAGTCTAATTAATGGGAACATTTTCGACAAATCCAACTAATTTTATGTTATTATCATTATTCATTTCTTTAGAAATTCATTGTTTTGACAGTCAATGAACACCAAAATATTAGCATAGCATGACTAAATTGTCGGGCTGGCTACGCCATTTTAAAAGGTAGCAGAAGATAAAGGCAAAATGCAATTTTTCTGAAAATCACGTACAACTCGACGTCTATCTCCCCAACTATAATTTAGCGACAAGAGCATTTGTGTGGGAGAAACCTTGGTTGCGAAATATTTGAAATCATTTTCGCATGAACGTGTGTGTACACAAATAGGATTCTATTGAATTTCCCTACATTTCTCTCAGTGGGAGAGTGAGTGGAACTTAACAACACGCTGACGAAGGGAGATATTTTGTTGCAAAGCCTGAATTTACTGCCGTGCATGCTTACTATATTCTTGGCGCGAAATATTTCGATGAAAATAATCACCCCGATTCGATCACATAAAAATTTGATATAAAACGCTTATATCCGTGCACTTGCATTTATAAATTATAATATGACACCAGACGTAAACATCACCTTGCATACGGTACAGGTAAATGTTTTCTGCTGCAATGCTTTTAAATATTTAAGACATTAAGACAATTTTTTGCACTTCCGCTTCATCATCTCATCGCATTTCAGTGTGTAGCTCTGGATACACTCAGCGAACTTTGACAATTCGAATTCGGTAACGATACAAAACGCATCCAAACTTTATAATCACAAACTCTAATGCGCCTATTATACCGTAGGGGATAAACAGCAACAGTTGACAACGTTTGCCAAAACAAAGAAATAGCTACAATATACACAAAACAAAGGCCCTGTTCATATGACCCCGCTCACCGGGACGTCTCGCTTACCTATGATCTCGTCGTGTGTTACTTTTACTAGTAAAACTTACAACGCGTTCATATGGGAAAACGAATTGTCCCGCTAGCCGGGATCTCGCCTTTGAGAGGCGAGATCATAGGTAGACGGGATAAATCGATTCCCATATGAACGCGCTATCCCGCTTGGCGGGATGAAATCTAAACACTATAAATACCCGATTTTAACGCTAATTTTCACGATTTTTAGCAAATTTTACGTTTGGGTTAGTACAAATTATCAAAAATATTGCTTAACTAATGTCCTACAATGCAAAACAATCATTGGACCGATGGCGTACACAACACAATAAAACAACAATGATTTGGGTTTCAAAATTGATTATACATAGTATAATTACAATCTGAAGCTATATAATACAAAGAAAAGGAAGAAAATATATAAGTATTTATTTTGACTAAACCTCTCTACTTAGTTTCCTGTACTTACATTTGTCCAAACCACTGTTTAGATTAACATAACAAACAAAACAACCCTTAAATTCGCTACTTTTATAGCTCAAAATTATTTAACTTCGCTTCGTCTCTTTGGCAATGTTTCCTCGTGTTCGTGCATTTTGTTTTCGGGCGCACTTGTGTACCCTCGTTACTTTATGTTATATACGTCTATAAGTCAACGAAACATTCCCCCCGGCAATGGGAGAATTCCCATTATTTTTCTTCATTCGTCTTCATAACCTTCGGCTGGATATATGATGGCAATCTTATGGATTGGGCGTGAATAAGTTCCTTTGCTCGTTTTTACAACAACGTTTCTTACGAAATCGTCTTGTCCAGGTAACATCTGAATAACTCTGCCAGTTTCCCATTTTCCTCTCACGGCGTTGGTATCTGCAACGACCACGTAATCATCAATTCGGACGTTTCGCGATTCTGTATTCCACTTTTTTCGCGGGGTTAATTGAGGTAACACATCTCTCGACCATTTTTTCCAAAATGCTTCAACGATTCGCTGACAGAATTCGAATCTGTGGCGTGGGTTCTTCGTCTGTCTAAATGGACCTTGAGGAACTGTGCTAGTTGCTCTGCCAGCAAGATATCGTTAGGGCACAAAAAACGACCATCATCCGGATCTGTGGGAATGCGACCAATGGGCCTTTGATTAACTAGGTTCGCAATCTCTAGTAGGACTGTGTATAACTCGAACGGTGCCAGAACTGTATCACCAATGGCTTTCTTGAGAGCGTTTTAACTGTTTTGACCATAGCCTCGGTACATCCATTTTGGTGAGGAGCGAGCGGGGTCGTGAATTGCCATTTTATACTGCGATCTGCGCAAAACTCTTTAAGCTGCTTTGCATCCCATCCTTTAATCATAGCATGTAACTCATTACTTGCTCCAACCATTTGAGTACCATTGTCGGACAAAAGAAGCTTTGGATACCCTCGGTATGAGAAGAATCGTCGTAATACTTGCATAAGTTCCATGGCACTAGCATCTACTGCAAGTTCACAGTGTATCGCACGCGTATTGAGACATGTAAATATGACGCCGTAATGTTTGGTTGTTTTATTACGACCAATTTAACAGGTCCGAAATAATCGACTGACGAGTAGAGAAATGGTGGCGTGTGTGGCTGTAAACGAAACTTTGGTAGATTTGCCATTAACTGCGTTTCTAACTTCGCTTCAATTTCCCGGCAAACTGTGCAACGACTCTTGACAACCTTCGCAATTCTGTGGGCTTTAATGATCCAATACTTTATTCTCGTTCTTGCGACCGTGGCTGCGACTCCGTTGTGGCCAACTCCATGGGCATCACGATGATTCTTGATATGTGGTGGTCATAAGGTAATAGGAGTGGTCGTTCATTCTCGTATGAAACAAGAGATGGATCTACGCGACTTCCAACTCGAATCAATTTGTTGTCATCAACGTAGGGAGAGAGGGTTTTTAATTCCCCTTTCTTTACTCTTTCGAAGAGACTGGATTGTGCTTGCTTGATCCAGTATTCTTTGGCAGCTTGGAGCTCTTCACCAGTTAAGGGTCCAAGCTCTCGTGGAGTGTCCCCATTGCCTTTCTTTATACGCAGATTTCGACCGAATCTTTGGACATAGGCGGTAATTCTTACGACTCGTTTCCACCTGGCGTAGCGTTGACAATCGAATATCTGGCTGTGCATCGTTACCTTTCTTCTTTCTTCGTTCACTTTGTTCTATTTGGCATACCCGTTTCCATTGGCCAATTTTCTTCTGGTTGCATTAAGAATGTCGGACCATTGAACCATCTGCCGTTTAGCTCTTCTGGTGTAATACCTTTCGTAAGATCGTCCGCGACATTTTCAGCAGTGGGACAATGATGCCAATCTGCAGGATTGGAATTCGACTGAATTTCACTGACTCGACATGACGAATGGCTTGTACGCACGTGGCATTCCTTGAATCCATGCTAACGTTACTCTACTGTCGGAGAAAAAGATTGTTCGTATGAACTTCATTCGCGTTTCTTCTTGGATTGACTTTGCCAGACGACTTGCCAGTACGGCAGCTTGCAATTCGAGACGGGGTATGGTTAACTCTTTTAAGGGGGCGACCCGAGACTTTGCCGCTACGAACCGAACTCCGAACGTTCCACCTGCCAACTTCCATCTAACATAGGAGCAAGTCCCAAAGGCTAATCGGGATGCATCGCAGAATATGATTAGCTCTGGATTGCCAATGACGCCAGTCGGAGTAAGACATCGTTGAAATCGGACATCATTAAGTGCGCCATTTCATTGAATAACACCGTCCACGTTTTCTTTAAATCAGACGATATTTCTTCATCCCAGGTAAGACCGTGCTGCCAAAGCTCTTGCATAGCAATCTTCGCTTTCACTAACGTCGCCGCTCCAGCCCCGATGGGATCAAAGATGCCAGCTAATTTGCTGAGGATAACGCGTTTCGTCATCTTGGTAGGCGTTGCTGATGTTGACTTTGTTCCATTAGGGGGTGTTTCAATAACAGGATCATTTGTCTTTACTGCAAATGAAAACTGATCTTCTTGTGGATGCCAAACTGTTCCGAGAACCTTTTGCACGTTGTTCTCTTCATTTGTTCCGAGAATTACTTCCTCTTTGCTTTCTTTATCCGTCAATGGGGCGTTGGAAATCCACTCTTTTATACGAAACCCACCAGCATCAAGGACTTCATCTATATCAGAAATTAGCTGTCTAGCTTCTTCAACTGAGGCTTGCGAATCACACACGTCATCCATGTAGGTATTTCTCTTAATTGCTTCTGCTGCTTTCGGTTTGTTTTCTTCTCTCAGCTCGGCGGTTTTGTGCATTGCAACTGTGGCCATAGTCGGAGATGGACGATCGCCAAACGTCAAGACGGTTTTAACAAACACATCTGGTTCTCGATCTGTTTCCAAGTTGCGCCAGAGAAACCGATGGACATGCTGGTCTGCTAGCGGAATTGCAATCATATGATACATCTTGGAGATGTCACCGACAACAGCTATCTCTCTTTCTCGAAACCGTAGCACTACCCCGAAGAGGTTATTGAGCAAGTCCGGTCCTTTATACCAATACTCGTTCAAACTGTGGCCATTGTAGGATGCTGAGCTGTTGAAGACAATTCTAACAGGAGTACTTTTCTTTTCTGGGCGGACAACAGCATGATGAGCTACGTAATGCACGGGTCCTTTCCATTCCTTAATTTCATCTTTCGTTAATTTCCGAGAAAATCCCATGCTCTCCATTTCTTCCATCTGCTTATCATAGCTTTCGGCGTGATCAGGTGTCTTAGCGAGTCGACGTTCTGTGGATTCCATCTTCTTCAATACCTGTGTATAATTATCTGGTAACATTTCTGGGCTCTTTTTCCATGGATAACTGATAGTCCATTTCTTTTCTTCCAAATGGCAGGACTCTTCAATGAGCTTTAATTCTTTTTGTTCCTGCGGTGACAACTTGGTAGTTGGGCATTGGCATGGAGATATTGCTACTCCCATCGACTCGGTATTCCAAAACTCAGAAAGGTCAACTGGTGCGGCTAATCGAACATTCAGGACACGAGTGCATTTCTGCTTTGTCGGCTCTTCATGTACTCCAAAGGCTACCCATCCAAGAGGGCTCTTTCTGACTGCTAAACCGTCCTTGATTCGAGTTTCACCAACATGAAATTGCGGATGATTGATGCCGACTAATAAATCCACAGGGCCAGATTCTCTTTTCAATTGATGAGTTGGTATTCAAAGATCTCAGAGATCCTGTTCACATTGACATCTGCCATATCATCTGAAATGTGTGAGATTCCAACTGCTTGCACTACCTGGATTCTTCTTCCATCATAGGTGGATATTGGAACCTTGTAGATCTTTGTGTCTAATTCTTCTTCAGTGCCTCCAACTTTGGTTATGACTATTTTAGATGGTCTTCCTTCAAGTTTCATTTCCTCAGCTAGATCTTTGCGTACCATTGATATTTGAGCACCGCTATCGTAGAAAACCTTTGCTGCTTTGGTTCCATGTACTCCCTTCACTTGACCAAGAAGAACAGGTAATAAGGTACCACCACCATCTTGTGTAGAGCCAACGTGTGCAGCAGATTCATTTGCATCAACATGGAGGAGCTTGTGATGAGGCTTATTGCAGACGATACCCGACTGTTGTTTTCCCCGCAATCTTTCTTTCGTGTGCAATTAGCAACTGTATGTCCTTTGCCTTTCTTCAGACAACAGAAACATGCTCGTTGATCCTTCACTATTTTCCATCGCTCGTTTGGGGTCATATCACAAAATCTTTTGCACTCATCCACATAATGTTGACCTTGACACACATAACACTGTTTCCACATTGGTCGTTGATCTCTTTGTTTTCCATCACCATTTTCATTCTTGGAGCCAAACACATAAACACGACTTGATTTGACATTTTTGCGGATTTGAGCCCCAGAGCGCATTCGAGCGGTCATCTCCCCCTCCATCCAGGATAGAAGGTTATCCATTGATGGTTCAAGCCTTCCAGAGTTCAGATGCCGTGCCCAAACTCTTAGGTCATCTTCGCTCATCTTTCTTTCTATTAGAGATATCACATGTGTGTTATCCATATCTTGAGGGCGTTTAATTTCTTTCAAGATGTTGTATGACCTTCTCACTAAATTTACCAAATGGCAAAAACGATTATCTTCTCCAAGTTGTATACTTTTGAATCTTTCCAGATCAAGGGTAACCGTATCTGACACAACTCGAGGATCCCCATAATTTTGATCGAGATACTTCCATGCAGCAGCTAGATCAGAACTTATTCCTTCTATCAACTTAGCTGGCTCAGAGCTTAAACATGAACGTAGTACTGTCAATGTATCTCTTTCAGAATACTGTGCTTCAACTGCGTGCTTGAAATCCGACTTGAATATGAAATATTGTCGAACATCACCTGAAAATACTGGTAGTTTGGCTTTTTCATGCTTAACGGTAAAGGACTTTGGCGACTTAGTACTGGGCTTTACTGCTTCGGAACTTGGGATTGTGCTTAGTTCACTTTCCCCATTATCACTACTACTTCCAGTTCCAGGCTGTTCTATAACACCATTGCTTCCTTCAGCTACATTAACTCCATCAATATTTTCTGCATTTTGGACCTCCTCATTCACAATGTTCGTACCATTTCCATCAGTTTTCTTATTAACATAGTCATGACATAAAATGGAACAGGCTATGTACTCACTTGTGCAGGCTTGCATCCAGGCTTCAGATTCTTCAAACTCTTCATCGCTCAACATAATAGCATATTCCTCATGCTTCGTCAACAAAACTTTATGGACCTTTTTTACATCTTCAAACGCTTCGCTTACTTCATCCTTTGACCGGTTTGCCTCAATAATTTCCTTCGCTGCCTTGATAACCCTCGTAAGAGAGCCCTTTGCACTTCGACGCACATTCTTAGCTTTATCCTTTTCATTTCTCTCCATTATACTTCGCGATTAACTTTAGTCGCATAGCACCATCAGCAAACAGGTGATAAATCTTCAGATAATGGACCGATGGCGTACACAACACAATAAAACAACAATGATTTGGGTTTCAAAATTGATTATACATAGTATAATTACAATCTGAAGCTATATAATACAAAGAAAAGGAAGAAAATATATAAGTATTTATTTTGACTAAACCTCTCTACTTAGTTTCCTGTACTTACATTTGTCCAAACCACTGTTTAGATTAACATAACAAACAAAACAACCCTTAAATTCGCTACTTTTATAGCTCAAAATTATTTAACTTCGCTTCGTCTCTTTGGCAATGTTTCCTCGTGTTCGTGCATTTTGTTTTCGGGCGCACTTGTGTACCCTCGTTACTTTATGTTATATACGCCTATAAGTCAACGAAACAATCATTAAAGGCAAAAAAAATCGCGTTAGCGATCGTTTTATTCTGTATCGATGAAAATTATTTCCACAAAGTTACCATGGAAACGAAGAATTTTTATCTCGGCAAGCGGGATGAAAACACCATATGAACACATGGAACTTTTCATCTCGCTAGGTGAGACATCTCAGTAAGCGGGATCATATGAACAGGGCCAAAGAAATAGAATATATACAATAACAATATATCCAAGCATAAAAAAGTTAAGGCAATTTAGGAGATACCTTCGGTGTTTATTACGCTCAGAGCATCTTTATTTTCGTGAATCCTATATTCCGCGAGTTTAATGTAACATTCTCATTCTTGTGAATCTTGTTTGAGTTTAGTTCAAATCGGCTCAACGGGCGGCTTTGTGATATCTGCTGGCTTTCGATTTTAATTCCTGGTAGCTCGGTCTGAATTCGTGGGAGTCACGTGACCTTCATTGTGTACATAGACCATAGACATAGACAACAGACACTTCTGCAGCCGGCGAGGTGAATAATTTAATTATGTTCGCTTGTGCTCATTGTGACATTTCTGCATGTTTCAGAACTAAAACTTTCAACTGATTTTTACACGGCCCGCGATTCATCTACATTCGTGTAAACTGGTTATAGACCTCATCACTATATATTGCACTTCAACGTGATTCCCATCGATTTGCCAGACTGCCATCGACTTTTATTACAACTACAAAATTCTAGGCAGTGTGCTAAAGATTTTGTCGACAATTTTGCTGGTTGTGTCAAATCACCAGCAAAATAGGATGTACTTAAAATAAGTTTGGTACAATTAGTTCACAAAACGGCTTGTACGTGTTCTGCGACAACAAAGTACAAGGTTCCCACGGAACAGAGGTCGCACCGAGTTACACTATAGTGATTCTTTAAAACACAATGAGACAGCGATATAGAATTACACAATTGGGGGCTGGGAATTTCTAAAGGGTTTTACCTCGAAGCATTTTAAACAGTTTTTCGACGTCCAAGTATTATTACACAACGATTGTCGTTTTCGTATCTATGTTTATGTAATTCATATCTCATACAATTACTTTAAGATATATTTTTTATTAAATACCATTAAATATTTCGATATAAAGTAATAATCACTCCGATTCCATCACATAAAAACTGATATAAAGCACTTATATCCATTTATAATATGACACCAGACATAAAGATCAACTTGCATATATGCAACAGGTAAATGTTTTCTGCTGAGAATTTTTGCACTTCCGCTATTTGCATCTTATCGCATTTCAGTGTCTAGCTTTAGATACACCCATCGAACTTTGACAAAATTCGAATTCGGTAAGGATACAAAACTTCTGCAGTCTTCATAACCACAAATTCTAATGCGGTACTTGTTGGGCATTAAACCAGCAACAGGTGGCAACGTTTGCCAAAACTAAGACAAAATTATGACCGCGAATTCGCCACACAATAATAACAATAAAAAATTATATCTAGACATAAAAAAGTTAAGGCAATTTAAGGATCGAGATACCTTGAATACCGATTCAGTCGGCCAACTCCGACGAGACAACGGTGTTTATTAAGCGCTCAGAACATCTTTATTTTCGTGAATCCTACTCCGTGAGTTTAATTTAACATTCTCATTATTGTGAATCTTGTTCGAGTTTAGTTCAAATTGAATTGAATTGCAATTAAAATTAAATTGCCTTGCGGCTCGACGGGGCGGCTTTGTGTCTCAGCTGGCTTTCGATTTTAATTCCTGGTAGCTCAGTCTAAATTCGTGGAAGTCACGTGTCCTTTATTGTGTACATAGACAGTTGGCACTTCTGGGAGTTGGGACCGGTTGTATCAAGCCCGTTTACCTTAAACGGTGAATAAGTATAAATTATTATATGACTAGTGTTTGTTTTTGTAAATCCTGCAATTTGATTGGCTGCTGACGAGGCGGGATTTTCCCATATTGCCCACGGGCAATACGCTCAATTTTTATTGCCCTCGGGAAAAACAACAGCAATTCGAAATGAATTGTTATTCGTGTTTATGGTTTTCCCAAATTAAGTCATATAATAAATAACTTACTGACTTCGATTGTTCGGTCTGTACGGTAAAATATCAAACCTCGGTCGTGCCGTATTGACCTCGCTATCGCTCGGTCAATACGGCACGACCTCGGTTTAATATTTTACCGTACAGACCTCACTCTCAGTCAGTAAGTTCTTATTAAATAACACTCTTAGATCTCTCTTGAATGAGTCGACTTGAATATTATGTACTGATGTACTGAATATGTAGTTGTAAACAGTATACTGTATATTTGTATCAAGGTTGAAAACATTTAGTTTTTGCTTGTGGAATAAAATGCTCTCATATTTCTGCATGTTTCAGAATTGAAACTTTCAACTGATTTTTACACGGCCCGCGATAATCTACATTCGTGCAAACTGGTTATAGGCCTCATCACTATAATATATTGCACTTCAACGAGATTGCCATCGAGTTTTATTACAAATACAAAATTCTAGGTAGTGTGCCAAGGAGATTTTGTCGACGATTTTGCTGTTTGTCGTCAAATCACCAGCAAAATAGGATGTACTTAAAATAAGTTTGGTACAATTAGTTCACAAAACTTTACCTCTTACGGCTTGGACGTGTTCTGGAACAAAGCGATTCTTTAAAACACAATAAGACAGCTGTCAGCGTCCAGTGATATAAATTTGCACAATTGGGGCTGGAAGAGTTTTACCTCGAAGCATTTTAAACAGTTTTCCGACGTCCAAGTATCATTACACAACGATTGTCGTTTTCGTATCTATGTTTATGTAATTCATATCTCATACAATTACTCTAAGATATATTTTTTCAGTAAAGTTTAAACTGAAATGTGCACACAGCTGTCGTTGATCAGCGGTACATGCAGCATATGCTTGTCAATCATTCTATTTAGTTTTATTTAATTCCAATGTAAATACGTATAACGTGAACCTATTGATCACTTCCAATTTTCGTTTCTTGGTCGGACTGTTGAAGGTTTAATAAAGTTTTTAAAATCTGCTATGGTATAAAAGTTGTTACAATTTGACAAACACTTTTAGAAGGGCTATCATTCAGCGCTAAGCTGATTTACAAGAAACCGTTTCACTCTAGTTATTAATCCAGTCCAAATGTGAAAATCTGAATATATACAAATATCTGTAATATATTAGTAGGTTCACGGCAACCAGGAATCTTTCGCAATTATCGCTATTCTGGTTTAATTAATGAAAGTAATCAGCACACAAAGAGTACATTTACGACCCAACGTTTCGACACTCCGGTCTAGTGTCTTCATCAGGGCTAATCTCATGTTGAAACTTTGAAGACACTAGCCCGGAATGAGAATATTTGAGCTCCAGAAAAACCATTCATGCAAATTATGTAATGTATACGAGTATGATTTGTATGCAATGAAAAATCGGCATACTCACACTTCACTCAGATTAAAACGAGTGTCAAAAATAAATCGTTTATAAAAGATATTGGTTGTTGTCATTTTTAGTTTTTTTTCTAAACTTTCGAATGGTTATTAACTATTGTCGCCGAGCTGGGCACATGAAATTAAAGCTATTAAAAAGTTACATTTCGTGTAGAAATTTGAATCTAAAAAAATATTTAAAAATTCCCCGGTTTTTTTGCCGGTAATTGTTTTTGTTGTTTTTTTATACATTTCTTGTGCAGTTTAAGTCTTGAAATTTCCTCATAAAATATAACTTTTCTATAGCTTTAATTTGACCATACAGGCGTCAAGTATTTCGTCTCATAACTCAGAAAAACTATTTTTGTTTCAAGCTGATATGGCGATGTTTGTCAGGAGTTAGCGTTCCAGTTTACCTACAGTTCAATGGCCGGCGCAGGGTACTAATTCCGCCCGGAGATTTTAATTACGCCCAGGAATGAAAATGCGAAATTGAAGTTGTCCGCTATTATGTCATGGACGTTTGACGTTTTTGTGACTTATGCGCATGCGATTGTCTAAATTAAAATTTTGGTTCGCGTCAGATTAACTGCCATTTTAAAACTTTTTTTTAAATTATATTTTTCAAGGCTTGTTCGCATATCTGCCTGCCACTTGCGACCTCTCTACCAGCGAGTCCGATCAAACCTCAATAGCATACCTGCGGTAGATAGATAGAATACAAACCTTTGTCAGTTTTAACCATATTATCTATTCAACACATTCAAGTTATGAAATGGGGCACAGACCACCATCACAAACATGTGCCAACCTCAGTTTTAAAACTTGTCACAATTCCTTGAATCTATCACCAAATACTTTAATAATTTGAAACCCATTTGATTGCAATTAACTTTATTGGAAAATTATTACAAATTTTAACCGAACAAACAGGCTCTGTAGCTGATTTCTTCCAGGTGTTTTTCGACTCAAATTGTTATTTATATATATCGAATTTTCCCAGTAGTTTTCTACTATTGAAAAAGATTTTTTGAAAAAGTTCTGGAATACCTGGGCTGTGCAGATTATTTACTTATACAGTTTATGCTGTTTTTGAAACCGAACCTAGTTACAAAACCTGTTCAGTTCCTAACGCCGGTTAACTATAATGAGATTATAATATTTGCTTAGTGAATATACTTAAACGTTCCACATACGATATTTGTTGATTAATATAACAAATCAAACATCACTATATCTATTTTTAAAGCAAGCAGACATTACGGCAAGCAAGACAAAAGTACACAAGCTATAAAGCATGCAAAAGATAATATCGAGTAAATTGAATATATGTTTAAAATGTGTCTATAACTACCAGTGTTTATATGTTTAATTTTTACTTATCTGATTACGTCATTACAGCAGCAACGTTATTCTGACTCTATGCTGGGGCTAATTTGAAATCTGTTATTGAAGCCCCGTTTACACTACACTCGATTTATTGGCACGGCACGGCTAAAATGGGTACCCGTACCCATCTCATTCGTGCTCAGCCTTTGTTTTGGTAGTCTGAACACTAATGAAATTGGGTACGGGTACCCATTTTAGCCGTGCCGTGCCAATAAATTGAGCGTAGTGTAAACGGGGCTTTATTAAAGATCAACAGTAAACTGAATTAATACTTCACACCATATCCGCCTATATGCGGGAGAACTTTTGAATTCGACGTCGGCCGGATTGCTTGGTTGCCTGTGTTTGACGCGATGAACTTCTCAGGCCCAGTCTTCCGCTATTTCCCTTTCTTTCCTATAAACGTATAGTGGTTTTTGGTTTCCCTGATACTGACTTTTGAACATTTTTGTTTACCGTTATGGTAACTTGTGTTGTTGCAACTTATCGACATTAATGTTCATGGGGTTCAGAAGAACATCATTATTCAGTCTTGGTTTTAATTTTATGCCAGATGAGCATTTTTACTCTATTGTTGTTGAAAAAACCTGTTGTTACAATTGTGCAATACTCCAATTATGCATGCTGCTCATTTTGACAAAGATGCGAGCATGCATGCTAATTCTGGATTAAATACCCTGGCTTGCAGATAATTTTACCTCACGACTTGACATGCAACATATGCACGGCAACTCAAAACAGCAACTCAAAAATTTGCGGCATTGAAAGGCCTAACTCAACCTAAATTTTAACATGACAATGCCAAAATAAATAAATCGCATGTGTACCCATATCAATAATAAGGACTTTATACAATCATAGAAAAGGCATTTTTAAATTCTGTATAGTTAGAAGTCGTAACTTACCTTCTCCAATTTTTCTATATATTTCACAATTGAGTGAATGTATTCGAGAGTGATTTCTAGCGGGATCTCGTCCAGGTTCGGTGGACCCAGAGGGAACCACAATGATGGTTCCTTCAAGCTAGACTGCAAAGAGTTATGTTCGTCTGGCCAATATCTTTCAGTTTCTGACGAGAGATAACGAAACACGAAACGACGTACTGCTGTCAAAAAGTTTTGTGGCTTGAACTGTTCAACTTCCCCGCCAACTAGAGCTTTAATGGTTTCTTTCATCTCATCTGGCAACTCATCTCGGAATTTCTCGGCCAGTCCTTCGATGGCTCCATCGGCAAGCACATCTTCAAGAGCTTCATAAAGGGCAGCAACGTGTTTAATCTTGATCGAACTACGTGGTTTGGGTAACAGTTTTACTGGGAAGGGACTTGGTAACAACGGTGACCATTTTTCGGCGAGCTCTTCCAGGGTCATATCCTCGTTGAATTTCTTCAATTTTCTTTTAAGCAGGAAGATCAGTACCTCGATATGTTGAAGAAGATCTTGAGCTTCTCTAATCCTCTCCTCTTTTAGGTTCGACACACCTTTACGCACATCTTCCGGCAGTTTAGAGCTTTGTGTCACTTGGGATCGGATCTCTGTCAGCAAAGGACCACACGAGTGGAACAACTCTTTCGCGAAAATAAACTTGTTTAGGGTCCCCGTCAGGAAGCACTTTCCAAATGCGATTTCTGTTGCCAGCTCCATTTCTATTCTCTCGAAATCATAGGCGATTTCGTGACCCTTGCCATACTCGGGATTGTTTCGTGCATCTTGGAATAAATCGTCTGACCATTGGAAATTTATAACTTGTTTTTCATCCACCTTCTGAATAGAGATACACGGAACTCCACTACAGTTTTCTTTTTCCAGGAAACTTAAAGCTGGGTGGCGATGCGCAGAAAGGGAAATGATTGTATCTAAAATTGAATTTTGATAAGAAACCAGAATCCCAATGGCTGTTTCAAGATAGATACCATCATCACTCTCCATCAGACAGAGAGCTACACTATTAGTCTCCCCTATTCGAGGCATGTTGTCGTGATTATCACCAGGTTCTTTCTTTACTAAGGGGAGCATTTTGTTCCATGCTTCTTTGAATTTGTTGAACAATTCTCTCAAACGTTTAGTTTCATCAGGGTTTCGCTTTAGTTGTAGAATATGACCAGTGATGAAATCGTTGATGGTGAACTTAGACTGCGCGTCTTTTCTACTGATGCGATGGGTTAATGCTGACGATACCAGGCGAGACCATTTCAAGAGATGGTGGAGGTTGTCAATTGTCGAAATTTGGTCAAACTTTGCAAAGAACAGAGTCAAAAAACTGTGCTTTTCTCGTACATCATTTGGAGAGTTGAGAAATGTGGACCTGAAGTCTTCTAAACTTGATTCTTTGGTTACACGGAATAATCTCTTTAGTTGCTGATTTTGTTCTTCCGGATCCTCCGGATAATTATCAAGTTCCAAAATGCGACATTCAAGCTGGACTGTTTCTTGACTTTCTTCTGTGTGCTCTAGTTTTATCATCTCCTTAATTTCCTTGGACGTTTCTCGTCCGTTTAAAAACACCGGTTCGGTAAGCAGGGCGAACATAGTTTCCCATTTTCGTCGCGCCTCCGGTGGCGAGCAGTCGTTCTTTTTTAGTAGGTTGTTACTTCTCAGCAGACCCGAAGCTCTCTCTAACACAAGATGCAGGGTTTTGATTGCGGCACTTCTCTGACAACTAAGAATTTTCATCAAAAATGATAGATCATTTTCCATAATCTGGAAGCAAAAATTTGCCGGTGTTGTGGATTCATCGTCAAGCTCAAGTCCGTGCAAAACGTTTAAGGTTTTTCTCAACTTCTCCTCAGAAGAAGTTCCGAGAGCAACTCCTGTGTAGTATGACGAATACACTATAAAATGCAAGGCACGGTAAACGGCTGGACTCATGTGTGGTGCGCAAAGGTCCCATTCATGGCATGTGTCATTCTCGGGGGGCAATGACAACGTGGCAGATTTCTCCGAGGATGTGCTGCAGTTTTTCTTGTCATTCAAGTTTTCGGGACAATGCGGACAGAGTTTTTCGTTGCTTCCACTCTTGAAAGCTAATCTTGAGCCACAAGCACACGTAACACAGTCAGATGCTTTGGTAGATGATGATTGTATGTATTCAAACACGGAACGTATCTCTTCTTCGCAGTGGGCGAGAACACAAGGCGGTTCAAATTCATCAGTGAGAGTGAAATATCGATAAATTGGCGAAGTTTTTTGAAGTGCACCTGTAGCAACAACACAAGCAAAATGGAGAACTAGTAACGCCAGTTCAACATCTTTCACTGGTGACTCTGACGATGGCTGAAGTTGGGGAGAATTGAAATCGTGACGACCAATAACTCTCAACAGAAGTTCTTGAAATAGTGACGGAAACGAAGCGACATTCGCAGCTATCCACTTCACCAACAGTTCTTCTTTATCAGTGAGCTTTCGCACAGCCCGTTTCAAGTAGACCATGTTTATAAAAAATCCAAGTAATGCAAATACATGATCTGGGGAATGATTACATTTCTTCAAAAATTCTTTCATTAGTGTGTCATCATTTAATTGTAAGTTCCAACAGGCAGCTTTGACTTCTTCATATTCAGGGTATCCTAACACAGATGTAAACACAGCCTTTTCTTCACTTTTTTCATTCCGCCATAGCTCCTGCATTGTGGGAAGGATGTTATTTTCGCCAAACCACACTCGTAAATCAAATAAACTAGTGGTTTTGTGAAGTTGTTTCATGAAAAATACTTGTAACGAAGATTTTGGATCTTTAAGTAGTGAGTTAACTTCTGACATTACGTGGATGTATTGGCTATCTTCTTTCACAGCACTGGGATTTCCAGCAACGAAGTTTGCTAACATTGTGAAGAATCCACGAAGGAACGCAACAGCTGAAAGAACGGATAAACCGCGAGCAATTTCATCTTGTGAGATGAATGCCAAAGCAGCTTTAGCAAGTGTAAGAACTTTACAGTCAGAACTATCAATGTCATCGATCGTGAAATGTTCGTCAAAATTTAGCAAAAATTGAATTAGATCACAGATCATCACAGCAGGATACGAGTCAAGATGTATCAAACCCTCAGAGTAAAGATCTTTGAATACTTCGTCAATATTCTCGAGACAAGGACAGTTATCAATAGTACGTGGATTCGTGATTATATCCATAAATATGCCAGGCGACTGTATTTCCTCCACCATGAGTAGCCGTAAGACAACAGGACTCATCATCATTACCAATTCTGGTCTCTTCAAGGACAGAACTTGTTCGATTATCGGGCGAGCACCACAGGTGTCAACATTTGTGTCAATACAACGACCATAAAATAGAGCTGAGAACTTCTGTAAACCTTCTTGCCCATCCTTATGTTTTTTTAGTTTTTTTTCCAATGGTTTGATAAGTTGTTCTGTTATAGTCTCGAATGCCTGTTCGTTGTCAAGATAACCGGATTTAAGACTTACGCCAATATCGTATAGATCATGCAGCGACGATAAGGTCAATGAAATCTTTGGATTTAAGACAATCCTTGAGAAATCAACACACAATCGTAGGTAATGGAATGCTGGTGAATGTTCACTAATTTTGAATGCAAGAGAAAGCAACAAATTAGCATTTCGTTTCCAAGGTTCAACACCACCGTTGTTTTTAACAATTTCCTGCGAGGGAAACATTTTTTCACAGTATGCAGTGACTAAGATATCTCCATATCTCTCTGAGTCTTCTATGTCCTCCATTCCGTTTTCAATCGGTTCTCCTTCATCTGGTTCCTGTTCAAAAAGTTGTTCCTTGTTGAGTTCTTCGATCAGTTCTTCTTCACTGGACTCTTCTTTAATGGGTTCAACGTTCGTTGATTGTTCGTCAAACTCGAGCTTTATGTCGGCAGGCTGAACTCCATTTTGTTCTTCTTTATCTGCTTGGAGTTCAGCGCAAGAATTTGATTGAGTGCCGATCAAAGACTCGTCTTCAGAGCCTTCACTCTTTTTCAGCGTTTTCACAAACACAATGTCTTCAGATGTGCTTAGCATGTCATTTGTCACATTTTCGGTAACTGTTAGTGGTACAAACGGTCCGCAGCAATCAACCATTTTCAGCAGATCAAGGATTTGTTCGCGATGAATCCATATAAAAGTGTGCAGGAGTGTACAAAACTCGGGCAAATTACTCGCTGGCAAGCTCTGTTTAGCGTCAGAAATGAACACTGCCTTCGTTATTGAGGTTCGTTGGGGACGAGTTAAAGTTTCGCTGAAATCGGCTGTTACCATATCAAAAATGTCCTTCATGTATAAATCGTGACAGTCAGAAGAGAAGAAAAGGAGTTCGGGAACCTGGTCTGTTATCATCTTGGAAAATTTTTCGAGTTGCTTTTGCCAAACATCCCGTTTTAGTCGTCCATTTTTTTCTAAATTGTCATCATTTGCTATCAGTGTTGTATAATCTTCTAAGAACAACTCCTTGACGCCTTCAACTTTCCTGATAATTACTTGACTGAATGGTAGGCAAAGGTCAAGGCTGGTACTGCTAAGTAAATATGATTCCGCCCCAAGTGGCTCAGGTATGTCTGACATTTTGAAAATGCTAGTATTCTTGATACATTTGCACCATATTTCTTCTAACTCTGGCAACATAGTTTCATCAGAAGTTTGCCACTTGACTAAGTGAGGTGGCCAAGCATTCTCCTTTTCTAGGAAGTAAACAATCTTAGCCAATGGATTTTGGACTAATCTAGAGACGAACTGCTCCATTGCACAGTAAAGAGTCGAGAAATTGATTAACGACTGGCGATCACAAGCAACCTTCACTTGCCAATTTACTTCACAGTATGTTTCCTGATCTTGTTGGAGAACTTTATAGTCAATCGAGTTTAAGATGAGTTCCTCTATGACTTTTGAAACTGCTTCCGAGTCGAAAAGGTTCTTGGAAATGCGTAAGACCATGTCTAAAGGTCGCTGGCTTTGTGTATATTTAATGCATGTGAAGCACCATAAAAGATCGTTTTTTGCAATCAGGCGAATGGGCCATATTTGAGATGTGAGAAGTTTCTGAACGCTTTTCCCGAGTAATTCATTTAATGGTACAAGAGGAGCTTCAAGGACATCGAGGAATACCTGTCTCCAACCACACAAAAAGCTAAACTGCCAGGAAACATCATTTGTTGTTTCTCCACGTTGAACGTGAACAACGATACAAACATGCTTGCGTCCTCGTGGATCTTCCTCAGTTTGTTGCACAAATCGCTTATAGGCATCTCTTTTTTCTTCAATAATGGAACGGGCAAGGAGTAAATGGGCACCATCCAAATCTGGTTTACACTGCAAAACCAACAATTTCTTTTCTGGTGAATTCCAGAATTCGCTAATTTTTTCAGTTAGTTGTTTCTCAGACTTGTACGCACTCAGTCGTTCAACTTGACATTTGAAACCGCTGCCTAAACATCGACCAATATCCGTGTGAATGTTGGAAAATGTCATAATAACCGTTTTAGTTCCAATCTCATCACCAGCAAAGAAAGTCAGATTCTGATCATTGGACACCACGTGGTCCATGAAGGAAGCAAAACCCTGGTGAACTGGTTTCTTGAAATATTCATCTCTCAATTCATGCACTTCGTGCGAATCTTCCTTCAAAAGATTGCATTTCTGGGTCCGCAACATACCATCAGGCGATGCAATCCACATCAAGTCATCTTTACATTTTTTCAAAACACCTGCTGAGGTATCGGCGTCGTGGCTGCTTGAGGTGTCTGCATCATGACTGTGTGACAAGACCAGTGATGGAAGGGTGTCTTCGTGGAAACCAATGAATGTATCTGTTTCCCTGAAATGTGACTCTAAAGTCTGTACGGTGGAGATCGCTTGAACCCAGCTCTCAAGCTCGTTGATCACATTCTTTTGGTCTTCCGACAGCACATCGGAATAGCGCAAGACTTGCTTTTCAAACCTGTTAAGGAATGGGGGGTCGGAATAATCTACTTTATGCTGATCAATAAGAACAATGCAGCGAAATCCATCGTTTACTTGACACATTGGGTTGCTATGTGCTCCAAGAGCCACACGACAGTTTTTCCTGTTCCCAACAACGGCATAATTCTGGTTTAACATATCATAAAGACTTCCATAAATGCTTTCAAGATCTTTTAATATCAGGATGCAATTCCGTTCCATGCAAAGAATGATACGACTCAGGATTCTGTAATTATACTCTTCGGACAAGTCCTCTTCGAATCGACTGCCGTAAATTGTGATAGTTTCCTTTTCTAGCTGAGCAAGACTTTGTCTTAAAATTCCAATGGCTGAGTCTCCATTTGTTATCAGCATCAAGTGACGTGCTTTGGGGTCTGAAAGATTCTCTCGAATTAATTTGGTAACTTGGACAATTTCTTGATCATTGGATGTCATATACTTCTTTAATTTTCCAAAAAAAATCTTTTGAATGTTGGATACTTCACCAGGAAGGCCTCCAAAATTGCGCTGTAGTGAAATGTTGACTTCTTTGGAGTTGCCGCGACCTGTTAAGCTTTTGATGAGAGAGTAGTAATCACGCAGACCGTGAAAATTGGCATGGGTTTGTTTCCCTTCATATTCGAAATAGCCTTCTGCTAAGGACATTAACTCCTTCTCTCCCAAATTTTGGCTGCTATCACCATCATCAGCGTAATGTAGTGAATGGCCAGTCTCATACAAGTCTTCTTTCGTTGGCTCAGGTCTGGACAGATGAATTGCTCTGTTCATCTTCGCTGCATCTAACGACCAATTTGAAATACCCACAACTGCAACCTCTGGCAATTCCCCATCTCCAGGTTCTAGTAAACTGTGTAAGACTTTGAGTGGGTTGTATTTAGAATTTTCTGCCAATCCGACTTCATCCAGCAGAACAACAGGCAAAACATTTCCATCTTTGTTGTGTGATTTGTATTTGTGTGCCTTTTCAAACACTTTGTTGATTCCTTCGGAAGTTGACGATTCTGAACCTTGATACGAGACTACATAAAGTTGTGGTAACTCTCTGAACCATGGATCACGCGAATCTCGTCCTCGTAAATTGCTTCGAATCAATTGAATGGATAAGGATTTGCTGCAACCAGGCTTTCCAACTACGAAAATAGGAATACGATTTAAGATGCAAACCAACATAACAAAGACATTCTCACGCAGGGCGGCGTTTTTTGCTGTGCCAGGGGGGAGTTCCATCCGATTTAAATAATCTTCTTCTTCCATACGTACAATGGCGGCAAAAGCATCGGAATTATTTCCACGACTCATTGAAGTTCCATTTCTAAGAAACAGCTCCATCATATGTGCTCGATAGCTCTTTCGCAACTCTGAAGTAGGTAATCTGGACAAGTAGCAATGGGCGAGAGTAAGAACAATGCTTTTTATCATAGGTTTCGTGTTGAACCGTTCTGAGATCGAATGGTAAATTCGAAGGTGCTGAGGACATTCGTCATCTAGGGTACATTTTAGCTCCTTGCGCTTTATTATCATGTCCTGAAACCATTTTATTAGCCGAATGCAGCGATGCACATCGCGAAGACTGACACAAAAAGAATTATTTTCGGCTTCCCGAATAAACTTTTGAGATGCGGAAAGCAGATCAACAAGTAAACCTTCATATTTTTTTGGAATCTCTCTCACCATCCTTTGGATGTAGTCTCGTTCATCTTCCGGGGCAAGGGAGCCATAATCCCACACATAGTCAACCATAGCTTCAGGCAGTTCGTGCACACGATACACAAGTCCGGAATATTCATCCACGATATTCTTGCCTTCAAGGCCAGCTGTCTTGATGTGTTCTTCTGGACGTAACTTGTACGGATTACAAGCTGCTAGGAAAACAAGATTGTTGGACAGTCGTCGTCCGAGCATGGAATGATGACACATGATATCATTGATCAAGCCTAGATGGTCACACGTGTTGATTTCGTCCAAGAATATCCAGATTTGCTCTTTCTTTTTATCGGCAAGGCATTCGCTCGTGTTGATAAATGCGATTATCTCCTCTTCCGATATTCCTGCATGGAAATTGAATGTACAGAAATGAATACCGCATGTATTCGCTAAGTAGCGGACGAGGCTGGTCTTTCCACATCCTGTCTCCCCCATGATAATCACCGGTGCATTCACACGAACCCGTAATATGATCAGTATCATCTTCAAGACATTATCCGGTGTTAATGCGTAACTTTGGAATAATTCGGGGTTTTTAACCATTTTTGCGCCAGCTATCTTCTCTAACTTCTCTTGTAGTTGTTCTTGGGTAAAAACCTTGAAGTCGTCGAGCTTGGTATTTTTTCGTACCGCTTGGCTCATTAGCAATTTCTCAACATTTAAAGGAACCAATGATCTGTTCCGATACACAGCAGTGATGGCTTGCGAGTTAAGACCATGAAACACGACCAACAAATGGTTGCTGTCTTCCCACTGTATCATTCCTTCAACCCGTTCAACCATATCGGTGGCAGATTTGGTTTTCAACGTCAACGCTTTGTCTAGAGCCATTGCAGATTCTTTCTGAGAAAGATTCCGCTTTTCACTCGAACGGCATGTTGTTATGGCTCGGGATGCGAACTCCCTTGATAACTCTAACAAGGCTTTGAAAAGATTGTTGCGGATACCTTGGCTTCCTTTGCCCAACATAGATTTGAGATGTGGAATTCTGAAAAATGCACTTTTAGAAAACTTCAGAAGTTGATCGGCCAGAACGCTTAGGAATGTTTGGAGCGTTGTAAAGGTAATATCGGCATCTGACGCGAAATATTTTGCCAAAAGCTCCTGGCAACGATGTTCTGCCATTGGCTTTGCTCTTTTTGGTCCACTGAAGTAAACTTCCTCCAAGTCAAAACGAGCGCGATCGAAGATATCTAAATGATGGCAAACAACTTGGACATCACTTGTGATTTCAGGGCTGACCAAAAGATCCTTGAAATTCTGCCATTTTAAGTCAATGCGAGTGAAGTACTTTGATATCATCATTGACTCTCGAAGGAAATCGTTCAGCGTATTCGCTATTTCAATGTAGATGTGTGTTGTAGGTAGATGATAGAACTGATTTCCAGCTGAAACCATTCCTGTGACAATCAGTTGAAATAAGAATGTGTCCAATGACAGTGGGTCACTAACTTCTCCAATATCCAGATGCAGGCAATGGTACTTCTTAAGCTTGAGCTTTTTAAGACGCTTGATGAGCTTGCTGGGCTCAAATGGGCCACTGATGGAAAATGAAGCAACATTCATACCTTTTTTCAGAACTTCGTATTTTATTTGTTCTGTTTTACCAAGACCAGGAAGAGTGGATGTGACCATTTTGATATCAGGCCAACCGGATTGAAGGCGACTCTCAAGGACTTGATCACTCATACTCGCAATGTGGTGTGTATACTGGGAAAACTGTTCGGCAATGTGGTGATGGTCGCCACCACGGCATATTACAGCTAGTTGATAATCAGCCTTCTCCTTAATGATCTCGTGACTTTCGTAGCATCTCTGCTTTGCTTTGATTGCGTCTACTAATTGAAACTGCAATTCATTTGGTAGCAATTCAACGTTTGCAATACAATAGAGACTATTTTGTTGAGGGCATTTTGAATGCGCGAAGCATCTTTGGAGTAAAAGGTGTATTTCTTGCCATGTTGTTTGGGAACTGCAGAAAACAATTTGATGCGGTTCAGGAAACGCTTTTGACGTGTTCTCGTACAGTGTGAGGACGACGTTGGCTGTTTGGGGACTTTTCTTCTCCAAACAAGCGACAAAAATTTCTCCTGGTGTGACTGTAGCGTCCAGCTTAATGTATGATTGTGTTTGTTCTTCAAGTGGTACCCATCTGATGACTGGTTGTGAATTACTGAAAATATTTTCTAACGCTTGACCAACAGTTGCTACTAATAAGTCGGCACTAGCGTCCGAGCCTGATGTTGTCTGCTTCTTCTGTAGCTTTCGGTATTTCTGTAACTGCGGTTTAGTGATCGTGCGGTCAACGAAATGGATTAATGGAAGAACTTCGTCAAAATTATTCTCGGATTCACTAATGAAAAAATCATACAGCGTGCATAGTTGATCAGAACGATAATAGTTCAGAAAGTGAAAGTTTTCGCGTTCTTTCTTGAGGATGTTTTCCCATTCTTGCAGATCAGTTAAAAGAGTGTCCCTGGTAGTTTTAAGTTCTTTGGTAGTTTTTATTCGTTTCCAGAATTCCCGATATTTCACATACCCAGATGTACGTAATTCCGATAGAAGAGTAGAAATTTCCGTCAATAGATTAACTTGATAAATAAAGTTATCAAAATCAATATCGTCGCTACTTTCCTTAGAAGGGCCTAACGGTACCTTGATAGCATTTTTGTGGGAAGTAACAATGAGATGCGCACGGCTCCGTAAGTCATGTAGGTCTGACAACGTGTAATTGCACGTTTTCACTTCACTGCTTCCCTGAAGCTCATAGCTAATCTTAGTTTCACATCTTTCATCTTTTTGCGACACCCAATATATTCCCCGCTTCAGGCAGTTACTAATGATTTCCTTAGTCATCTCCCCGCGGTTTGCAATACTTGTGTACAATCCACGAAGGCTATTCACGTTTGTACTGCACTGATGAATTTTCATTGCTATGTCTTCATGACCAATGCAGAATGCTTTTAACATCTCGAGAAAACTCAAAGGACTGCATTTGTTTTGCTTTCGTATCTTAATCAGTGGTGCTAAGAAACCATGGACATCGATAAGGTCCGAAACTGATGACTCAGATAAAAACTGATCTGAATGTTCTTCAACAGCGTCAATCAAAAAACGAATATCTTCATCAACTATTTCTTCGACAAATCCAAGTAGTTCACTGGATCTTGACAGCTCCTCCATCACACAATCAAGGTTTTCTCCTGAAAATGATGAAACTATTCCATGTACATATGTCATTGATTTGTCCAAATCAGTGAGGGTGAGCGCTGCACTGTTCTCCAAAATTGTTTGGAATTGTGAAAGCGTTTTAATCATGCCATTTAAAGGATCTGCTAATCCAAATATTTTCAGCGTGCTAATGATGTGCTGCACTTGTTTCAAGACAATGGGATACTTCATAAAGTCTTCGATGTACACTTTAACCAAAGGGGAAAACGGGCGCCTAAAGTATTTTCCTAGTAGCTCGAGTTCTTCGTCGAGTCGGTTTGGATGCTTCAAAGTGCCAAGCAACGTCGTTATGGTCTCAACACTTAGCGATCCGGGATTATTCAACACAGGGTTCCATTGACATTGAAGCTCTTCGATTGCTGTAGTTGTTAGAAAGGTAATCAACGACTCGAAATCCCATGACGGTGCTGCTTCGCTTTCGTCACCACTCGAGTTCTGTAATTCCTTTAAACATCTCTTAGACACACTTGAAAAAGACCACGAATTTACTAACGGTTGTAGTGCTTCAGCAGGTCTTAAAAAGGGGAGTAATGTTCCCCAAAACGTATCAACACGTAATTTATCTACATTCTTGCTTTCGAAAGATTCCTTGAGATCATTGAACGTCTGTATGATATTTTCTAAGCCATGGACGACGCAAACATCACTTGGTATTTTCTTCACGTGATTAATCGCCGAGTCCAACAAATCAAATTTTTTCGAACAATCTTTTACAACACGCACCAACTCAGTAATACCATCCAAGATTTGCGTTTGGTGATCTTTATAATCAGTCATTGGCATTGATTTAAGCAGCACACTAGCACATATCATTGAGACTCTTTCCCTTTCTCTGGTGACAACCTTTAGGAAACTATAAGATATATCGCCATCTCTGATGCGCTTCACCAGCCCTTGACAAATTTTTTGACCAATTTGATATTTCCTCTTTTTCTCAATCTGTCCTGCAAGTAGGAGGAAACAGACAATCGTATTCTTACCGTAGCTTGTTGAAAAATTATGAATACCCCAGTAAATACGTGACCGTATTTGTCTGGGTTCTCGTTTTGCTTTCCCCCGGCAGAAATATGATATGACTGGCTAAGCTATTTGATATAAATTATCTAGGTAGTCTTTTAGTTAAGATTGATACATACCCGTCGTTTCGAGTAAGATAATCCAAATGTTGCCCCACTCTAAGATGTTCTTAAAATCAGCCTCAGTAATTTCATTGTCTTTGAAATTTTCTGGAACAGCTACAATGTCCAAGATGCACAACAATACTGCTTGGCCAAGACTAAAACACGAGTAAATTAAGTTATTATATGAGTGTAGAGATTTATGCACAGTAGAAAGATGAAATAAAAATCGTTCTTCACTGGGTAAATTAACTTCATGCAACAGACTTTTTCGGTAATTACGTCACAACGTTTTAAATTTAGAACTACCCTAAATGAAATAGAATTCAAGTTTTACTCTCACAAGCTACGTGCAAAGATGCAAAATATCCTTCTTCAACACATTCATGAAAAATATTTTTTTGCTTTGACCAATAAATGTATGCACGGATGTTTTGAATCTTTGCACTTAGCGTGTGAGAGTTGAAATCCATTTCATTTAAGGTGGTTCTAAATTTAAAACGATAACGTTGTGACGTAATTACCGAAAAGGTCTATTGGATTGGGCGTATGATGTTTTTCAGGTGTGAAAAAATTCCATACACGGCTCCTTGCCCAACCTTGTACCCAAGGATTTTTAGATTGCCGTTTACAACACAACCTTTAAAAAAACGAAAAATTTCGAATTTGTTTAAAAAAATATAGGCCATAAATACGGGAAAATTGGACAGTGTATACCTTAATATTATACACCCGCTGTTGTAATCATGAAAGTGCCAAAAACCTAAATGTGATTTGTTGCTTCTCGTATTGGTTAATTAAATGTCTGTATTGTCTGTTTACCATCCAGGGTCCAGTTGTTCATAGCTAAGTTATCACTAATCCTGGGTTTAATTTAATCCACTGTTTTAGTTTATGTGCTTCTGCACCGCCGCTCGTTTCAAAACGTTTGAACCAGAACATAATCACGGGAAAAATATTCATTTTTATAAACAAGCGATGAAAAAACAGATTGTACAGATTTGTGTTAACATTGGGTTCATTTAACCGTCTTCTGAAATTTGAACAACTGGCCGCTGCCTGTAAGGCATGAAAAATCGTGAAGAATTTAAAAGAGGACTGTATAAAAAACATACACCAAACGTGCATGTAAAAAACAATTTGGGTATAGTCAGTAATAATTTTATCGACAATGTACGTATCACCAAAATCATCAAACTTCTTGAGCCCGTGCAAAGAGAAAAATATTCAATCAGAAATTATATTAATTGCAACAATTTAGATATAGAAGTGGAAACATTTACCTGCTATTCAAACACCCTTTCAAAAATTCGTTTGACTTCTTTACCACCTTTGGTGATTGTTCCAATACCTTCTTAACATGGGATTTATAACACTCCTGTACAACGGGCAAAAATTTTTCAACTTTAGCAAAAGCTCTAAGAACAGAAATGGCGTCTTCATTTCCTAACATGGTTTCCACAGCGTGGGCAGACACGTTTTGAGCGAGACTTTTGTTTGGAGTATTAAGATGGCATTTCATTATAGCATTGATTGTTCCATAAACTGTTACAATCTTTTCCACGCTTCCAGTGTTACTTGTAAACTTCTTGTTGACCAGTCTTGTGATTACCCACGATTTACAGATATCTGTTTTTTGTGCGAGTGACGTGGAATGCCAGTCTTTCTCAAACAGTTCACTGTTCAGAACTTTTAATAGTAACTTCTGAAGTGGAACCGACTTTGATTTGGAAAGCACTGTGAGTACTTTAAGAATATCCTCGATTCCTAAATCCTTCTCAGAAATTATCGTTGTGAGAAATAAGTTTGCATGTTCCTCGTTCACATCATCGTCCGACTTGGCGTATTCGAGCAATGTTGATAACAGAAATGTGTGCATCTCACAACGAAGTTTCTCTGGAACTTTATAAAATTCCTGCAACTTCACACCCGCAGTTTTCTTCTGTGCGCTGGCACCTCCCGCGGTGCCTTGGTGGAAATTTAAAAAGAAATCAACTTTATCATCTTCACTGCGGAAGAGTCGACTCACGTCTGAGTTTTCAAATAGCTGGAGGGCACTGTCTAAATCTGGCGCACTGTGGAGCACAGCATGTAATAAACTCTGGTGGGCGATTTGTTCGTTTTCATTCTTAATATTTATATTTATGAAAAGTGCACGGACCATTTTCAGGTATTCTTTGACGTCGTATGTATAGTTAAGTCCCTTTGCACTTTTATTATCCATTACAAATTCAACCCCAAGGTAGGGATAAAAGTATGCTGCAAGAGTAAGCCATCCTGGCCAGCTGCTATGAGTTACCAAAGTACTGGCAATATTCCGCAAACTTTTGGAATTCGATTGTGAAAGGAAGTTGGAATAGACACAAGAGCTCAACGATTGAAGCAAGCGATCACACGCTTCAGATGTATTTTCGTTCGGAAACGACAATGGGGACTGAGATTTGTTCAGGTGGATAAGAACAAAACATAAATACAATCTTTGTATGTCAGAAACAGTGTAATTTAAGGCACATGCAACAATCCAATTCACACATTCTTTCGAATACTTTTTGTTGAAATAACAGAATTTAAAGCATTCGATTTTGGCCAGCATTTCAGAAATAGTGTTTGGGCCAACAAACGGCAACAACCACTGCAAGTAAAAAATCACTGCTTTAGAAGTAGTTTCGCTTAAATATAACCTGTCTTCTGGAAAATGAAATACATCAAATTGACATTGCTTATCGACGCGCCTTTCGCCAACTTCTTCAGAGTATGACGGATCCTTGCTGAACATTCCAATCCGGCCAAAAATCGGTACCTTAAATTCATGTCCCTTTTTTAAAAAGCCGTATCTGTACTTGAAACGGTCATTGAACGGGTTACCAGGTAACATTGCATCATACCGCCACAGATTAGGATACCCATGAACAGGTTCCATTGATGTAATTTCCTCATGGAAACTGGGATGGATGTAGGCCTGATCAACAGCATGTTCACCAAGAATCAAGAGATAAAACTCAACCTACAATAAATTCGAAGGTTTCGATCTAAACTTGGCAGTTGAAATAATATGAGTAAATTGCTACTTTTTTCTTGTTTCTCATTTTACTTGCAAATTTCGATGTTAAGGTATGGCTTGAGTGTGTACTCTTAGCATCAAAACTAGCGAGTTGTAAGTAAATTGGAGCACAAGTCTTATGTTTTGTTCAAGCTAAACACATCAATTCACCATTTCAGTTTTAACCCATCCTACAATGCGTCTGTCGATAAAGTTAAGTATTACGGTCACTTTGCCCACACGGGAGAGACGAGCTTTGAAAATCTGGTCAGGCAAGCGTGACGGGCTTAGAAACATTGCACGCTGTGCCACATGGGCAAAGCGACTCTAATAGAAAACGGTCTTTATGCTCGCTTTGCCTGCCCGCGCGAAGCTGCCTTTAAAATTCTGCCCATGCGGGCGTTACCAGTGAACTCAAATTAAAAACAGGAACGATAACTCCATAACAAAGTCCAGTCATTGGATGAAGCCGATCTAAAAAAAAATTGCTGATTATGGCGGGAGCCGTGCACGCAAAACACGCCTTCAAAAGAACTGGTGGGAGCATCGATAAGTGAGAAATTCCGTAATTATCGTACTTTTAGGGGGAAAACTTTCCATAAACCTTTACTTGAGGACTTCAGCTTGGAACACTCATTTTAACCTTTCTTAAAATTTCGCAACAACTAACTGTAAAAATCGGCTTTATATTCGAAATATTTAACAAATTTTTTGAAACGTTGAAAAATGAAACGTTGCCTTCAGCTAGCCAAAAAAATTAAATCTTTCCATGAAACTTGTCTCCTATTAAATTTACGTGTTGTAGCTTTATTTAAGCCACTGTTTTTTAGTGGTGTAAATTCAACTGTTGGCCTTCAATTTGGTTTCAAAGATGGGTGCCAGGTTATCGTTCCAGTCTTTTTAGAGTTCATTAAGCATGAAAGGTTTTAAAAAGGCCCGCTTGGCCCGCGAAGTGGACGTAATAGAAAACTGTCTAGCTACCTTCATCGTGTTCTCCGTCGTTGTCGATCGTAAATTATATTGTGTGTGACGCATGTTTGTGCCTGCAACCTCGGAATAGCTTCGTTGTATAGTTTCCTGG